GGTGCCTGAACACCCCACCCCCTTCCTGGCCTTCCTGCGCAGGGTCAAGGCCTGCAACCCTCCGGATGCAGGACCGATGGTTGTCCACTGCAGGTGTGTACATGTGTGCGTGTTTTATGACTGCCTTTAGCTCCTATAATTCCCTTTTTCCAAAATGATTCCTGAAATCACCTTGAAAGATAATCCAGTGGTTGCTGACCCAAGAGAAAACTCACTCAGTGTGTGATTTTGTGTGTTTGCATGAAACACTTATGTGTTATTTTGGGGTTTTACTTGGCAGTGTGATTTTTCTAAAGCCTGGGAGTCTGTGAAAATCAACACCGGACCAAGAGCACTTGTATAAAATCATTCATGGGTCCTGACCTGAAATGAGTTTGACCTGCTATTATGCTAACCCCAAAACCACCTTCTCTGGCCCGGACACCCACATTCCTCCAGCGTCTCTTAAGATTTAACAGCAGCAGCAGCAGCAGCCACCATGCTGACCCCTGTTAGTTTCCAGTGTTGACTATTTACCGTTTACGTTGGTGGTAGATCTGGGTTCATAAGTTTATATTCAGATGAGCTGCTCTCTGTGCAGCAGGAGGCTCATGCCTTGGTTTGGAGGAAGATTCTTGGAAACTTGTCATTACAGTCTTGGCACAGAGTCGAGCTCCGGAGCTGGGAAGAGGTTGTTTTTATGCTCCTAGCAGGGAGATGAAGATGGAAGGTAGCGGAGGGAAAGTGGAGCCGAAGCTCTCGGGAGGAAGAATTAGCGAGATATAGATGTGGAAGGAAGAGCGGGGAAAGGGGAAGAAAAAAGGGGGGGATTGAGAGATGATTGAGAGGGAGAGTTAGCCAGGGAGCGGGAGTTAGAGGAGGAAGCCACGCGCAGAATGAGAGAGAAGGTGAGGTCAAATCCAGGACGCGGTGCATGGAAATGATGAATTAAAGAAAAGGTGGAGAGAAAATGGGAGTCCAAAAAAAGAAACGTACAAATGTGAGAGTGGGAAAAAGTAGCTGAGCTGGTGTTGGAGAGCGTTGGACGGGTACTTAGAGGGAAGATAAAGAGGCGAGGAGACGAGGGAAGGAGGAGGGGTGAAGAGGTTGGCAGCAGAGGAGCTCTTCCCTAATCTTCCGTAGCAGTCAGATGGAGTATCTAACAGGATTATCAGTCAAATTTAATTATCCCGGCAAGACTCCATCATAATGTGCCTTAACATATCAACCAGCCCCTGAATCAAACAATGGGCCCGACTCTGGCTCCACATGGACACCCCACACACTTACACACTGATATTAATTCAACCATTAAAAAAAAAAAAAAAGAAGGTTTTTTATTCGCTTGCAGAAACTTTGCTCGGTCAGTGTGTTTCACCTTTTTCTTTAGCAGCGCAGCAGAAATGTGAAGTGTTTGGGTGGGCAGCTAAAATGTATTATATTTCTGGATTGTGTGTCGATAGGCGAGGATATCTTCCTCGTGCCAGTCAGTCAGACGCTGATGCTGACTCATTGCTGATGCCAATTTTTTTTTACGTCCTTTGTTGTGAAATATTGCTGGCTGGCATCTTTGTGATACTTCAGTTGATTTAGGCACAGTATGTAAGCGCGTCTGCGATAATTGACAGCAGGGCCCGGTTTGTGGCAAGGTACGAGGACCCACTCAGCACACAGTCAGGAAAAATGATTAGCACAACGATTCAGACCCCAGGTTATCTCAGAAAATCCACATCACCATCTGTTCCCCCCTCCTCCTCCCCCCCCCCTTCCTGTTCCAGTGCTGGAGTGGGTCGCACCGGCTGCTTCATTGTCATCGACGGCATGGCAGAGCGGATCAAGCACGAAAAGACCGTCGACATCTACGGCCACGTCACGCTGATGCGCTCCCAGAGGAACTACATGGTCCAGACGGAGGACCAGTACATCTTCATCCACGACGCGCTGCTGGAGGCCGTGACCTGCGGGAACACAGAGGTCCCCGCCAGGAACCTGTACTCCTACATCCAGAGGCTGACGCAGATCGAACCGGGGGAGAACGTCACCGGCATGGAGCTGGAGTTCAAGGTGAGGAACGCTGTGACCCTGGAGATTGTGAAATTCCCTGAAACTAAACTAATTATTTCACAAGAATACAGAAGTGAGTCATTCTACATCTGGTATTTAATCATGATGTGACACTTTACTGGTCTCATTTGGAAAATCTTTATTGTCCCTGAAGGGCAATTTGGTTTGCAACAGAGGTCCATACAGTCAATACAGCCATAAAAAAACAGCACAATGACATAAATACATACGTATAAAACATAACTACCATGGATATCACGATGATGGACGTGAGTGAGTATAGGATGAAAGACCAGTCCATAATAAAAGTGTAGAGGCAACAATGCCATATCTCTGTAAGCAAAATATTCCCTTTTTTGCCACACACACACACACAAGGCCCACCGAGTGTATATTAAGATGGACAGAGCAACAGATCCTCAAAGTGAAGCCAAATTATGTCGAGCTCCCCCTGCTGGTAGGTTAGCAAAAGGAATATGAAACAATGAAGTTAAAACACACGTTTTCCCATATTCTCCTGGAGTCATTATAGTAATTATCATGCTGATTGATGTTCAAGTGATCCCTTTTCTGAGTGGTTTTGTTTTTATTTAGTATTTGATGGGGGGGGGAAAGAGTGGATTTTACGTCATAATTGACAGCTAAGTTGACAAATGTGGTGACAAACAAAAAGTTGACAAACTTCTAGTGCTCCTAACCACACCAGAAACGTAGAGGAGGAAAGGCGAGAGAAAAGTAACAATACAGTCATTAAACTTTTCATAACTGTGAGTTTCTTCTCCACCTTGACACAATAATGTTCTGCTGTGGACTTTACCAACCTCAGGGATCTCTGAGATTTTATCCGCAAATTAAATGTGAATGTTGGTAAGCAGAAGGGGCACGGCATTAATTCTGCAGTTCCACCAGCCGGATCCCTTCTGTGCATGTCTCTGTTCCAAAAGACGTCACCAGTGCAATATGCTGTGATGGTATTTTGGCTTCACTTTCAACAGACGGGGACAGAGACACGCTGTCCATTTTAATATACAGCCAAGGACAAAGCTAGACAGAAGGGTCAGCTACACAATCGCATCCTTGAACCTGTTTCAGGAGTTTTTCTGTCTACTCAGACTTCAGCCGGATGAATCTGTGTTTTAAGATGGTCGAGGATATCGTATAACATATGGTCACTGTTAACAATACCAAACATCAACGACTTCTGGAGATGAGGGAGGCTTTGAGTTGAGACTGCACCTTTTTTTTAATGTATATTATTTTTATTGACTCATTTCGATGACAACATGTAAACTAAAGGAACATTAAAAACCCTAACCAAACCTAAGAGTAAACAAACCTACACTTGCACACTCACTCATAATCAAACATGCAAATTGTCCGTAATGGAGTATGCAAAAATAAACCAGAAAAAAGGTGAGGGGTGGAGGGCAAAGCTATCATTATAAAGATGCAGATTCTGGAGTCTTTGTTGTCATCATGTGGTTGCAATGTAACCAACAGATGCTAAAGAACACCCGACCAAAAAGTAATCTCACCCAAAGCTAATGCGTTACAAACTGAGCTTTGAAGTTGCTGGTATGAAGATTTATTTGCTATTTGACAAGGCATGGCAAGCTCTCCCTCTCCAGACTACCTGTCTTCATGCTAAGCTAAGTTGCTACTGGATTTAAGTTCATACTATTTTGTCTAAAGGTGTGTCCCCATGACTCGTTTAACATCGATTGGCACAAGTGCAGCTCAAGAACAAAAAAAGAAGCATAGCATTTACATCCTGTTAGAGTTCTAAAACATAAGATTGCATGCATTAGAAGCATGTGCTATGATGAATGGAGAGGAAAGTAATTCAATTCAATTAGATTAGGTAAATGCTTTTTAATTTAATGTCCAATAGAATAATCGTTAATGGCTTTGTAAAGTCCAAACTGTGAATAATCAAAGATGATAACCTATTTCTATGTAAGTAGCTGCAGACGATGGTCAGTGGAAGGTGTTTTAATTCTCTCTGACGGCTTCAGAACAACACTCACACGCTCACACTGTACTGTGTGTCTGGACCTTGAATCCCTGCCCTTGATAGTCACTGAGCATCTTTCCCAGGGCTCTTAGCGACCTCCCCTCTGACGGTTACATATACTCAGTATGAATGGTAGGATTTGAAGGGGATTATGGGATTGCACCTTTTGAATCCAAGGTAAGAGAGTTCCACAGAGGGTATTAGAGAGCGTCATCGTTTTTTTGGAAGTATGATGGACCAAATAATGGAGGCAGGAGAGTTAAAAGGTTTGAATTGAAATCTTTGGGAAAGATTATTGTGGGTGTTTTCAAACATTTAGGGAGCTGATTAGAATTCAAAGAGAAATCCCCCGAACGCTCACAAGAACGAAAAATGAGCATTAACGGGACTTTTTGAGAGCTGTTATTTTTCATTTTACCTTCGATATGTAATTGTGTTTACCTTGATGTTTACCTCTTGCCAGACGAGTTCTCAGCAGACTTGTCTGGTCTGGTTGGGTTAAAGGGGAGAGAGTCAGTTTGAGCCGTACAGGTATATATTGGAAGCAGGTGGCTTACGTTTTTCCTGGAATGGTTTATGTCTGCTCCGACGCTCAGAGGGCAAAGTAAACACAAAGCCACTCCAAGCAATCTCCTTCATCCTATGCTCCGGCATTCCTGTCCTAATGGCAGCGCTCTCCTCAGAATCACAATGAACCCGAGCGTGCACTGAACTGTTTGCTCAGCCTTATATTGGTGTAAAACATAATGTCACGGTTATCCTTCTCACCAGCTCTCATCCCACTCCAACACTCCAGGGACAGAACCGGCTCTTTCCACGAGGGATGTTAATCATTTCAAAATCGATTAAACACATATTTTCAATTCAGAAGTTTAGAATACACTCAGTCAAATGAATTTACCATGGCCAAACGCGGGACGAGAGTGTGGTTAACGCCCACGTGCCTGTGCTGGTTACGCTTTGCTGTGGTCGTGTGATGATATGCCAGTTGAACCTGACACAGCCTGCATCCAACTTTATCTCCAGATAAAGATGAGATGCCATCTGTCCATTGTGCTTGTTTACATCCAGGCAGAAGAGCACAGAGACAATTCCAAGTCGCTACAGCCAGTCTATTGATACAGCCCCGGCTAGTGGCTGTAGGCTGCATTACAGCTTAGACACAACATTCATTTTGCATTCTGTGCCTACTCATAAAAATATGAATAAATCATTTAACAAAATAGTAATCCTGATGCCAATTAGTGATGGTTAGCTAATGGTGCAATACCCCACAATCATTTCAGGCCTGAATTTATACAAACTGACTTGTTATTTAGTGTCAGAGTAATGAGGGTGATGACTTTAATTCGTTAGGCATCTCTTACTTCAACCTTCATAAAAAAACACCAAAAGGATGGCATTTCTTATGAAGCAGCATCCCTCAATAAAAAATAAAAGAATGTGTGTGAGAAAAGAAATAAAATGAAGCTGTTGTGGCAGCTTTTGGTAATCCAACCCCCCTATAAAGACCGACTGTCTTTGTTTCCTTTCACGGAGAGTTTACTGGTAGACTTTTAAGAGGTTTCCAGCCGTGCATGATTGGACCCAAACTCAACATATTGTTAAAAAAATAATGATAATGGCACGTATCACGGCAACAAAAGGGTTTTGTGTGGTCCAGACTTATTGATAAGATTGGGACAAATTCAAACCAAATGACATGAAGAATTGCTTTTGTTGGCATGGGAAAAAAGGGCTGGAAATACCCGAATGAACTGATGAACTTGTGGTCAGTGTGGGATTTTCCAGCTTGGTCTTGTCTGTAGGAAAACAAGGTACTGCTGTTTCTCCGGTAGCCGCCGATGGTTCCTGAGACCCCATTGTTTCCCCCAAAAGAGTCTGCGGTCTCCCTCCGCCTCTTCTCTGTTGTTCCATCTTTTCGTTTTAAGTCATCCACTGGTCGAGTGTCAGACAGAGTGTGCTCATGTCTGCCTGTCTGCACGTATCCATATACATGTTTGTGTTCCAGCTTTTTTTTTTTTCTCTGACTAGCGCAGGATCAACCGTGGTTCACATGTGTGCATTGAGACAGTGTGGGGCCTTGTGGTTTTTTCTTCCCCCAGACTCTTGATTTTCTTCTTCCTCCTCTCCTTAGTCTCATTATCCTTCTCCTCTCCTGTTCCCTCCCGCTGCCCCCCCCCCCCCCTTAAATCAGCCTTCCTTTGTTTATTGAATTGAAGATATCTGACTAAATGTCCTCGGGCCTGCAGAGTTAAGACACTTCTCTAATTGAAGTTGTCCAGTTTGCCAGAGGAAAAAAAAGACTTGTGCTAAATACATTCAAATGAGGGCCTTGGAGTTGTCTCTTTACCTTTAATTAATCATGTTTTCTTTCCTTTCTTTTCCATATTTGTCTTATTTTCTCCCGTACTATTTGTCACGCCTGCTGCTCAAACATTCTGATTTCTTTTTTCTGTTTCAGCGTCTGGCTAGTGCCAAGGCCCACACGTCGCGGTTTGTGAGCGCCAACCTGCCATGCAACAAGTTCAAGAACCGGCTCGTGAACATCATGCCCTACGAGACCACGCGTGTGTGTCTGCAGCCAATCAGAGGGGTGGAGGGATCGGATTATATCAATGCCAGCTTCATTGATGGATACAGGTCAGAAAAAACAATTTGTAGTGTTGGCAATCAGGTAGTATGTGTAAAGTTTTTTAACTACAAAGTCCTGACATTCTTTACAAACGGCATAAAGTTCTTGTATTTGTGTCTTTAGGCAGCAGAAGGCCTACATAGCTACCCAAGGTCCGCTGGCTGAGACCACAGAGGACTACTGGAGGATGCTGTGGGAACACAACTCCACCATAGTTGTCATGCTAACCAAGCTGAGAGAAATGGGACGGGTACGTATAGAAATACAAATACACAGTGATATCATCCATCACCAGTCTGTAGTTCATATTTCATTTACACTACTGACGCTGCTGAATGTAATATTGTAAATCAGCCCGTTTGTGTTTCTCTAGCAGCAGCACTTTGTCAATTTCAGAACAACTCACATTTTTCATATTAGTGAAATATGGTGTGCAGTCATTTTTAGAGTTTCATATGGGCTGTTGGGACATCTCTCATCTGTTCTTTTTTAATTCGGTGTGACCTCTGTGTGTGCATAAGGCCTGCTGTGTTATGCCCTTATATGGTCGTTTTTCCTTTGCTATTTAGTAAAACCTTGCAGGAGCTACGAGGACATGGCGTTCATCAATTTCAGAACACAGATGCAAAGAGCAGGGTCACTCATCTGTCTAGGCCTTTTCAATCATTCATTATTTGTACAGCGTGAACTCATAACAAGTGTTATCTTGAGACGCTTTATGGGATAATACAGTATGCCCGAAGGATTTCTCCTTTGTGTTCCTCGCATTCATGTTGTCCACACTACTTTGCCGCTGAGGTGGAGGTCGGAGCAGGCCGTGCATGAATGAAGACGGCGTTGGTGGTGGGACGACACAGTCCGATGGTGGAGGCTGGGCGTCAGGGATCTTGGGATCTTTAGTGAATGAGGCCGAAATAAATAAATAGATAACTGCCTAAAGTATCATGACAAGGAGCCTTTGACTTTGTCCCTCATTCTTCTCTTGACTTTATAAAAGTAAAAGCTAATTGTGAAGTTTTCTCACCGGGAGATGACCCTGAAAACTGTCATAAACAGTGTCCTGTCTCGAGCACACTCTTTGATGTAGGGGAACAAAAAAAAAATCTGAATAAATTGTGACGCTATTTTTGGTGAATATCCGTAAAAAGTATGAGTCTCAGCCATGCAAAACAGTATATGACACATTGAGAAGCCTGTGACAGATCGGGAAAGCTGGAGATAGTGGTTTGAGTTATATCTCATCAGCATCATATCTCATCTGGCACAGTCTGTTTTTCAGTGAATAATTAGTTTTATAAGCCAGTCAGGGGACTTTCATTAAACGTTTGTCAGAAACTGTTTTCCCTACACGATGCACCCCTGACATTTTTTCTGTTGAATCTGAACACAATGCTCTTTCTTGTTTGCTCATGCAGGAGAAGTGTCACCAGTACTGGCCTGCAGAGCGCTCAGCCAGGTACCAGTACTTTGTGGTGGATCCCATGGCTGAGTACAACATGCCCCAGTACATCCTCCGAGAGTTTAAAGTCACCGACGCGAGGGTGAGTCCCCAATTTGTGTGTTTGTGTTTATCGAATACAAATCTTTATTTCTTTTGCACTTTTCTAAAACAAGTTACAAAGTGCTTTACAATTTAAAAAAAGGCAGAATAATACAAACAAATATACATTTACTTATATGTATAAAGTAAATACACAAAAGCAAATTAACAGGTCAATAAAACTCATATATCAATACAAACACAGTAAAGAAGTAGAATAAAGACAACAGGTCAGAAAAGGCAGACAACAAAAGAGAGTTCAAAGAAGTGATTTAAGAGAGGCGATGAGTTTACCTCTTTTAAATCACTACTGAAATTTCCAGGTTAGAGAAGTTCAACAGCTGTGGGGTCTGTGTCTGTGGGTCTTGTGTGACTTGTCAAGTTTTAGGAACCACTAGCAGGGCCCTGCCTGAGGATCTCAGGCCACTCAATACAGCTCTCGCTCACCTGGAATTCAATATTAAAATCAAATACAAAACTCACATGTATCCAGTGAAGGGAAGCGAGATCAGGTGTAATGTTGTCAACTCTCTTGGTACGGATTAAGAGCCCGGCAGCAGCCTTTGGATGCAAGCTTACCATTATTGAGTACCGAAGAAATAAATGCGTTGACAACTTTTGCTAAGTTGGCAGGAGAAAGGGAGAGAGATTATTAATATAGTTGCCACTGGGGCAAGATGGAGTAATAATCAACACTTAAGATTTATAGTCATTGAGCTGTAGAAAGATTGTTGACATCCATTTTTTTTCATTTCTGCCAGACAGGACATGATATGTGAAAGATCAGTGTTGCCAGGTTTAAACGAGGTATAGAGTTGAGTCTCATAGTCGGCGTAACAATGACAGTCTATGCCTTGCCAAAGAGGATTTACCTTAGGGGCAGCATTAAAGAGTGAATTAAAGGGGACCCAAAATAGACCCCTGGGGGACCCCACCAGAAAGAGACACAGAGGGAGAAGCTACTCCAAGCATTACAGAAAAGACCTGTTGACAGATAGGAAATGAATCAATCCAGAGCACCCCTGTGTATTATTTGAGAGGTGGAAAGATGGTTTTATGTGCCGTCTGTTAAAGTTAAATCTGTTATAATAAATATTTAAAACATAAATTCCTTTTCCTTTAGGACGGCCAATCGCGGACAGTTCGTCAGTTCCAGTTCACTGACTGGCCAGAGCAAGGAGTGCCAAAGTCAGGGGAGGGGTTTATTGATTTCATTGGCCAGGTGCACAAAACTAAAGAACAGTTTGGCCAGGATGGGCCAATCACTGTGCACTGCAGGTAAGAACACTTACATGTTGGGGTCACTTTATATATTGGCGATATTGGGGGTCACATATTGGTAATAACAAACTACATGGGCAGTGTTGTGCAAAAATTAACTAGCATAAAGTTCAGTTCGCACAGATAACAATTAACTCTTTCATGTCCATAGTTCACGTTTAAAGATTTTGATTGAAGTTCACTGTCCAAGCAATGAGCTAGTTCACATCCATTAGTTTGTTTGTTTTCTCCGTCAGCACAAAGCCCTTTTCAACAGAGCCTCGTCTGCTTCCATCCCTTCACTCTTTATCATTTGATTGCAATATTTACCCAAATTGAGGTCAATAACTATATGCTGTGAAACTGTTTTGGTTTTATAAATATCATAAGGATCCATTTTACACAGGAATGGATGAAAAGCCAGACTAAAGCCAAGCTGTAAATAAAGTTAATTAGTCAATAAAATATACAAATGACTCATTCTTCACTTTATCAGCTGTTTGCCATACAGGGGTGGTGTCATAATTATAAAGGGTTTAGGGGTTGGGCTTTTAGAAAAGTCTTATATGCTTTATAAACAGGAGCTTTACTACCATAAAGACATACAGAGGTGGAGAAAATGTATGCAAAGGGAGGCCGAGAGGGGGAGGGAGATAGAGACGGGGAGGGAGAGCACACAAGAACAAACATAACCTGATGTTTTCCAACGACTGACATAGAATATCTTCAGCCTGCATGAGTTATGACTACATTATGTTACAGAGACCCCCAAGAAGCAGCCGAAGAGCTTTGCAAGTGACTTGATTCAGTAAATAACTGCCCAGACCAAAAAATAGGATTAAAGCATTATGTAAAAGAAAGAAATCTCACTGACAAAAAACAAACTAACGTATCAGGCACTTGGCCACCATGAACATATTCCACAGATGTAAGAAGCCTTGTCGGGGGCATGCTGAGTGCCCAATATCAGACTTTGGCTCACAATGCAGTTCTTAAAACATCCTCATTTTCATCTATCCACACACAGTGCGGGAGTGGGGAGGACCGGTGTGTTCATCACCCTCAGCATCGTGCTGGAGAGGATGAGGTACGAGGGAGTGGTGGACATCTTCCAGACTGTCAAGATGCTCCGCACCCAGAGACCTGCCACCGTTCAGACCGAGGTGAGATTGAAAGTCGAAGCTGAAGAACTACAAGGCAGAAAATGCAGTTTAAGTGTTGATTGTTTTCTCCAACACTGATTTGACATTCTTCTGCCCCACCCTCCAGGACCAGTACCAGTTCTGCTACCGGGCCAGTCTGGAGTACCTGGGAAGCTTTGATCACTATGCAACATAAACCCAGTGGCCGTCTCTCGTGCCACATCCCACCTAGTGCACTTCTGTCAGGTCACACGCGTGCGGGTCTGGATGAATGCACTAGGCCGCGATGTGTCTTTGAAGAGCTTCGGCCACCACATGCAGAGTGAAGGGGGACCATCGGCTTACTCCGTACCAAGAAACAGCACCTCTAACTGAGCCATAGAAACCTGCTTGACAAGGGTGTTTCTTCCACCCTCAGCCCAAACACACCCATTGGTCAGTCTGAAGAAGCAACTTCAACCACTGTTCCAATCAGAATACTTGATCGAATATTGATTTTTTTTTTTTTTTTTGTCGTTTCCGTGCTTTTTGTGAGCACCCAGATTGCTTTACATTGTTTGGGTGTGGAACTCTCACCTGTGTCCACCACCAGTGTAGCATCACCAACCTAAACACAGGACCTGGCTACAGTATATAGCTATCACTTTTTTCTATCTAGAGGACTGTCTAGAAAAGGAGTCTGCAAATCCATCTTATGGAAGCCACGTGGACCGACCGAAAGAAACTGGGACTTTTTCAAAGCACCAGAGAATTGCCAACAAGAGACTGCGAACACAGAGCACACAGTATTAAAAAAGACAAAGAACTCACATCCCCAAAAAACAAAAAAAAAAGAGACACCAACAAGTGTTTTTTTTTTTCCTCCGTCTTTCTCTTTTTGTTTTGGAAACAGACTCTCGTTTCCCGTGAATGAAAAAGAAGATATTTCTACCATACAGTAATAAAAAAAAAAAAGCACCAGTTCAACCTTATGCTTCACGAGTTAAGATAAGGGAAAGAGGTTTCAAATGCATACCACAAAGTAAGACATTGATTTAGTTTTTTAGAAAAATATAGATATGTGACTATCTTGTTTTTTAAAAACTGGGTATTTCCTTGTGGCACGTTTTTTGTTTTTTGTTGTTTTGACAGATTTGCGACTTTGTCCCCCACTGATCATAAGAAGGCAAAGTTGTGTTTTGTTCTTTTTCTTTTCTGTGTAATCCAATGAGCTGTAGCGATTTTTAAACAAACAAAAAAAAAAGTGATACGGTACTGTTTTAAAAGTGTACAATCAAATCTAGTGTGGAAAAAAATGTTCACAATTCTATGAAAAACACCACCAGTGAGTGTCACTCTCCTGTATCCTCCACCCCACAGAACACAGTTTCGCATGCACACAGGACTCTCATTTTACGTCAAGAGAGGGCGGCCATATTTGTAGTCTCAGAAGGAGGGGGCTCGTAGGGATGCGACCGGAAAAAGCCCTGAGGATAATCTTGCCAAGTTGATCAGTGTGCCGGTTTGAAAGACTAAAGAGAGTATGCACAGACAGAAAAAGTAACTATTTATGTGTCCAAATAAGCTTCACAAAGATTTCTCAAGCAGGGAGCGAGAAAGGGGGGATGTAGAAATAGAAAACAGGGTGGGATGGGGTGTAAGGGGGGGAGGGGGGGTCGGGGAAGGAACAATTTTCTCACTGGAATGCTCACTTATTACTTTTCTCTCTGTCTGATTCAGTGTGCAATAAGTAGATGTATTATATATTTTTGTGTTCAGTCACTAACTGCGGTTAAATGCCATGACGACGACGACGACGACGATAGTGACGATGGTGCATCATGTTTCCAGACACGAGGATGTTACGCTTCCTCGCTCACCTGTTTTTTTTTTTTTTCAACGCGTCCCCAAAAACAGAGGAAACTACCTTTTTTTTTTTTTTTTAAATCATGTCACGACTCCGATAGATGATGTCATCCCTTCCAGAGCGTCACGGGGCGAAAAAAAACCAACGAATGACCAGAACTCATCCTTCAAACAGCATCTAATAAGTATTTTAGATTTTTAGATTTCTAGTGCCTTATATTACACGCCTATTTTGATAACGTTACTTTAAAGGGTTTCTTTTTTGTGTGTTTTGTGTGGGAGAGAGAGAACTGAAACGTCCGTGTGGATATGAGTTTGTTGCGTCGCTGTTTTTTTGTGAAAAGTGTCTCGTCGTTGTGTCGCGTCGTTCGGCTGTGGAATCTGTTTTGTATGGACGGCTCTTGTGTAGGCTGGATTATTGTACTCATCATTTTCAAACCCAGCGACAGCATTATCATATCTCTTTGAATCAAAAAAAAGGACAAAAAAAAAAATCTTCTATATGAGACTTAACTACAGAGAAGAGCAGATTAAAGGTTCATATGTTGGCAGCATTCTGTCTTTTTCTTCCCTGGGACGGTTTACACAAGCTCTGTGTGTGTGACCTCCTGTCACTCAGACCTCCGCCTGCCTGCCATGAGATTCTTTTCTTTGGGCTACGAGAGCGACTTTTGGCACCGACTGTGAGCTGGCTCCCGACAAGTCATACTTACTCAGCTATGTAGAGAATCCAGCCGAGCGGGGACGGCCATCTTTGTCAGTTTGGAGAAGAAGTTTAAAAACACACTTTAAACAGGGCTGAGCTGATGTATCCCACCTGAAGCCCCTTCATCTGAAATCAAACTAGTCGTCTGTGTTCCTCATTTCTGATTTCCGCTAAGAGAAGTTCAGGTGCTACATCTCCAACAACAACAGAACCTACAACCTTTTTTTTTTTTTTTTCTTCTTCTTTTTTTTTCTATCTCCATAAAAAGCTCGACCATATAAGGGATCATTGACAGTTTTCCACTATCCTACAGTAACCCCTGTTGTTGTTTTGTTTTGTATGCATGGTACCACTTTTGAGATGCCCCTTTGGTCGCACCTGTAACGGGAAGACTTGCACTTTCTCTCTTTGTACTATGCACTAATACTAGTATCCTATTATCGCTGATAGCCCACACCCCCGTCCCCCCCCCCCCCCCACCTAAAGGAGTTTTACTTGAACTCAGTAAAGATGGACCCTGTACTGCTCACATGGTTGTGTATATGTAAATAACACAGAACACAGAGAGTGATTGAAATGCATAAATAAATAAGTATAAGGTTATAACGAGTGAATACAAATCTATGAGATATACAGAGTGATATAATTAAAGGACGCACCTGAAGTCACAGTTTTATGGCACGACCGTATGTGCAATACATCACATTGTGGATTTGTTGTACCACAAGACAAGTTTCACAAAAAAAGGTGTTCTCTATTTTCCCCTCAATGTGTCATGTAGATGGAATCAAACTGGAGTTTTTAAATTGTATAAAAAGGAAAAATTATGACGTGTTACTTGGATCAGTTTACCTCCAATCTGGTCTGTAAATGTAAACTTTATTATTTTTATTTTTTTTGTTTTTTGTTTTTGTTTTCTGCTCCGAGTCAACAAGTGCTTTTTATTTTCTTACATTGGTTCTCGGAGCGCGTGAAAACCGCAAAAACAGGTCTGTATGAATTTCTGTTCTCTGTCGACACAAGTTTCATTTGTTACAAATAAACTCAAGTAAAATAAAAACTGCCTCTGCTGTCGTCTTGTATCTCCGTGCTTTACACTAAATAAAGAACACTTAGGAGGGGCGCAAATAGCCAAGGAAACTTTTCCACCCAAATTTAAACTGAATGTCTCTGGGAAACTTTTCTCTGCAAAATCAAATGACACTCAAAGGACACCTTAGGGGACAAGTGGCTGTAAAATGTTTTGGCATTTTAAAGTGTCCCTAAGGAAACGTTTGTCAAGCACAAGTTTTACATCCACTGGGCAAACATTTAAAAAACCATAGGGTGCCTTTGGGACACTTTTGTTAAAGGTTTTACACCAACTATGTGCCGTAGTGACACTGTAACACCTGCTTCACCCCTTAGGGAACTTTGTCCACCAACATTTGTCCATGCAATGCACACCTTTTCTCCACCAATAGAATTTAAACCCACAGGACACCTCAGGGACGCCTGGTCAGCTGAAAGATTTATACCAACTGTGCGCCTTAGGGATGCTTTTTTCATCTGCAAAAAACAGATATCCTGCTGCTGGGTGCCAGCGGGACATCGTGTGTCCATCAAAAATTCTGCATCCACTGGGGGGGTCTAAAGGACACTTTAGTCCTCAACAAAACTTAAAACCAGAGGACAAGTCTGTCCACCAAATATCTGATTGTGACAGGGGTTAAATACTTGCAACTGTCTACTGTCTTTGATTTAATTTTGCCTCTAAACATTGGAAATGGAAAATATATATTAATCAGTTTTATCTCTTGACTGTTCAGGTACACTCATGATTCACCCGCTGCTCAAACATGGTGTTTATTATTACTAATCCATGACTAGTCCAAAGTTAAATGACAAGTTCCTCCCGGTCACCCCCCTCAAGGTTTCTCCATCATTGCCCCCCCCGAGTTGGCTTTAAAGTCCTTAAGTGGAACCCCATTCAGGACTCGGCCCGGAGACTCCAGGAAGGCTGCGTTGTCTGAAAGGTCGTCCTGTGCATGAACACAAACCTCTGTCGGGACCTTCCTCTCTGTAGCGCCGAGTCTCTCAGCAGCGAGGCCATGATTCATATTTTCTTCCCTCAAGACACCGTTACACCACCTTGAATTTGTTTCCAACATTATCAAGAAACATTTTGGCCATTTGTTTTGGCTGCATTCTTAAACTCCCGGTCTCACAGGGTATTCTGTAAACTCTATAATCCATACTGGGGAAACAGATTGAGGCTTCACTTTGCAGTGAGCAAAAGAGCCGCAATTGAAATGGACTTACTCATTCATGGCTGACTTGTTATTGTCAAAGCACAGCAAATTATCTTCCAAAGCTGCTTCCAGGCAGCAGAGAGACTGTCTTGCTTTTGGCAGATGAGCCTTTTTCTCGTTGGAGCCTCTGAAGCTCTGTTGAATTTGCACTTGATTTGTGAATCAGCTCAATCCCCATCACTTCAACAAGTCCTCTGTTAGACTGTGTGGGATGCTTTTTAAAGAGCCACTTAGTCTTTTAGAGGCATATGCTTCTCCCTTTTGGCCTTCTGGACGAAATCTATTTAATAGCGCTTCTGTGGCAATATAGAAAAAAAACAATTTTCATGTGTTATATTCTTGTTAAGCTGTGAACTGAGGGGAGTGAAATGGTAAGAGCAAACAAGCTTGAGAAACTCTTCATCCTCTTAAAAGTCCTCCTCACACTACTCCTAACAGTTTGACACCTTAGGAGCTCTCTTAAGGGGCTAAGACACTTTTGTGAATAACTTTCATCCTTGCAAAGATCTAGTCTTAAGCTTGAGGGGAAATTCTTAGAAAATGTCCTGATTCTAAGAATTCTCTCACTCAGAGCAACTCTCAGTACTTTAGGAGGCTTTGTGAACCTTAGAGGTTCTTTTATGAGTTCATAAGCTGTGTGTTTGTTCTCCCTTTACATCCAGGATGTCTTGTCGTCTTGCTTGGCTCCGGTATCAGAGAGTCCTCTGAAGCAGACTGTGACATAGTTTCCATTAAGAGTACAACAAAGCTTTCTGAAGCAGTGCCACTTAAGACGCCTCCTGGATTTCATTTCCTGCCAGAGTCCCCGTGCAGGTAAAAGACTGGAAACATGTTCAGGATCCTTCTGGGTGAGGTCACTTGCTCTCCTGCTCAGACTGGTCGGCCGTTCATAGTCAAGTTACTTAACAGATTTTAACACTTTCATTGTGTTGAAAGTGGTCCCGCCCACATTTTCAGTCACTCACACAGACGCTGAAATTGCAAATTTCAGACAACTGAGCAGCTTACCAAATAAACACTGGTTTAATTGAAAAAACAAATATGTCATTTTTTATTGTTTTTCTTACAGCAGTTAGCAATAGTTTAACTATAGCAAGCCAAAAATAAATACAAATTTTAAATAATTTCAACAAGGTGTCTTATTCAAAAGGAGCAACAGTAGCGTTTCACATTGATGGGGCACATAATCCAACACACAGGCATGGCTTTCTGTCTGAATGATTCATCCAGGAGTGATTCACTTTTGGTCATCTTTTTTTATTTATTTTAGTTTTTGTGTTTTAACAGTGATTCCGTTTTTTCAGTGTCGACTCCAAAAATACATGAATGATCGGTCTGTACTGATCGAGGAGCAGCGCAGAGAGGAAGCCATTGGCGTGTTCTTGGACTCGGCCCCCCCAGCAGAAGCAGTTAGGAGACAGTGTTGAACATGCAGCGGGGAGAAGCAGTAAGACATGAGGAAAATAATACTACAAGCAAAGTGCATAAATATCCCAAAAATCAAAACAAATGGAAATAACGGACCCCTAAAAAGCTACCAGAGGCAAGCTATTTAGAAAAAATCTCACCTGTGATTTTTTTTTTTTTTTTTTTTTTTTTTTTTTTAAATGTACAAAGAAAAAAAAAAGTTATTGTTCATTTTGAAAAAAGGGCGACGCGACAAATGTAAGTCACGTTTTGTTTTTCCCTGACGGATGTGAAAGCATGAGGAAGGCAGACAGCGATGCCCGCTGTTTACCCGTTCTGTAAGAGTCCCATTTGTCCAATCAGAGTCCTTCTCCTTGCCTGTGACGTCACTCAATCACCAACAACTGATGTTTACTGTACGAGCACACACGAGCGAGTTTACATCCATCACACCCAGATCACCCGTTTCCCTCATGTTGTGTCCCCTGATCGATACACACACAAGTTGTGTGGGCAAATGTTAAAATGGAAGTAGATCCAGACACACACACTCTCACACACACACACACACACACACTCTCTAACATCCCCCCCTCTTCATCAACGGCTCATTCAGTGCATTCATTTGTCATCCATCCTCCTCCCATGACTTCATTTCCCTTTGTGGCTGCGTTGCTCCCATGTGCTTTTGGCAGTAGTACGGAGGCCTGGCAGGGCCACGTAGTCGTTCTGGAAGCGTGAATTGGGTGTCCTCTGGCGTTTCCTCTCCCCCTGCGTGGTGAAGAAGGCGTCCTGGAAACGCATGCTCGACGCGGTGGACTGGACAAAAAATAAGAAGAGAAAACACAAATAAGTGTCAAATAAAAGATTGTTGGGATGCCATTAAAGTATCAACAGCGTTTCCTACAGAAAGAAGTTACACCTGCAGCCGCGGTGAAGGGAGGAGGGAAATAGTTCAACAAACACAGAAATGTTTTGTGTTCATGCTAATTAGGAAAAATATGCACATGCCAAGTTTACCATGACGTAACGTTCATCAACTTAAAGACAGAATGTGAGACTTTTGGATCCAGTAGATGTCGCCCTTGAGCACCAGCATGACACCAAAACAAACCGCTCTCCTCCAGAGACGCGCCTCCAACCCCTCTCCACTCGAGTTCACACGAGGGAGTTGTCAATTAGAACGCACCGTAATTAAACGCCATTAAGCGCACGCGTTGGCTCGAGCTGCAATCACCTGTGTCCTGCATTGTTGTTGTTGTTAGCATGCTAATGTTAGCGCTCTTTAGTTAGCTCGTAGCTTCATATTTCACGTAAGCTGACACGGCGTGACCGTGATCTAAAAACACTTACATGACATCTAAATAATCAGTGAGTATGTTCTCTTTCTTTTCTCTAATCCTTTGACTAAAACAGCTTTTATACACAAGACCGTCCCGTCCATAAACATGATGTAAACACGGCTCTGACAACAACACAGCTGACGGGACTCGAGCTTCTCACTCATTGTAGACAATCATGACTCAGAGAGATTTACAACAGGATACTTGATTTCTGCTTTATTTATATGTAAAATGTTGCACATTCTTCATTTAAGAACACAAGTGAGAACAGTCCCTCCGGTTGAGCACACCTCATAAATCCCATTAAGGGGTTTTCTTTCTCAAGAACAAATCATGAAAAAACTATTTTAAGGAAATCTCGGTGAACGAGGATGATCGTCTATTACTTATTTTAGTGTCCGTACAAACAACTTCATCCACACACCCACACACGTCCGGCCTCGCCCTCTACACATACGCGTCCGCTCCATTATTCATCAGCAGAACGTTTTAATACGTCGCTGAAACAACACCGCTGTTTTGACAAGTTTCACCACAGTTTCATCATCATCAACAGCCGAGTCCCGTTTAGGGAGGCGTCTTATTAACAGTCCAGAATAACATCGGCAGCGAGCAGCTGCACAAAAACAATGTGAAGGTTCATATTTAACAGGAGAGGCCTGCGTCTCTCTCTCTCTCTGATCTCCTGCAGAGCATACAGAGGCTACACGCTACAGTCGCTCTCAGACGGTGAGCGTACACATGTTTAAAAAAAGGAAAACAGCTGTCATTATTTCTCTGTCTAGTTATTAGTCTCTGTAGGAAACACTGGATCAACTTGAAAGTATAAAAAGATTTTGACGTTTCCCAGTAAGTCTAATACTTACAAGTCTACGCTTCACCTTTTTGGGCAGGTCTTCATCTAACGTATAGACATCGTCTCGTTTGGCCAGAACCTGGGAGCCGTCTTCAAACTCCACCTGAGAGCACAGGGACAGATCGGACGCTCAATCCAGCAGTTTGAAGTTTTAATGAAGTGCGTTTATTTCACAGACATGTTTACTAGTCGCAATTAAGATGTTAAACAACAATTTGCCATTTGTTGCTCTTTTTTGCCTCCACTTTGCACTTTAATAACTTGGTAGGGATTCACATTTTGGTATGAGCTCTTGACTGATTTTATTGCGATGTTTTATTTGGTTTTTATATTTTGTTGTGCCGTCTGCGTTTTTTTAAAATTCTTTTTCGTTTGTGTTTTATGTTGATGTTGTGTTTTTTGTGTTCCGTGTGCTCCTGCTGCAAATGCAAATTTCCCCTTGTGGGACAATAAAGACTCTGAATCTGTTTTCTTTTTCACTGATGCAAACATAAAGCAGCGGTGAATTCAATCTGATATTGATGTGAAGTTAATCGTCTGCTAAAGGGAACAAAATAATGCCAAAAGCTTTGAGGTAAGATAAACAACTTTTTTTTTTTTTTAAAAGAAGGTCTGAACGGTGAAACAGAAATCCAAAGCAGATCTAATCATCACGACTCATTTTCATGTTACTTCTGCTCTCAAAGACTTTGTTCTCAGGAAATTCTAACTTTCCTGGCGTCAGACGGACCCTGAAGTCCAACACGCCCTGCCAGATCTCCTGCCTCAGACACACCTTGACAATGGAAAGTTCTTGTTCGGCCTATTTTCTTTTCTAAAATGCGACCTCCTTTAAACCGGCCGTGTGCGTCAGCGATGCATTTGCGCATAACTAATGGTCGACGCCCGGCTCTACTAAATAAAGCTTTAAGTGAAACCGCATGACTCTCGAGCTTAGTGAATATTTCAGTGAGTTTGAATAATGCAGATTGTCACCTCCATCTCATCCTCCTCCTCTTCTTCTCGCTCTCTGCTTTCACTCTGCGTCTAAAGAGCTTTTGCTTCCTGTGTCTCTCTCTCTCTCTCTCTCTCTCTCTCTCTCTCTCTCTTTTCATCCTCCGTCTCCGCTCCCCCTCTTTGGTTACGATTACTTTAGCACCTCCTTAATACGGTCTCCTGTTCCCTCTTCCTTTTTCTCACCCTCCACTTCCCCGAACAAACACCTGGGGACCCTAACCACGTCAGAGAAGTCACGATGATTCAGATGTTCAGTTCAACAAGTTCGCCGCTCGTCTCGCTTTGACCTACAGCCGCAGATTGAATCTGTCAAAGTGGGTCATACACATCTCTGGAAGCTCACTATTTATTATCCCACTTATTACACAGATCAATCATCTGAAACCTCATACGGAATCATTTTATTGATTTCAGTAATCATTCATTTATTCCGCTAAACAAACAGTCCGTTGGCGAGTGCAGTAAACTCTGTAGCCTTCATAAATGGAGCTAAGCTAGCTCTCCTTACTCACTTTAAACTGAACATGTCCACTGATGGTGAAGTGAGACCCTACAGGTGACACACGGTGAACATGTCCACTGATGGTGAACCACTGGTGGTGAAGTGAGACCCTACAGGTGACACACGGTGAACATGTCCACTGGTGGTGAAGTGAGACCCTACAGGTGACACACGGTGAACATGTCGGCTTGAACCAGAGCAGCACCTGAAGGAGTTTTAAACCTTGTCAAGTAAAAATTGCAAAGGAATGTCCGAATGGTTCTTCTCTGTGATTGTGAATAATTTGTTTTAGTGATTTTTTAATATTTCTTTTTTTTTCCTCTGTCGTGATGCTTTTGATGTCGTGTGAAGCACTTTGAATTGCCTTGTTGTTGAAATGTGCAACATAAATAAACTTCCTTGTCACGGTCGGAGTCTGTTGACATTTTCTCGTCCTTTCACCGCTCTTTAAACCTCTTCTGTGTCTCATACCTCTTAACGCTCTGTGTTTACGCTTCATGTCATATCCTGCAGTTAAAGCGTCTTACTTATTATCCTCTCCTAACTTTGTCACACTGTAAACAAACGGACGTCTTATTTAACCGTACTTCTTTCTGCGGATTGATACGACTACAGTCAGTCCTCCAGAGTCTGTCATGAGATCCGCGTCCATAGCAACCGTCTGCTTTTCTTTAACGGAGAATTATTCTTAACAACGGTGAACTGCAAAGAAATATCCGACTGTTTTTATTTAGAAGTTGAAATCGTGGAATGAACCTTTAAGACACGCTGCGTTGCTAAGATACTAGGGAAGTGATGTCACTAGATGGCGCCTTGTTTTTATCCTTGTAGTTTGTTTGAGCAGCCATCTGCCTGGACAGACGGATTTCCTGTAGCCGAGTTTCTACTTCCCTTTTGTCTCGTGTGGACGCTATGTCGCTCATGTTTGATTAAATAGTAGACGTAGTTTGTAATAAACGACGAGCGTGTTATAAACCCCAGATATGTTTGGTTTTGCACTTTTGGCTAACTTACTGTCTCCAACACTTTCAAAACATAACCGATAACATAACGATAACCAAGAGGCACAGACCCAAACCGTCAGCCAATTACAAACAAGTATTTTAACACAGCCGTATAAAAACCAACCTGAACCATTTGATAAGATTAGATATATTTCTGGTATAGAGTATATATGTGTGTGTGTGTGTGTGTGTGTGTGTGTGTGTGTGTGTGTGTGTGTGTGTGTGTGTACCTGGTACATGTAGGAGACGTTGGATCCCAGGTATTTGGCACCATAGAACAGACCATCAGGCCATTTCACTTGAACAGCTTCCCCAACTTCAGGCGGGCCCAAGTTCACACAATCTCTGCTCTAAAAATACAAAGAACAAAGGGTTGGTCTGCTGAGAAGCCTGAACGTGTGAGAACTCCTTGAGGTTCAGAAAGAAAAGATTCAGAAAGTCACTCCAGGTGAGAGCTGTGAGAGCGAGGAGAGAGCTCTCTTACACGACTAATGTGAGCTTTAATTCAGGACGCTTTCTATTCATCTGCTAAATAAAACTGAAGACTTTGATATGCTTTAAGAATCTGCAGATACATGACAACATCTTTCTGCTGATTTTCAAACAACGGGTTCTTCCACATCGTTAATGAACACGGGAACTTCAAGATAAATCCATCCATCCATCATCTATACCGCGTTTCCCGTTTTGGGGTGACAGAGGTCTGGAGTCGTCCTAAGCTGTCATTGGTCGAGAGGTTCACCAGTCAATCATAGCGCTGACATAAAAGAGACAGACAACGAGTCACACTCACACTCACATCTACACCTAATGAACATGTTTTTGGAGGTCACCTGTCTGACGCGGATTTAAAGCAGGAACCTCCTCACTGTGAGGCAACAGAGCGACGCCGAGGGTGTTTTAACGCTCTTGATGCGGATACATTGATACATTTGTTTTTGTATTGAAAATGGGCGCCGCCAGCACAAAAAGTGTCGTCTGTGGACACACGCCCTCACAGTTTGTTATCAGTTAAATGTGTTAAGACTGAAGTTCAGCTCTTTGAGACATTTCCTCACTAACTCATTATAACGCTTTGTTGTGCCTGTAACAGCTACTTTTCTCCAAAGCTGTTTTCACACATGCACTCTTGCATAATGTGTAGAGAATCTCAGGCAGCCTGTCCCTGAAGTCTTCTGAAGTTGTTAAATCACACATGCACCATACATTAGGATACTAATCACAAGGATGACGCAGAAAAGGAGGACAAAGCAACAGAGTCAGACGCTATTGCCTTTGTATCAGTGCTACATATCCACCGCATCAACTAAAGAGCAGAGAAAACATGGGAACAGGAACGAGTGTGAAGCTGCTTCATTACATGACGATCAGAAATTAAACAAGGGGGATCGGGTTGAGAAATTTGGAGGAAAGGTTTTAGCCGTTAGCCTTCACACACGCAGCTCATCCTGAACATTTAAAGGAGGTTTGTGCAGACTGATAATCACAAAGAACAGGCGGTCTAAAACGTGGATGGTTGGGAGACGGTAATGATACCACGCTGCTGCTGCTGCTGCTGCTACACAAACTCAGCAGTCCTCTGATATCCTCGTCTAATTGGAATGGCCTTTCAGGAAATCAATGTTGTTTGATGGTATTTACAGAAAGCTTCGTCGTGAGAGAAATGACTTGATAACACGCCATCAGATATTCAAACGGGCTTGAAAAGAACCAATCATCTTTCCTTGTAAGAAGGCAGGGCTGTTTTTTTTTTTTTTTAAATATCAGATATGACCTCATACATCCGGGAGATGACCTTTTTGAGCATGGCTCTAATTAAAACACGTTCTCACCACTATGTCCTCGGGGTAGGTGTCGTTGGAGAAGGAGCCGTCGTCGAACATGACCTCGTAGAACGTCTGGGACGTGATCTGGGTGACCTTTGAGCTGTAGTAGCGCAGGTTCTTGTGTTTGGAGATCACCGTCTGGCCCAGCGCGATGGACGCTTGGCATGCTCGCTGCTTCTAGTAAACACAGAGAACGCGATGAGAGCGCGGCAGGACAGACACCGCTGTACAGTTATAAAGAAATACTCAGATGGTACCTAACTTTATATGGGGAGGGATAGCTACAGGAAAGTTCATATTTAACTTTCTTATCCGCTCTCACCCTCTGGAACTCACTCCCAAAAAACCATCAGAGACTCCCCCCCCCCTCCCCCCACCTTCGAGGAATCCCTCAAATATTCACCTCTTCAACATCGACCTACAACCTCTGTTCTCTTCCTCCTTTACTTGAGAGCTGTTTTCACATCTGCACTCCGGAAAATATCTGGATAATTTCCTGCTGAATCTGTTTTCTTTCTCACTGATTGCAAACATAAAGCAGGCGTGAATTCAATCTGATATTGACGTGAAGTTAATCATCTGCTAAAGGGAACAAAATAAGGCCAAAAGCTTTGAGGTAAGATAGAAAATAAAATAAAAAAAGGATTGAACGATGAAACAGAAATCCAAAGCAATCTGACGTCACTCAGGCTTCGTCCATTGATATTCATGTTTTGTATGTAACTATTGGAACGTTTAATCCCGTCTCTGCACAACAAATTGACCTTTCTAGGTACTAATGAAGAAACTTTAACCACAACTTGTGAAAAGTGTAACCAGCACTCATCCGTCCATTTTTTCTCCACCTTTCCTTATTAGTCTAGAATAGAAGCACTTATCCTAATGTATTGTTTAGCAAATGACATTGAGAGGTGAAGTATTGTTCAAAGTGCAAACACTCTGCATGTCCTTTCAAAATAAAAGACAACCTGGTTCATAACGTCTGTGCCGTCACTTACAGCTGACGAACTCCGAGACTGGTGTCTGTGGCAGGTGATCGACACCACATACGGCCAATCATCCGGCTCCATGGTTACGCCGGCAGCATGGGCACAGGTCACATGGAAGGAGGTGGGACACCGGCCACACGAGCACTGGATGCAAGCACCGGCCTGCCGCTTCCCCCCGCACCGCTTACGACAGTAGATGCACCTCTGTAGAAACACAGAGCAGAGCGAACGATCAACACCAAACACAGCCTGACACAGAGGGAGCCTTCTTTTCTACTCATGACGTACATCTTTAAAAAAAACAGGTCAGAAGTTTATGGTTTTATTTTTAATAATGGCTTCATATTTCACTAACAGGGGTAAATAGTTCATTTGTTGGGGGACTATTTTCAGCTGTGAATTAATATTAAGATCTCCAGAGAAAACACAGAGCAGAAGGAAGGGGGTCGGGTTGAAACAAAGTGTAACAGCAGAGCCCATGTTCAGCATGAAGACGAGACATGTCTGATCCACTGTGTGGCTCCTTCACAAGGTTCAAGAGAAGATATGCACGCACGCACCGCTGCGCTTTTTTCCCCAAAGGTATGATATTCCCCGTAGTTTTGCCGCCTATGGATCGTGTCTTGTAACCACATCCTCTTTGCTCCGTGTCTGATCCGGAAAATAAACCCCATTTCAAATATAACACATGCAGTAATGAGCAACAGAGCAGTGGCCGTTGTCAACAGACTGTTGTCATAGAGACAGGATGTACATGAAGCGCTTTTATTCTAAGTGCACAAACGCTTCATGCAAACACTCCAGAGTGCACAGCCAGCGCTTCTCTGGACACAGGACCGTCCTCTACTTCCATTAAAATCTCCTTATTTCAAACTACAACTGTTGAGTGTTTTTCTTTAAAAAGTCTAAACTTATGAAATGGTGTGGATTCTGCAACAGAGTGAAAAAAAAGGGTAATTTAAAAATCTGGATTTTCACTTGAGAGACTTTTTGCAATAAGGGCTCAAGAAAAACGGCAGCGAATTAAAGACAAAAGACCGCTAAGTGAATCATAGCTCAGTTGTGCCCTTAACCTCAAACATCATTTGAAACCATCATGTGCTCTGAATAATGTGAAATCTACTCAGTGCAGTGTTATTGGATACGGTGGTGTAAACAAAACATAGCAGGGGGAAAAAAAAAAAAGGAGAGGGAGAGAGAGCGCCCAGTAGTTACATGAAACTGAAACATGTTATTCCATCAGGACAGGAAAAGCCTTAAATAAGGCCAATCAGATGACATCATGAGGTTTCCACAACAAGCCAGAGCTGCTGTGGGTCTTTGTTTCTGTAAATGACGGCACGCTGGGCAGCATATTACACGAAAGGTCGTCACAATGTTTGATGCTTTGATTCTTTTTGTTACCATGTGTTTTAAAATGATTCATTATTTTAACGGTTTATATAATCAATACAGAAACTTTAACAACATATGTGTTCAATTTAGACAGTGTGCAGGAGTTAGCCTCAAGAAATGACCCAATATGAGGAGCCTAGCAGGGGCGTGTCCAGAGGGGTGGCCAGGTGTGGTATGGGCCCCCCTTGAAATCTGATTGGCCACCCCATGTTCAACCCAAAAATCCAAATCCATGATTGGCTATTTGGCTAATCAGAGGCAGGACTTACGTACCAATATACTATTCTGGCTGTTTTCAACAGACTAAATGGTACCTTCAGTGGTAAATAAATACTTTGCACTTTCCATAACTAAGTGAAAACTTGTGCACACTGTCGAACTAGCAATGGACTTATTTGCCATAAATTTATTTTTGCAAGTTATACAACGTAACAGAGTTTGCATGCAATTTTCTTAGTACTTAAAATTATGACTTGGTACCTTTTGTACATTTCGTGTTTTTATATATCTTATACACTATTATAACAATCAATCAATTTTTGTTTATAAAAATTATAAGTATAGCGTCAACTCATAACAAGTGATATCTCGAGACACTTTACAAAGGCAGGTAAAAGACCTTACTCATTGCTATATATATATATATATATATATATATATATATATTTGTAATAACTTCTTATATGTTATTTTATTTCAGTTCTTGCTATATTTGCTTGTTAACTGTTTTTGTTTTGCACCAAAACACAAAGACAAATTCTTTGTATGTGTAAATGTACTTGGCAAGAAAAACAGATTCTGATTCTTTGTTTTTGAGTTCCTAAAAAAATCAGCTAACAAGATGAATATGTTGCAAAATTGTGGTACGTACATGTACATATCATTAGAGGGGATAGAAAGGGTAATACATTTTAATTAATTAGTGTGCGTGTGCTGAAGAACATCAGGCCACCCCTGCATAAGTCAGTTCCCAAGGTGGGTCACCCCAGTTAAAAAAAAAAAAAAACATCTGGATACACCTGGAACTTGATTTTTTGTTGCTGTGGTATCGTAACAGGTATCACTAGGCGTTTTCGGACCACAGGAACTTTTTCATAGTTCTGGGAATTGTTGGAACCCTCCGCACTGCAGGAACTGTGAACTATTTCAGTTCCTAGAAACCCGTCTTGAGGATCCTTTGCAGCTCCTGCTTCAGAGTAGGTACCATGGCAGTGAGAATGCAGACAAAAGAAACTCCCCATGGTGTAAAATTCCTCTTCAAAAAGTCCTCAGAACAGTTTGCTCTGAAAACATCTATTATTGTTTTCTTCAACCATTATCACATTTTTTTTTAAAATCTGGTTTTGTGACAGCTCTATTTTACGCACACTGTAACACACCCAACTGTTCTAGTTTTCTGAACCTAACAGCCCATCAAGTCTATTTCCTCCACTGAGGCATCACCCCTCTCCTCCTCTCTTACATAAACTGGACTTTCTTAACGTAGGGGAAAAGAATGACGGCATCCTCCCATTATAACTCCGCTCCCCTTTCCCATCTCACTCTGTTACCTCCACTCTCCTCCTCGTAAAAACACCCGTCTGCGCCCTCCCTTCTCGCTCCGCTTCCTCGCTCTTGAGGGTTTTATCCACATTCCTCTGAAGGTAATTTATTCATTCATCTAATTCCTGGGGATCCATACATGTTGACAGATAATACGCCTATATATAGAGGAGTTCCTCAGAGAATTTACCTCAGCGGTATGCACGCTCAATTGGGAATTAGCTGTTTTGTTGATGGGAATTTTCAGCTTATTAAAGGCTCTGATGACACACGCACTGTTATAATAATATCTAATTATAGAGAACATAATGCATCCTAAAAGGCATATGTAGGAGTGTGATGATGATACAGTACGTTTAAAGATCAGAGATGTTTTAATTCACTGATTCATATGAAGGGAATAAGGAGGAATAACAGCAAAAGACAGCCGGATAAAAAGGTTAAATAGTGTAAAACTTATTAAACTGTCTGCCTTTATAAGCAACTCACAGAAAGACATTTCTTCGGAAAATAGATAGCTGATCTAATTACTTAAGAGAGACAGCTTTTATTAAATGTGACCTCTGCAGCAGGCCTGAGTTCCACCTTCATAATTATCAGCTTAGCCTACTTAACTCAGATTTCAGGTAGGGATCAGGAGGTATTGTGTACAGAGACACTCTTCTTCTGACGAGGTAACCCAAAGACAAAGCTTCATTAAAAAACAGGTGATGAAACTCGTCTTTTCTGCCTTCAAATTAACAAAGCCTCCGATGCTCTGCGGCTCCTCTCTTTTCTGAACTGAGCAGACTTTTTTTTTTTTAGTCAGCGCTTTTTCTTGGCGACTTACTTGGCCTACATTTAAAAAAAAACTTCTTTTTTTTCCCCCCATACCTCCTCCATTATGGACGACGGTGTCTGGTCCACCTATTGAGGCCAGCTTGACAAGATTCTGACTGGCATGCAACACACCCCGAGAGTGTAGGAGGAACTGTGTGTGTGTGTGTGTGTGTGTGTGTGTATTGATCTCTGGAGATAAAAACATTTGATGGAAACATAGATGTAAAGATGTCAATATTTGTTTATGATGTTTAAATGAGAGAGTGTGAGTGTGTGTGTGTGTGTGTGTGTGTAAGCCTAACCCACTTTTCCCCGAGCCTGCGTCTTCTCAGGGGTGTATTTGGGTGCCTGTGTTGAGCCATGCGTTAAGAACATTCCCACAGTAAATTATGAATGCGTATATGTGCGCGGGGTGTGTGCGTGTGCACTGTGTGATCGTAAATTATGAATGCACCGGGCTGCCGCGGGGGGCCAACGGGTCCAAGGCGAGCGTCACGTGGCTCACGAAGCAAACTAACAAACGATAAAGTGAACATAAGAGGAGAGGTATACTATCTGTCAACGTAGATTAAACATTCATCCCTGTGAAGGGGCCGTGTTTGAACATTATATAACACATGGTCTTAGGATCATGGAGGAAGTACACTAAGGGCGTGGCTCCTGGAGGTTATGTAAGGACTCTAATTTGATAACATGTGTTTTTAGCATCAAGTCCATATCACATTTTAAAGCCAGGTGCACCTGGAGGTTTCTACTTATATGGCAGATTTAAGCCATTGTCTTTTTAAACAGGTCGGGGTCGTCTCGCTCACTTCACTTTCCGCTGTAGTCATGTGGCTGCAGGAGAGAGGGGGATCAAACCGACGACCTTTCTGTTGAGAGTCGACCGACTCTACCGCTGAAACACAGCCGCCCCCATAATAAGAAATCCATTTGAGATTGAATGCAGCTGAATTCAAACAGTGAGTACACGTGCTGTTGTGTGTGTCCCTGTGCGCTGCAGAAGTTGACGGGCCTCAATTAGCCCTTTGCAGCCGGATTTCACCATTTGAATAATTTGCCCCCGAGGTAAACAGTGCAGTTTTGATCTGTGAGAGAACGTTTTTGTTGGTCTACAGCAGACTCATTTTTTTTTTCCTGCCTCATGGAAGAAAAGAGCTTACAATGCACATGTCCATCTCGTTTAAAGAGTAACACGCCCAGTGTGTTTGCTACTTCAACAACTTAGCACGGGGTGTGAAAATATTAACTACGCTGGGTTAAAGCTAGCCATGACATTTGAGCTATACTCTACTGCCATGTGAAACTCAGGGCTTGTTATCTGGGTCATAATAACACAACATGTGACTGGGCTTTTTTTTTTTTTTGTATTCCAGCGTGCTTTGCTTTTTTTTTTTTCATATTTTACATTCATCTAGAAATCAAAGAGATTTTTTTTATTTTTTTTAAAGAGACTCATCTGTTTAATCATGGGCTGCAACACGGAGTGCTTGTGTCAGCATGTTGATAAGTGAAAAACGGGCGAGGGGGGAAAATGTTTCATGTCATCATGTAGGATGATTGAAATGATTGCAGTCATAGATACATCTTTAGTTCAGATTCATCTTCCAACAGGGACCAAGCTTTAAAATTAAAATCCCACATGATTATCAAAGAATGACAGAGAGAGAGAGAGAGAGAGAGAGAGAGAGAGAGAGAGGAAGTATTATTTCTGATAAAAGGGAATGAGATTGTTGAAGAAACTGAAACATTTTGGCCTTTGTCTGGAATGTCCGAGGCTTTTTGTGAAGTCTTGACTACAATCTTCCGGTTGTTTCAATTCTGGTTTAGATGGAGATGGATAGTGACTGTGTGGTTTGTACATTATTATCCAAATGAGCTTAATTTCAATGTGGTATCAGTAGATATGTACCATAACTCTCTTTAAATACACAGCGGGTGATGGCACAGTGTCCAAAAAAAGTTAGTGTCCCATGAAGTGTCAGTGCACTCAACTTATTAGGGTCAAATGATCGAGTAGGAGACTGAATTGTTTTTTGGCTTACAACACCATCGATTATCACATTTCTGTTAAAATGCTGAAACATCATGAGCTCCAGTTCAACTCTCTAAATTCAACTTGATAACACTGCTTTAACCTGGGAACGTTTGTGTATATTACAATAGAGTACACTTCAGTTAATGAGTGTTGAGGCTTTTATTTCCAACTTTGTCTTATTTAAGAGTTAGACAACATGAAATATAAAGATTCTCAGCTGAACTCAGCTTAAGACTGAATCTTCTAAATAACTGTGATTTCGAGTTCAAGTCAGGATTACATCCCAGCAGTTACGCCTGCATAAAAAACAGAGGGGCTGCACTTAGTGATTTAAATTGTTCTAACATACATTCAACTCTTAATTAAACAAGAAACAAAGAGGTATGTAGTTGTTTGACTTGTTTATGATAGCCCAGCTGACTGCCCAGCTGCTTTAATGTCCTTGCCGCTAAGTAGTAGGTTGGTCCTTAATCAACAAAAAAAAAAAAACATCTGACAAATCTCAATATTCAATCTCCTGAGAAAGACTGCAAAGTACAAAATTGTTTTGCGTCAAGTGATTTTTATGCCTCGAGTATTTCGTTAGTATAGGTTCTGGGTTTCCCCTCAAGGTATACCAAGATGTCTCATGTTCAATAGCAGCCACTGTCTCTTTGACCATTTAGTTGGATACTTGACCCACTGACCCGACAGTGAGTACAGGTCAGGAAACCTCACCCAGGTCGGCTCGTCAATGTAAGACATCAAAAAGATTTGAGAAGGCGTCCAGATGGTCCGTAACCTTCTGACGTCAATTGACTGTAAATATCGCGCCTTGTTTGGGTCATGTTGTGTGTAAGGGTGTTTTGTGGAGTCCCTCCCTATGCTTAGATGAATCTTAACTGATTCTTAAAAAGCTCAAGTTTTCATTCACATGAATCTTGTTGTTGAGACAATCATCTGAACAGGGAGTATCCATCTTGTGTTGGGATGCACCTCTCCGACACTTTGCTTTCTGCTGAGCTATCACGGTGCCCGCAGCAAAGAGCTAACTATAGTGGAAACATGTCAGGTCTGCTGAGACGTACTCCAGCTCTCTCATTAAGTAAACACACACACACACACACACACACAAAATAGATGTACTAATGCATGCATGCAAAAAAAAAAAAACACACACACACACACACACACACAGGAAGATAAGACACACAACCACACATGTAGAGACAAACCCCCACACACAGACAGCCCTACACACACACACACACAAACCCCCACTCCCACCCACCAGTGGTTAATTATCTAGCTTTGATTGCGGGCATGTTCGTCTCACATTGTTAATTAGAACTGTGAACACTTCATTAATTAGACCGAGCCAGTCCTCAAGGACCTGGGGAATTCCAGTACTGCATCTCTGTGTGTGTGTGTGTGTGTGTGTGTGTGTGTGTGTGTGTGTGTGTGTGTGTGTGTGTGTGTGTGTGTGTGTGTGTGTGTGTGTGTGTGTGTGTGTGTGTGTGTGTGTTCTTACCAGTTTATACCGCTGCATAGGGATCCTACTGGTGTCAATAGGAGCTCTCTTGGCTTCATCACTGAACCTGGCCTCTGGGAGTGCTACTGCACACATAATGTGGGCCCATCTATACAAACAAACACACACACGAGCACAGGCAAACAAATTAATACGTTATGATGATTACGATGCAGAGACGTTTCATTCGTCTGAGCTCCAGAGATCAGAGATAAGTGCTGAACAAAAGGATGTCTCACTTGTCGTTTTGGGTTTTTTTCAGGGCTCCACCTCTGAGGTTACAAAGACAGCATTCCTGAGGAAACACAAACAGAGAGCCAAAACCGGTAAGAAAGAAATACTACAATTCACCACTTCATTTACATTTTCCTTATTTGAAATTACATAAAGTAAGAGTTGATGTTACATTTATCGTTTGTTAGATAACTTCTGATATGACAATGAAATAACAAGACAAAAAAAAACAACAAAAGACGAGAATTTTTCAAAAGCATCTCCTATATTGATCCTAGTTTGAGCACGTTTCTGCTCGTGGAGCTTATTAGAAACATGCAGAGGCTTTTTAGGTCGGGTACAATCACTTCTATCTGAACTAGTTTTCTTGCCCGCTTCCATCGCTGCAACACCTGTTGGTCTGACCTGATAACTGCTCTCATATCTGACAAACCGAGGGGCGTCCAAAACGGCTGTGTGGGGGGTCGCCTTAAAACCACCTACCTTCTCTGGTCCAAACAAATCCAGAGCATTCAGGAGCAGAATCTAAAGTCAGAAGGAGGACATACTGGCTGCTGCATTGTTGTCAGAGAAGCCAGCACTTCAACATAGCATGTTTCCTTAATGTCTGATCATAGAGTAAGGTTAATTAGCATATTATGACATCATGTGAGAAGAAGAAAAAAGTTCTTACTGCTGTAAAGCTTCCCTCCGTACAGCGATCACAAGACCACTGTTCACCGACGTCATCTGCAGCAACACCATAGCAACCTGAAGGAGGAAATGATTGATAGAAGTTAATGATGTTTTAAAAATCAAGATGTCAGTCTCAACGTCTCGGAGATAAACCTGTGACATCACCGTTCTTTTGTGTTCAGAGAAGTCTACAACGTGCAGTTTCTGTGCAGCTGTGTCACTCTTAACATTGTGGAGTTTGCACTCCTACTAGCTATAGAACGGTAGTCGAGCTCTCAGCCTGCAGGGAAAGTTGTGAAGCACAGAACCCTAGCTTGCCAGCTCTCTGCCTGACCCCTCTGGTCACTCTTTAACTTTAATAAAGGACTCTTTCAATCAAAAGAGGACTCCACAAGGTTTATTTACTGAACAATATACCACTGTTTTATGTAAATGCATGATTATGACCTCATGATGGAGAAAAGATGTAAAAAAAAAAGTTGTGAACTCGGGATCAATAAAGTATCTATCCATCTATGTATATGATGCTTTCATGTCTTGTGTGAAGCACTTTGAATTGCCTTTTTGCTGAAATGTGCAAAAGAAATAAACTTCACTTGACTTAAAATCTAACTTCTTAAAAAAAACAACCTCCCTCCCGCTCCTCTACTGCTGAAGAGCTTTGTGGCCTGGTATCAGTGAACCCCTGACAGAAAACAGCAGACTTGACAACAAACGTTAAGTCCATCATCACTTACACAGAACAGAAGGAAACGCTACATCCACATTGTTTCCACAGATTTTCTACAGAAAAATGGTTTTGTTCCAAAAGGAGAAGTGCTCAAAATTGCAGGCTAAGTGGAAATAGAGAACTGTGCGGTAGCTCTGTCTCCCAGTGAGAGTGTGTGTGTGTGTGTGTGTGTGTGTGTGTGTGGAAGAGAATGGTTGTGGTTGAGCATGAAAACGCAGGCAACACGAGAGGACTTAGTACATCAATGGGTATATGTTTACAGACGCATCTGTTTGTGTGTTCAGCTACGTATCAAAGAGCGCTTTGCATGACAGCCGGGCTCGCACTGCCGTGACATTTTCTGCTTTCTCTTGTGACACTTGAGCACGAAGCCCTTTGTAACCCCGACGACATCGCTGACAGACACAGAAAAACACAACGTGGTATGAAAAACAACGGGCACTCCGTGTGAATGTTGTTGTTGTTGTTGTGAACGTTTTTTTTTTTTTTCGGTGTCCTTGGCGAGGCGGAGCAGCATTAATGTTTCACAAAAGAAAAGAAAAAGAATAAATCCTGGTGGCCTCTCACTGAAAATTTTTCAGAATTTAAAAAAAAAAGGATAAATGTGATATTTTCCAAAGTGAGCGGCTGGTTAACATCCACTGGTTAGAGGTTTTAGAAACATAAGCTGGAGGGGGATTTCATTTCTTAAGAAACACTTGAGATCTGTATATGCGTGCACGTCTCTCGTCCTTTTCTTCACCATCCATCACCAAACCGAAGATACAAATCTAGAGCTCACCTCACTTTCCGTTCCCAGGTTCAAATAACAGAACAGAGCTCGGACTTATTGTTGGGTCTCCGGACTAAACTGTGGCTTTTTCATCAGTGTCAAATGACACGCACTCCATCATCTACGCCCCCTCTGTGTGACCTCCACACACTCACAAGAGGCGAGTTAGTGGATGTGTAGTTAATACATGAATATAGTCTGTTTAAATCATTGTGATAGTCATTTTAAACCAGCAAGAACATTGGGAATGGGAGAGAAGATTTAGCGGATGTAGAGGCGAGGTGAACAGACAAAAGTAAAACAGGGTGGAAATATTCCAAGAGTTTGATGAACTAGACAAACGGCACATCCAACATGATGCAGCACCTAAGCTCAAGACTCCAAAAACTCAAACTAGGAAGCAGATTTGAAACATCCGTCGCTTAAATGAGTGAAGAGCCACAGAGATTACTCCGTGCATTGTTGTCTGATGATTCATTTTTATTTAATGGCGCCTTTCAAAGCGGAGAAAAACAAAACAACAAAGTAACAAATCATCGACAAAATGAACATTAAAAAGACGAGGAGTTCTGAGTACGGCCGGTTAAAAGAATCGATTCATCAATGCGTTGCAATTATTATTTTCCAAATTCAATATTGATTCAGAGAAATCCTGAGGATTGATTTTTTGTGTTGTAATGACACCACTCTCCACTGGGGGCGCTGTGGGTGCTGTGAAATCAGGTCATTCCATTACAGCACTGTTATGTGTATTTCGATTTTGCTGCAAATTCAACTCAGGCACAAATGTGCACTTTAGATCAAACTGTCATCTGTATGTGTTATTAAATCGATATCGAAGCTTATTGATGGATACTGACTCGAATCAAGGGTGGTGCAGTGAGTTTAATGGAAGAAGACGACCTGAGAGTGCAGGCTGGTGTGTTGTTGAGCAGACTTTTCATTACATGAAGTGACACAAAGTGAGTTGTTGAGAAAATTCAGTCTTTTAAAAAAGCTTTCTGTGCTCCAAATGCTTAAATCACAGACTGCGTCTTTGTTCATTTAAAGAGATTTTCTTTATTTGTCTTATGAATGCATTTATTTGATTTGGAATTTCTTTAAAATCCTTTGTTTCTTCTACATTAAATATTCAGACAGGTCTTTTTGTGAGAAACAACTTTATATATACCAATAAAATGGTTTTATTGTTAACTCTAAAATGTAAAGTTATGACTCCTATTTCACAAGAAAAAGAAGCAAAAGGATAATTTTTGTTTTCATTGTCAGTGAATTGATATAAAATAAACGTATTGTTCATAAAGCGACTTCAATCTCTCTTTTTTATGTTAGACAATTGTAAAATAAGAATCTTGTTATTAAAGTTGCCAGTAAGATCACGCTTCCTGAACCTGTGTCGAGAGCTGGAGATAAATGAAATCTCCGAACAGCCAATCGGAGAGATTCCTCTCACAGAGCGCCGACGCTGACTCAACATGTCGAATCGGCCAAAAAAAAAAAGGCATACGGGGGCCGACGGGTAGCGAAGGAGCCGGACTCACCGCAAAAACTAGGGCGACGAGCTTCTGCCCTCAGGCATCAGATACAGATTACGAAGTCCAACAGGTTGAAAAATGATTTTATAACTCAGGCTGTCAAACTTCTGAACTCTAAGGATGAAACTGATGATGGGTTTTCATTCTGGTTTTATGGACTTTTTTATAATCACTCTCAGTTTCCTGTTGTTACCTGATGAACTCTTTATGTATTTAATGTTGTTCATGGTGTTTCAATTGTCTGAGTCTATGCGCCTGTGTTTTTATGTTTTTATATTGTTTTCACCTGGCTGCAAACCAAATTCCCCCTCAAGGACGATCAAATTGAAAGTTGAGTTTTTCATGAACCCAGTGGTGTTATGTACGGTCGTATATTGAGTTGTAACCTTGACGATGACACTCCAGTGGAGAGTTTAAAACACGGTGGGATCAACACCAGTGGCCAGAAAGTTTAGGGATGGAAACTTTTGCTTTTAAGCTGTGGATTCGGGACGGTGTGTGTGTGAGTCTCTAAAAACATTGTGTGCGAGTCTGCTTCTGTGGACGGCCGGCTGAAAGCTTGAGATACTGGCAAAATGTGTATGGATTGGGAAAGAGATCTGGGGGTTGTTAAAGCGTGTGAATGAGGGATTGAGAAAGAGCCCACAGTATATCGTGTCTGTGTGTCCTGTGGAACAAAGAGGTTCCAGGGTTTTCTTCTTTTTTTTTTTACGAGTGTGTGTGAGGGCTCGATACACGGGTTTGGGGCTTTTGGACAGGAAGTACATGTGGTGAAGGCAGAGGATTCACCCTCATTGGGCTGACGAGGGAAATAAAATACTCCCAACCACGGAGAGAGAGGGGGGTAAGGGAAACAGGAGGGAGGGGGGGCTGGAACATTTAGATGGAGTGAGTCAGGACATAAACCCACTGAACCTCTTACAGTGACATCAGAGAGACAAGCAAAACATGTAGAAACAAACAACGTGGTCGTTGAGGTAGGTGGTGAAAGTTTAGGAACTATAAACTTTACTCACAACACCACCATTCACCTCAGGACACACCAGGCAGTCAAGACCTCACATCCTAAATTCACACTCCCCCCCCCCCCTTTCTGTACGTACTTGCATGTACTTGCAGGCAGCAGCCCTGGCAGTAGAGGAGAGGGGAGGTGCCATCTTCCTGCAGCAGAGGGTTAGTGGGAGTCGGGGGGCAATTCTGCTCCCGGAAAGAAAAGCAGATCTCTGGGACCAGAGGTTTAGTCCTCCGCAGACTCCTACAGGGACGTGTGGGGCCCTCCACTGGAGATGAAGGTGTGGCGCAATCCTCAGCAGCGATAGACGAATTGTCCTCAGCTTTGTCTTCGACCTTAAAAAGAGAACATGCTTGACTTTCCTGGAGCTTCATACCCAAATATCTACTGAGCAATTTTCTCAAATTTGTTCTCAAGACAGAAGAAGAACCTATGTCTGATTCATGAAATATTCAAAACTTTTCACCCCCCTTCAGCCCTGCCCAGAACAGGCTGTTTCTGTGTCTGTACCTTTAAATATGTAAATGAGCAGTGTCTGGCCACGCCTCCTTCCTGGAAGGGGATGCGGCTCGGGCTTTCTTGCACCTTGCCTGATTGTTTACGGTGAGAAGGCAGACTCAGAGGGCAGAACAAACAACTAGCTGTGGGAGTGTCACCCACCTGGGGGAGGGGTTACTGCCCTTTGTGATGTCATGAAGGGAAAATGTTCAAACGGCCTGTTTGAGCACACATTTTTTGAAAAGTGGAGCAGGCAAAAGATGGAGAGGATGGACTTTTCTCATAATGAGGGGTTTGTTGACAGACTAGCAACTCATTAATGTTGGAAACATGGAAAGTATATTTTGCATAATAAGTGACCTTTAAAGTGTGTTTATGCTTAAGTCTGCTATAAACATAGTCTTTAATAAAACTGTAATCCATTTAGAATACAAACATTCACCAAATGGCACTGGATGTGATTTCTGTTGAACTCCACTTTACCTGATAATAGGGCATGAAGAGTGTGCATACAGCGCAGAATGGCTCCATTGTGGCTGAATGAGCATTGTACTCCCTCTCCGCTGTGAAGCAGCTCTTCCTGTTCTGCCACAGGTAGATGAGGGGCTTCGCCCACGCTTCTATTTCCTGCTCCTCCTCCTCCTCCTCAGCCAAGGTTGCTTCAGTGGGCTCTGAGTGCAGACAGGACAAAAGCCTTACAACCTTGCAATCACTTATCTATTCAACTGGCGCCTCTTTCACTGGAGCTCAGATGATGATGATTCATGCCATGCAGCGTGCACATCTTTTTTTCGAGATTTGTAAATTGAGCCCTTTTTTTTTTCTGAATGTAAAGTAATTATGTTGCTTGAATATGAATAAAGCGTAGCATGCATCCTTCTTTAACATCTGCAGTATTAATGGTTATGTTGTTAACTCAGATCTTTTCATGCACAGAGCTGACTATTTCCTGCAGTGCCTTGAAAAACATTTGGGATAAATAGGACCCTGTCTGATTATAAAATTAACCAAAATGATAAAGAGCTGTCATCATCATAAAATAGGCGTCTGGCAGCCATGGACACCTCATGGTCATTTCTCATTCAGGGACAAATAACCAAAATGGCTGCTGAATTATTCATCTTTTTGCTTTTTTAATACAGCTATTGAGATAATGAATGTGACTGTGTGTGTGCATTTGTAGGTGTTAATTGAGAGCCCCTCCCCACCCACTCTGTTCAAACCATGACAACAAATAGAGTATCTATCACACACTCATTTTACTGCGGTAGGCCCGGGAGTTAAATCTGTTTGCTTTATGGGTGCGTTGACGTCAGAAGAATCATTTGGTGGGGGACATAAAATGTGAAAAATTAGGAGAGGAAGTGGGGAACCGCAGAGTTGAATGGTTCAATGGTTAGAAAGCTACGCAGCAGGGGGAACACAAACATTACCGGACATCACTTAAAAGCTAACGAGTTTGGTGTAAACTCTATTAAGTTATAAACTTCAATTCTACTTCCACATGACCTTTCAACAAAGAGACACTCATGTTTTTTTTTTAAAAGATGCTTTAAATTGGGGTTATAGTTCCTCAAACTCAAGGGGGGGAAAAAAAAAGTTATGGCATCTGCATTCTGGTTCACTGAAATGCAACGAGCAGAAGTCAAAGAATCATGGTTTCTGGCCGGATGCCACTTTCAATACGGCGCCGACCACAACAGGAAACGTCCCTGGGTTTTTATTAAAATGAGCACGGCTCTTGGTTTACAGCTTGTGCATGTGAGCTCTATGAATGTCTTTATAAGGCTAACACTTAGCTGTACCTTTCAATGATCTTTGTGAACAGTGTGTGTGTGTCTGTGTGTGTGCCCACCATCATCACTGGCGACTTGTTGTTTGACAGCAGTGGGTACAGCCCGTGCAGTAGGTTTCCTGAGTGGGTGACGCCAGCTCTTAGACGTCCTCTTCACCGACAGCGCCGGGTACTAGTGAGCAGGCATCAATGAAAAGCGTTACATTATTTCTATTTAGATCAAACTCGAGCAAAAGACTGAAACTGTACAACTGAGTGGATGAGCACTCACAGCACAAACCTCTCCAGGTTCCAGGCCTAATTCATCACACTTGAAGTTAGTCGTATTATCTTCTTCTTCTTCCTCTTCCTCCTCCTCCTCCTCCTCTTCTTCTTCTTCCTCCTCTTCCTCTTCCTCTTCTTCATCCGATGAGTCACTACTACTTTCTCCCTTGGCAATACTTTGCTGCTCCATCTCATCGCCATCGGATCCCCCTTCTTCCATATCAGACACCCCATCCTGTTCTCCTCCAGCCACCCCGAGAGGTGAAACAGAAGTGTCTGAGTGTAAACTCTCCTCTGCGTCTCTTTGTCTCTCCAGCTCCCTGCACAAGGACAGCGCTTCAGACCCTTCGGCCTCCCCTCTGTGGAGTTCATAATCTCCACAAATCCCCATGGGTTCAAGAGCGCCGACAGAAACCAGCGAGGTGGGCTCCAGCTGGGCCCAGGTGAGAGGCCCCGCCTCCTCTTCCAGGCTCTCCGACTCCCGCAGGCCTTGATGCGCGTCATCCAGGTCGGTGACCTCTTTGCACTGCGGTTCGGTCCACATGGTGTAAGGTAGAGTGTCGTGGGTGAAGTCGGAGGGCAGATCGGGGTTCAAACTCTGGATGAGCACAGCGGGACTCTGGGAATTGAAGTTTTTCCAGATGCTGCTGGAGAAAGGTTTGGGCTCTAAGTATGAGTTCTGCGTAGCACAAAGCGAGGGGGGGTATGTAGTGTTGTGCTGAGATGCTGAGTGACTGTCACTCTGAGTGCATACTGCAGGGGAAGGGGCCGGGGGATTATTGTTTGAGGAGCCACTTAAAAGAGAACCAGCCCTGCTCAGACTCGACGCACCGCCTCTTTGTACTGGGTCCTTTGAGTTGTCTTTATTTGCTAACTCTGCTAAGCTGTATTGCTGCTCTGTTTGAGATGAGGCGCTTTGAACTAGCTGGCGAGGGGAAGCCTCGGTCTGTCCAGCAGTTACATTTTCCAGCTCGGTATGAGCCCTTTCTGCGGCAATTCCTGCTGTTATTAGCATTTCATGGACACCACCAGATGTTATTCTGTGCGTAGCATTGGTGGTTAAATGAGCCATGTTGCCCTCTGAAACAGATACTGCTGCCCCTGTGCAATTATACGGAGAATCTGAATGCCAGTTGTTGGCTAGTTTTACAGCAAGAGGTTCTTTTTTTGCCGTCATTGGGTCCGTTTCTCTCTCTCCATGTGAGGAAGGAGAGCCAGTTGGCGTCTCACGTTGAAGCACAGGTGCAACGTGGTCCCTGCACCGTCTGGACTTTGGGACATCCCTCAGCCCGTCGTTAGCAGGAGTGAGCGAGGGCATCTCTTGGGTCAATACAGGCGGCGGCAAAGGGCAGATTCCAAGCTTATCTGCAGGCTCTGGAGTGAGCTGTGGCATATCCACAGCATTCCTCTGTAGCAGAGGAGGGAAAAGATTTTCCTCAGTGTTGCTTTTTTCTAAGTCCATGAAGGGGCCACATGACGTGTGACCTTTCCCCTCTACCGGCTCAGTTTTGACATTGTAAAGTGCTTCTGCATTAGAGTGTGGTTTGATACATTTTGGCTCAGCTACCGTGTCCATTTTCTCTGCATTAGCAGCATTGTTAGTGTTTTTCTCAGAACCCGTGGCCATGTAGCTGTCAGTGTTTGGCATTAGGCTTAAAGTGTCTTCTCTACATGAGGAACTAGGCGCCTGAGCTTCACAGTCGGGAGGACACAAGCTCATCTCAGGCTCAGCTGAAGAGCTCGTTGTGTGGGAAGGTGAGCTGAGTCTGTTTGCCTCTCGGGGAGGCACCCTGATAGAGCAGCCCTGAAGAGTCGAGAGGTCTTGTGGTTCAGGAGAGCAGCACCTTGGCTCGTTATTTCCAGGATGTATCTGTGCAGCCTCCGGCCATGGTCTGAGTCCTTCAGGAGTCCTGCTCGGGACCCCTGACCCTGAGAGGTGTGGAGGGTCAATGTGAGTGTCTGTTTTTGCATTTGGGTCATTCTTGACGGTTGACGCGGCGGAGGTAAAGGTGCTGCAGGGAGAGTTATCGGAAGGCCCCTTGGTGGAAAATCCCAAACCATTACTCTCTACACGATTCACCTTGACCACACACATCTGTCTGCAAGGACCTGTAGCGAAAGGAAGAAGGATGGATAACGGTGAAATCTACCATCAAGTAGAAAAAGATAATATCATGATATAAAGAAAAAAGACTAAAGTCTAGACCTGCTCTTTTTGTGAAGTGTCTTGAGATAACATTTTCCAAAATAGAAAATAAGCTCACATACCAAGGTGAGTTTCTTACCGGGTAGCTGAAAGTAGTTGTGATTCTGGTTGTGCTTCGACTCGGCTTCCTTTTTCTTCTCCTTCTCCTCTTCTCTGCAGGTTGCCCCTGACGCCGACCTTCGAACCTTGGGCCCGAGCGGACCACCCAGACCTTTCCTCTTAGTGCTGTTCAATGCTGAGCTGCCATCCAGGCCAACGGGCTCCTCTGTGGTTCTGAGGCGCTTGGAGCGCATACGAGAGTGGCTGCTGCTGGAAGAAGAGCGAGAGAGAGAGAGAGAGAGAGATCAAAGACGACTGCAGTGTAATCACCCAGATTACAACCTTAAAGCAATGAAACCAAGAGCACAACTCTGTGACAAAGAAGACGAGGGCGATTGGCTTTTACAGCTTGAGAAAAATTTCTGGCCTGAGACATTCAGTCTTTAGCAAATGCACCAAAGCCGCCACCACTGGGCACACATAGTCTTAAATTCATCATCACAATCAGATTACGAGATGCAACGACTACACTGTTACTGTTAGCTGCAGTAGACTCGTCTCTGTTACAGTTTGGCCTAAAAAACACAAAAAAAAAACACTGCCTGAATTTTGAATACTGTACCCTTTATTAGCGGGCTTGGTCTTGCGCCTACTCTGCAGCCAGCTCTGCAGCTCGGGCGTGGAGCCGGGAGTGGGATGTGTGTGGTCGATAGGGGTCGAATCTTTGCCCAGCATCCAGTTAGGGTAGCGGTCAGGTTGAAAACGCTTCACAAAGGGTTCCATGGATATCTTAACCATGTCTCTGCTACATGTGCACTAGATGAGAGAAAGAGGAGGAGGATGAGTTTTTGCTTTCCTTGCAGTGTCTACTTTTCAGCCTGAATTACCGTTTATTCTACACTTTGTTTTTACCTCAAACGAGCTTTATTAAAATCTCAAATCACTCATTTGAGAAATAAATAAAGTGATAAAAAGGACTTGTACCTGCGTGGCCACTTTGCCATAGTCTATCCAGCGCACAGTGGCAAAGTTGGTGGACTCGGCACAGTTGAAACCATGATTGAACCCAGCATGGTAGCCATAAGGGAAGGTGACCATAAACTCTCCAGCTTCCTGAGTTATCTGAAGATTTAAAAAAGTGAAAAGGCGAGAGAGATGAGGGCTTAAGACAGCATGTAAAGGAAAATAAAAGAAAACTGAAATCAGCCGCTGGAGATTTCAAGCTTTGCTAATTAATATGGCAAGAAAAGCTGTTGTCATAAAGTTGGTAAATAACAGGAGTAAGGATGGCATGAGGACGAGGACTGAGAGTACATTTTTCAAGCGTCCGAGTTGCCTACCTTATCGAAGGGAATGCCGTACTTCTTCAGTATGGACGGGGAGATTAGAGTCATCTTGTGACGAAGAAAAGCTTCACAGCTCTTGAAGCTGTTGGGAAAGAAACCTGACGAAAACATACACAGAAAAACTTTACACAGAGTTTTAGCCAGACAAGAAAAAAAACATTAAAAAGCCATCATCATAATTCACCAAAGCACAAAATGATTAGCTAAGAGCCGAGGGGTGAAACATTCTCCCTAAATGTCTTTTTGATGACCTTCAACCTGGTGGGTTTCCTAAGGTGGTGCGATTGCCCTTAGAAATGTGCATTGCTCTTGGTGTATTGTTTTAGGACTGTTCATCGATGTGTTGATACTGCGGGGTTTAAAAGGCCACATGAGCCTGACTACCTTCAGATAACAACTGTGATGTCTTCTCTCCGTGCTGCACGTCTAAAAGCTTTCCTGAGTCATATCACACCGTGTTCGTTTTTCTTTAGAGAAACTAGCAATTCCCATACTATTGAAATGTCTCTCACACAAGACACAAATATTTTCTTTAATAGTGCAGGAAAACAAACAGTGGAGAAAAACTTGATCCAAGATGAATGTTTTAGTAACTATACAATCCCAATTTAGAAATGAATAACTTAAATGTATGAAGACATTTAGAAGAGGATATAATGCCTTGTTGTTGTCAGAGATGCTTCTTGTCAATAGTCAAGGCAGGCAACTGCTTGGGGGCCCCCCAGGCCAATAAGGGGGGCTCCTGAGGGCTGACAAAAACTTTAAACCACAGCAGTGGCTCAAAATGTGCAAAGTTTGCAATGACAGTTGTAAACCTCCTCCAGGGACCCCCCCCCCCCCCCCCATCTGATAGCAGTCACTTATAGAAAAGTAAGCGACTGAATGTTGTTCATCTAGCTCTTAAAAATGGGGAGAGACACTTGAGTTACATCACTTCTGCACACATTATTTTATGAAGTTCATGTTCTTTGACATTTTGACAATTCTTCATATTTGTATTTTGAAATTACAAGATGTTTTTGAAAATAATACTTTGGTGTCAGATTACTTACAAGATATTTGGGGGGGAGAACCCTGCTACAGTGAATTGTTACCCAGAGCCCCAAAAGACTCCAGAATCGACCACTGGGCGATGCAGGTACTGCGGTATCAGAATGTGTTCCTCGTTTTACTTTTCTTTTTTTTTTTTTTTTAACTCAAGTAATTGTAAAAAATCCTGATAAAACTGTGATATATATTTATAGCGGACCGAGCGTCATACGTTAGCTGCTGTCACATGTGTTACAGTGAACTGAGTCTTCTCATGCTGAACAGCGTGGTGTGTAAAGTGGTTTGCAAACACATGAACACTTTTCCAGTTTTCCATCAGCTCATGGCGGCAGTCAGAGCTCATTGGCATTCTGCATCTCTGGCTGCACCGTTACCTGTTGTGCCCCTCTCATTGCTGCGTTTATTATTTAATACGTTCTGTGCTTTGTTGTTTAATGCAAAACCTGCTTCTGTATGCTGCTATCATAATTCAATAATTATACAATTACCTCCGCCGCCTCCTCCTTTTATATTGAGAATACAAAGAAGAGTAATTATTCCTTTACCTGTAGCCAGACGCTCCAGTCTCTTCCCGTGCTCAGGGGGGATGGCGTACCTGTGAGAGAGAACAGATAGATATAGAGCAGACTGAATTATTTTTGACAGTGGAGCTGAAATTCTCAACATGTATTGTTCATTATGCACTGTAGCAAACACTGACAACTTTTCTCAGGCAGTCTCTGCAATTACAAGACTGCCATCAAGTGGTGGATTGAAGAATGAAGGCAACAATGCCACTGAATTGTTTCCAGTATTGCACAATGATGCAAATGAGGGAAATATTGTCATTCCTAATGTTAGAGCATGCAAATGTACTGTGCATGCAGAGGACAACAAGTGTAGTCCTGCCAAGTCCTGCCGAGTGACACTCAGCCACCCTTTTTGTCTGAGTTATGCTAATTTAAATTCAGAAACATTTTGAAGTGGTTTAAAGATCAATTCAACACATGATGATAATCTGTCCTGAAAGAGGGGCCAATGAAAACAGTCAGAAGTCGTCGTACTGACATTAGAGATGTGCCGATTGGCTCACAGCGTCGACACGAGGATCGAGTTTACATGAAAGAAAACTTTCCACTCTTAAAAACTTGTGGTAACCTTGAGCCTGTGTGGAGAAGAATACTAACCTGCACACTCTTTTTCTCTTTTGTCTAAAGCTAGCTCACACTGACTGAGAGAGATAAAAAGGCACCAAAGCATCCTTTCATTTATTCAGAAGAGCTTCAACAGGTAAAAGGTCATCACAGTGTTGTTAGATGTCATTGGTCTATACTGATATGCTGTCTTCCCCTTTGTCTTGTGTTTTGTTGTCCTGCTTTCAGGTACCTTGTGTTCTGTCTGTCCTGTTTTAACGCATGTCTTCTGTTGTCTGGCTTTTAAAAGCTCAGTATGTAAAATCCAGCGCCGGGGGGGGCTTTCAATCGAAACAATAACAAAAGATGACGTCGAGGCTAGCGGGGAATCATGGGAGTTCTCTCTGCCACAGGTCAGATTAGCGCGCACACTAACCACTAGTCTCGGCGCCCGACAAACCCTCATTTTTGCCGAAATATTTGTAAAGTCTTCTACAATCAACCTTCTGGTTTCCACCAAAGGTTTTTTTTGGGGGCAATTGTCTTTATTGGACATGAAACGTCTGGAGGAGAGCGTAGAGCATGACATGCAGCAAAGGGTCAGGTCACATTCAAACCTAAGGCAGCTGCGACAAGGACAACAGCCTGCGCACATAGGGCAGGCAGCATAACCGCTAGGCCATCCAGCACCTCCACCAAGCATTTATGAGATGCTTAAGAGGAGATTTCTAAAGAGTGAGATATCGCCTTATAATACGCTTTGGATATGTATCATAGGCCATATGGAGTACGCTATTTTCTGTCTACATAATGACTACTTCTGATTTCTGTTCAGTTGAAGAGTTTCTCAAATTAAATTTGGACATGGAGCTGTTTACTTCCTGTGTCTCATTGCTGATTTAATCTGAATTGGAAACTATTTTCCGAAAGTGCCCGGCGAGAAAACCCAGGCAGTGTGACAGGATTCCCTCAAGGTTTTCGCCTAGGCCTTCCATCTGACTAGCGCCATCCGCCCTCAGGTTTGTGGCGTTTCTATCATCATATCACCTGTCAGCTTAACAGAGACGGTGAGAGACAGGGTGAGAGGGAAAAAAAACTCAGGTAGAGGTGACATGGGGAGTTGGAGGGGGGTTGAGAAGAGGTGCATCTTTAAGCTGCTCCCCTCCAGGGACGGGATGTCAAAAAAAAAAAAGTAGCAAGATGAAAGGGTGTATATCAGTGTGAGTGTGTGTGTGTGCGCTTGATGATAAGGGTATGCATAGGTGTGGGAAATTCAGTGTATGTGTGTGTGCGACTGTCTGGCTGTGACACTGATCCCTGTGGGGTTGCAGGGCTCACTGCTCTAATGAGCAGAACTCCCTCCAGGGCAAGAGGCAGCGAGAAATGGAGCAAGCCGAGCTGACAAAGAAATAAAAAGCAAACTCTATTTTGATCTACCTGCATTCTTCAGCTCAGCTGCCACTTCAACATGTTAACCCTGAATCTCCTTAAAACACAGCTCCTCTTCTCGAAAAGAATGTGAAAGCTTTCACACCTGTGCACTGATTTATGATTCAAGCTATGCCCACCGTCTCGATAATGTAAACGTGACAATGTGTGAAACAACTTTAAAAATATGTCATTGTAGGATCTAGTCCTGGAAATCTGCCTTCAGGGTGGTTAACTTCAACCAGAGGAGGATAAGCTCACAATGAATCCACTTGGACTTGTCAGGTGCTTATGTCTACAGTCACTGTTTCTCAACTGATGCTAGTTCAAGTCTACAGTGTAAACAGCTGATTGTTCTTCATCCAACAGGCAGGATCATATTCAACACCCTGACCACACCTCCTCACACCCAATCAAATCTCTCCACACGCAGTCATTCAAAAAATAAAGCAGTATTCATCAGTGAACACTTAATCAAGTTGCAAACTAGAAAGACGTGGAGACTTTAAAACTTTACATTGGAAGTAGTATAATTATATTTCTACTTTAATTATTTCAATTAATTTCATTCAAACATATCTTTAGATTTTTTTTAATTTTCTATTTGAATGTTTTTTTTTTTTCCTCTGTCGTGATGCTTTTGATGTCTTGTGTGAAGCACTTTGAATTGTTTTGTTGTTGAAATGTGCGACATAAATAAACTTGCCTTGCCTAGTAGGAGAAAAGCTATAATTATTACGACGCTGAAACGGGGCGGCTGTGGCTCAGGATGGGAGACGACGCTCACACTGATATCCCAAATTGCTTCAGCGTCAGCGGCGTGTGAATGTGTACGAACGGGCGGCTTCTGTCATCAGTGAATGTGACATGAAGTGTAGAAAGCTTTTTGAGCAATCAGAAAACTAGGAAAAGCTCGAGAGGTCGTGTCAGATCAGCAGACAGTAGAGTTGTCACATTAACAGAAATTTTAACTTTGATACAATACTTGCAAAATCAAACAACATTGATACCTATTTGTATACCACAGCCATAAAAAAAGAAATCCTGGGCACCAAAAATTGCGCAATTTAGTTGTTGTTTTTTTTCAACCTGCATGATGCGTGGGTACAGAAAGAGTCACTGAACACATACCAACATTTGACATACTGTTAATAGTAATGAAAAGCTAATTAATACAATTATTAATAATCCAGATTAAGTATGTGGTGGTTTGTCTATTTATAGTGATTCTGCTGTTAGGTGTTTTTTTTAAGATATTTGATGGGCGTCACGTTTGTGTTGTGTTGTGAAGCTCCCCGTCTACAGTCCACAGGTTGGGACTAAAAGAGAAACCATACAGGGACCAGGTGACGTCGCTGTGTCTCTCCTCTGCATCTTTATGAGAAGCTTAAAGGACTTAAAAGCTCAGTATTTGCCGACCTGTGAATGAGAACAGTTATCTGTGTAGTTGCTGTGACGGAGGGTGGCGCAGCGAGCAGGGAAGAGCGCGTCTTCAGAAGCAAACAAACAAAATCTGGCACCCTCCTGGATGTTTGTGCTGAGGATGTGTTGACAAGACTTTTTTTTTTAAGAATTCAACTGTGAAATAATCAGAAAATAGAATCTTATTTATCCTTATCACTGCTATAAGCAACGCTCTCTCTCTCTCTCTCTACTTTATCTGTACATCTATTGACCACTGCTGCTCTCTCCCTCGCTCACATCAGGTGTCGGTGCATTTCATTACAATGGAACTTAAAAATGACAAGCTTATCGTTAAAAAGCACGTGGCATTGAAAAGCATCAATGCAGATATGCAAAATGATAAGAATGACGGCTTCCAAGTAATCAAACCATCTGCTTGAGCCCTTAGAGAACCAGCAGACTTCATACGCCCTCCTCTCTGTCTTTAATCAAATCCCCACAGCTTCATATCGGTGCAGCTTTTCTTTTCTCACCACTATTTGGATTCTCCAGAGGACAGTCACTTATTGCAGGTGACCACCTCCTCAGTGTGCATAACAAGCACCGAGGGAACAAAACCCTGGGGCCGTATGCAACCGAAACCGCTGAGTCAATCAAATGAAAGCTATGAAATTGTCTCTAATTCACCATTTAAACACACTTCATGAAAATCTATCATGAAAAGCCTTTAGAGTGCTGAAGATGGAATTTGCAGCCTTAAAAGTAAATATGGATACAGATTGTAAAAGGACATTTCATATACTGTTAAGTCTTCCTGATATTTATTCTATATTTCAGCTACTGGCTGGATCAGGAATAAGTGGTAGTCCAAAGAAGAGTAGTGATGGGAAGGCTTGTAGTCAGCTTGCATTAGTTGCTGTGTCTATCGCAATTAATGGTATCCATAGAAACAAGCAGCATCAGCAAAAAAGTAGGGCACAGATAAAGGCTTTTTACTCCTGAACATAGAGGTGTTATGTTTAGTTTTGTTTCAATTTTATACTGGGTTATTATTGCCCCCCCCCCCTCCCTCCCTCTTTAAGTCCCCTCCCTTCACTCACCAAGACTTGGGCTCTCCAAAGTGCAGGTAGTTGATGCTGTACAGGTCCATATCTTCAGTGTGCCAGGAGAAAGTGGTTTTCCACATGCCGAAGTAAAGATACGGCGTGTTCACCCCCTGGATCGAAACGCCGCAGTCCTCCTCGATCACGTCCAAAATGGAGTTCAGGTGGCCGATGTTCCACTCCTCCACATCCTAGGAGATTAGAAGCATTAGTGAGGGAAGCTTTAGGGATCGATCCTGCAGTTTGGTATCACATTTATAATCCAATTCATATAAACAATATAAAGCACATTGTAACTCTACAGACATCTGCACACCGAGTCCGTTTTCTTCTTCTGACATTGACACACGTTTAAACAGAGCACCGCCTCTGAACATTTCATGAAGCAGATATAAATCTGTAGTTTCATTTTTTTTAACATCCACCCTGTGACAGTGACAAACTGTATGCTATCCAAGCAGTGCAGCTGTCTGGGGAAGAGATAGTAACATTTATTCTATTAAAAAGACAAATGTAATGTTCTTGCCTTTAAAGTGCATCTGTTAAGAAGTGTGTGCTTCAGACGTCAAATCTCTTAAAGCTCAGGGTAAAGACTTTGTTGCCTCCTGCAACAAATTTTGTACCAACACGCATCTTTTTTTTTTTTTTACAGCGACTATACAACATACTGCGCATCATTGAAATAAACAAATTGCTTTACTGACTTGAATGCAGGTCTACTTTTTGAAATTAACTCAAAATAAAACTTCTTTGGGTTGGGTGCAAAATGCGAAAATCTGGGTTCCATTGTATGATTTCCTGTTTTTAATTACAAAAACCAACCTAAACCTCATTACATGACTTAAAGGAGCAATATTCAACAATGCAGCAGCCAGTATGTCCTCCTTCTAACTTTAGATTCTGCTCCTGAATGCTCTGGATTTGTTTGGACCAGAGAAGGTAGGCGCTTTTAAGACACCCCCACACGGCCATTTTGGACGCCCCCTCGGTTTGTCAGATATGAGAGCAGTTATCAGGTCAACAGGTGTTGCAGCGATGGAAGCGGGCAAGAGAACTACTTCAGATAGAAGTGATTGTACCCGACCTAAAAAGCCTCTGCATGTTTCTAATAAGCTCCACGAGCAGAAACGTGCTCAAACTAGGATCAATATTGGAGATGCTTTTGAAAAATGGAGAGAGGTTAGAACACAGAAAGGTTTACAGACCCATGCAGAGCTGGATAAACACTGAAGCTTCAGAGTCCACCACATGGTGACCTGAGTGAGCATCCACTCTAGAGAGGAGGGGGCGGGGGGAGACAGCTCTCTACAATGTTTTGAATTTGGGCTGCAGTACCCATTTTAAACACTAGGTGTCAGTTATATATTGCTCCTTTAAATTAAATACGCTTACATCCAGTTTATCAAATTCATATTCGAGATTACAACGAGGTGACTTCCCTTAACAATAAAGGAGTAAAGAATGTGCCCAAGCTTTACTACACTGATCGTAGGGACTGTATAACCAGAGGAAGAAATACACAACATACAGAGAAACACACAACAGAAGAAAGCAAAGAAAGACCTTCTACCTCATCATACAGGCTGCCACTGACATCAGCGCCGTATATTGGCGAGACGAAGGTGAGGTTCTTCCAGTATTTCCTCTCAAGATCTTCATAGTTCAGGTAGCGAGGTGTACAGTACCTGCAGAGGAGAGAGGCATCATATTTATCAGATTATAAAGCACTTAACTCCAGATTGAATCAAACTACTGCTGTGTAAATTCATTTTCATTAAAACTTCTTTGTGCACTCATTAAACAAATATCATATTACGTACAGCTGCACAATACTCACATGTCACTGTTAGCCAACCGCCTGAACTCCTGCACACTAAGGGGCTTTTTCTGGATGTTGTACTGAGTGAAGAGCCCTGATTGGCCAGCCACCATCTGCTGTATGGGAGCGTCTATCATCAGATCGTCTATGTCGTCGTAGGTACGACGGGGCTTCCAGCCTTTTGGAGGAATCACCTGAGGGAGAAAAAGAGGAGGCGGGATTGTTGGTCGACATCAAACAGGAATGACATGCAGAACTCTAGATTACGGTTACCAACCCAGTGGCTCTTCCTGCATCTTATCCCATCACCCTCTATCCCTATTTTCAAGCCCGGCTCAGTTTTGACCAATGACTTTCATCATGATCCTGAGATTTGCCGAAGATTTCTGCCTGTAGGAAGTTTTTTTCTTGCACTGTAACTTTTGCTGCTTTGCTAAAGCGCTCATGATGAGAAAGGTTTTTAACCTGCTTTTTTTGTAAAGTGTCTCCAGATAACACTTGTTATGAATTGGCGCTATACAAATAAAGATTGATTGATTGATTGTAAAAATGATCCAATACTTTTTGATACCATGCGTTTTACGACAATATGATCTGTTATTTTAAAGGTTTTCTTTTTTTGGAGGCTTTTGTGTATTTATTGGAGAGACAGGTCGGACAGAGACAGGAAGCGGGGAAATGACACTCAGGAAAGGAGCCACAGGTCAGATTCAAACCTGGGCCGCCTGCTTCAAGGACTGCAGCCTGTGTACATAGGGCAAACTACCACTTGGCCACTGGTGCCCCCAATCTCTGTTATTTTAATGATCGATTGTATCAAAAAGTCCTGAAGCTTTAAAGAACGTCAGCTCTTCAGTCCTGTTTTTAATCCAAAGCTGTAACAAATAGAGCTAAATTATATAAGCAATGTTTGGGTAGTGAAGCCAACATCGTTGTGCTATTTAGACAATGTGGCTGCATTCAAAAATACAAATAAAAACAACAAACTACCAAATGATGGGTGACTTGAGTATGTGTTTTTGTTGTCATGGTCAGGAAACAGGTATGGATATTGATTTTTACTAGAATCATATTGAAGTTTAAAAACCTGGTAGGGTGACAACGCTAGAGGCAACAGCAAAACTAATCTAACACACTCATACGTTACACAGCCAGACAATTAGGTGTGGGAAAAACATCTTTAAAATGCAGACTCCCAGGTTGCTAGTAGCCTAGTGGTTAGTGTGTATGCCCCATGTGTTGAGGCTAAAGTCCTCGAAAGCAGGTGGCCTGGGATCAAATCCAGCCAGTGGATCTTTTCCCTCATGTTATTCCCCACTCTCTCTCTCTCTCTCTCTCTCTCCACTGTCCTGTCTCTTCAATAAAGACATAATTAAGACTACTTACTTTAGCCAGGCCTGCACGGTGTGCGCCCTGAGACTCCATGTACACCAGGTACTGGTTGAAGTTTTGGAACTCTTCCATGGTGGGCCTGAAGGTCATAATCTTGCAGGTGGGGTTAGCAGGGGTGAACACCTCTGCTCCCGCCATCCTGCCACCTCACCAGGTCAAACCTATAAAAAAGAAATAAAAAATACAACTTACTTAGAAATTTTACTTTTAGGATCCTGAAGGTGACAAACATTTAGTGAGGTAAGAATTACAACATGTTCCAAAAAAAAATGCAATGTTCACATTTTAAACATGTCAGAAATAAAGAATAGACAAGCTACTAAAAATCATATATTTTCTTAACATGAAAAGATTTTGTAGATGCTGTTGACTGGCACAACTTGGGTCGGGAACCGGAGGGCCGCCGGTTTAAGTCCCAATGCAAGTCACTGCCGAGGCGCCCTTGAGCAAGGCACCGACCCCCAACCCGCTGCGGTGCACACCCTGCGTAGCAGTGTGTAGCAGCCCCACTCTGACATCACTCCACTAATGGTCCTGTGTTGTGCATGAGTGTGATTCGGGCCTATGTGTGTGAGAAGCATGTCTCTCAATAACAATGTTAGAACCAGAATTTCCCGGGGCGCTGGTGGCGCAGTGGCGCAGTGGTTAGTGCGCGCGCCCCATGTACGGAGGCTGTCGTCTCAAGCGGGCGGCCCGGGTTTGCTTCCCACCTGTGGCTTCTTTCCCGCTCTCTCTCTCCCTGATTTCCGACCCTATCCACTGTCCTATCTCTCCAATAAAAAAGCCCAAAAATAAATCTTTAAAAGAAAAAAAAAACAGAATTTCCCTCAGGGATTAAGTGAAGTATAAAGCATATCCAATTAAAATATATGTATATTTTGTAATTCAATCTCTCAATAAAAAAGGCATAAAAAGCCCTAACATAAACCTTTAAAAAATATACATATTTCACTGTTTATGTGCAATTAATCTAGAATCTTTTTTCTTTCTTAGATGCACCTGAGCAGGTGTGAGTTGTTGTGTTAAAGCACAAAGCAGCAGGATTTGCGTGTTAGTGACAACTCCGCCACAAGATGGAGCCACAGATTCAACAAATGTCGATTTGATCCTTTGATCCTTACCGATGCCAACAACCCTTGTCAGATTTTTGTCCCATCCACCCATCCCACTCCCAACTCTGGCTCTCCTGACCCCCCCCCCCCCCCCCCCCCTCCCCCAGACAAAGAGATCCCACTGAAGTGAAGCGGCTCAGATTTAACCCAACTTTAAAACTCACCTTTGCTGCAAACAAAGATACAAAGGCGTCCGACTTGATGATGTAACATGCATATGCAAGCTTAAGCAAGATTATGCAAACACAAAATAATCAGCTGTAGTGTTTACTCACCATGTTTTAAGACTCTTTGTTTAGATATTGAAGCTTTTATTCACAACGTGGATAACTAAAATGAGGGATATTCGGCCTGTTATTTCTACAAAAAAAAAAAAAACCTACATAAAATAAATAAATCTCATCTTAATTAAGGTTTAATTTGCATTATTGCATGAGCATTGCTCTGTTGATCTTTGTTGTCTACAGAGTGAAGCTAACTAGCCATCATGTTGTTGTGCTGCAAAGTAATGGCTTAACAGATCCAGCTCGCTCCTCTGATTACCGTAATTACATTAAGATATCAACACTTAATGAGGTGCTCTTTAGATGTGCATTTCTCATGCGTTTGTGGGCTGCAGTCATGAGCACTTTAAGGGGATAACTTCGCTGCTAACTGTAAAGCTAACCTAGCTCCAGTGGGGGTTTAAATGCCCCTCTCGCAAGGTGGCTGCACACAGGGCCGGAGCTAGCTAGCTTTCCTCGCTGGGTGACTTTGCATGCGAACAAACGAGTGTTGAGATTTGTTTCATGTGAATGTTACCTACTTGTAAAGCAAAGGCTTACCAAAAGACAGCTGGACAATGGCAAAGCAACACGACGCGAAACAAATTGGAAGAAAAACGCGTGCCAACTTATTCAGTGGGCGATGCTAGCTGCTAGCTGCTAGCTGTTGATAGCTCGGCTAACTCTGCACAGGAGTCACGAAATGTTTCCTGCTGTCTCATAAACTCGGTGCTACAGGAGCTTCTGTGCGCTTATTTCGCTTGTACAACGCATAATGTTTCATAAAAAAGTATTTGTTTTGTTACCTTGATAGAGAAATGCGGGTTGGTGTTGTTGTTTATCCCCCTTCCTTGTTCGTCCAGCTGATTCACATGACAGCTGCTCTGCTGCTGCTTCGTGCCGTGAAGAAGAGATGGTGCGTTCAGGGACACTAAACTGTTTGTCAACGTGCTCAGAGGTTCAGATGGAGACTGTGTGCTGTGGTTGGATTTATCCACATGCTGTGAGATCTGCGATTCAGATGCACTGATCCACTGAGACGATACCAATGATGGGGAAGAAAAAGCGCACCTGCCTGCTCCTTTTATAATATAATAATAATAATAATAATAATAATGATAATAATAATAATAATAATAATAATAATAATAATAATAATAATAATGATATAATAATAATAATTATAATTATATAATAATAATAATAATAATGATAATGATAATGATAATAATGATATAATAATAATAATGATATAATAATAATAATAATAATAATAATAATAATGATAATAATGATATAATAATAATAATAATAATAATAATGATATAATAATAATAATAATAATGATATAATAATAATAATAATAATAATGATAATAATGATATAATAATAATAATAATTATATAATAATAATAATAATAATGATAATAATGATATAATAATAATGATATAATAATAATAATAATAATAATAATGATATAATAATAATAATACTAATAATGATAATAATGATTATAATAATAATAATAATAATAATAATCATAAAGTTTATTTATAAAGCACTTATCAAAACCAAAGTCACAAAGTTCTTTGCAGAAAAAAGAAAAAATCCCAACAAATACGCAACAATGAAATCCTATTAAAAGCATGAAAAATAAAACAACAGTGCAGCAATCATTCAATTAACAGAGAAAAGAGAAACAACCGAGACAGAGATTGGCTAAAGTTAACAATAAAACAAATAAGACATCCTGGATGAAACAAGGATTATAAGAAGAAGGCCTTACGATAAAAATGTGTTTTTAAAAGTGATTTTAAAGAAGATACTGATGTAGCCAGTCTGAGATCCTCAGGCAGGTCGTTCCACAGCCGAGGAGCCCGAGCTACAAATACTCGATCTCCTTTAGTTTTTAACATTTTTACTCTAATGTCAGACACATTTTATTAAACTCTAGATGTACCAAAGTACCCAAAAGAGAGGAAAATGTTTATTTTGTGTGCACAAGTTATTATCTTGTGCAAGACAATTATGTTGTGGTAACAACTTATTATCTTGTGCATACAATTAGATGACACCTTATGAGAACAAGATAATTATGCTGTGCACATAATATATTATCTTACGACATAGTTAAGATAAGATAAAATAATCCTTTATTTATCCCACACTGGGGAAATTTACATTGTTACAGCAGCAAAGAGCAAAGATTGCAGACAAAAAGTGAATGCAGTACAATTTAAATAAAAAAAGAAAAATTAAGAATGTACAAAAAAATAGATTTAAAAAAAATAAAAAATAGATCAGCTTATCTTGTGCACACACAAAAATATATTAAGCGCACAAGATAATAACTTGTAGAAGAAGTTTTTTCTTTTACTCTTTGGTACTTCAGGGGCTCCACAAATTATCTTGTGCACAATTAGATTGATATCTTGTGTGAACAAGATAATTATGCTGTGCACATAATTTATTACCTTGTGCTTACATCATAGTTATCTTGTGCACACACAAAAATATATTACGCGCACAAGATAATAATTTGTAGAAGACGTTTTTTTTTTACTCTTTGGGACTTCAGGGACTCCACAAATTATCTTGTGCACAATTAGATGATATCTTGTGGGAACAAGATCATTATGTTGTGGTAACAAGTTATTATCTTGTGCACGCACAAAATTATATTAATCGCACAAGATAACAACTTGTAGAAGACGTTTTTTCTTTTACTCTTTGGGACTTCAGGGGCTCCACAAATTATCTTGTGTGCAGTAATCATCTAACCTGTGCGCACAACATATTAACTTGTGCTTACAAGTTAAAGTATACAAAGCAAATCTATATGATTTTTCTTAAAAGTATGTGCTTCAGATATTTTTTGTGGATGTTCCCCAAAACTTACGAGTGAGACATATCATGCTTTGTCATTCAAAGAGTGGAGCTATGTTTTGCATATCGTTGTGCTTTGGGGTTTCTGTAAAGGTTTAATAAAGAACTTTTTTAAAACGTTTGGAGAACTGAAAGAAGGTTCCCTGACAGTTTTCTTAAAAAAAAAAAAAAAAAAAAAGAACAAAGAAAACTGTCTAAAAACCTTGAAAGATAAAAAAAAAAAAGAGTACAAAATGAGATAAAAAGATTACATGTGAATATTATAGCAGCCTTTTAGTGTTTATTGTATTTCTTTGTATGTCATGTAGCATTAAAAGTAATCCCTCTGATGCCCCAAAAACCCAAAACAATATACATTTATGTAAAATAAATTGTTTTTATCCATGTTAGGGATGTATTGGGAAGATGAAGCAGCTGCTGAGGAGTGGCTCCGGCGCCTGCAGTTACACTCGCTGAACTGAGGGGGCGCTAATGACCGTCTGCAAACATGGCTGCTCAGGATGAACTCAGTAAGTTTTCTCTCTGCGTTATTTGTGATAAATATCTGGTGAAAATGTCGCGCCAGTGGCTGTTAAACGTCCACTGAACAACAGGCTGTTTTCACGGCAACCATTAGGAGTTTTTTTCCGTCCGCGCAGGATTGTGTTCGGTTGAGTTAAAAAAGAGAAACTTGACAGGAACGACAGTTAGCTTCCCCGGCTACGCTGCTAGCTAAGAATGCTAACGTCAGAAGGCCGTTTGCCCAGTCATGGTCAAAATGAAAGTATCACGTAGGCGACTTAAATGTTCCTGTAATCAAACTTTTAAAGTGCAGATTTAAAACCTTGATGTCAAGGCGTGTGGAGGAGTGATTTCGCGGGATGCCACGGGTTGTTAAAGGCCGGTGTTGTGACAGAAACGATGAAAATGCGTGGAGAGTCGTTTGTTGTAGCTAGCTGGTTGGAGAGCCATGCCGACAGAAAGAAGGCAGGGCTGCACCAACACAGCAGCTGACAGCACCTCATTACAACACACAACTGGAGACACAGTAAACAAGTCGCTGTCTTCTTTTTGTGTGTGTTTTACTCCCTCTCGATGAAGCTGAAGGTCGAACAGACACACTGTCCATTATATAACAGCCGAAATGTTTCCTTTAAAGGAGACTAATTGTGAAGAATCCTCTTCTGCAGTGTTTCTGAACATATATTTGGGTAACCTGAGTGTCTACTGACCCACAAAATGTGAAATAAAATCATCCAGTCCTTTGTTGGTGGTCTGCATAAGTCTTACAACGCAGAGACAAAATGCTCTGTTTCAAATGTGCTCTCCTTGTGATGTCACAGTGGGATTCTGGTACAAAGAAAAAAATCCCCTCCCCTGGTATCTCCACTCATGGACTCCACCTCCAGACTAGAACAAAACTTTTTGTGCAGGTCTGCCATTATTATTCTCTCTACAGAGGAGTGATGTCTACGTGGAAAACTCAGGGGGGCGTCATCGCTCTTAAAGGCTTTATATATATATATTTCACACTTAAATATAATATAAATCAAGTATATCCTCTGAAAATAACTCTGTGAGTCATGACTGTCTACAATGGGTGTAACACCCGAGTCCCACTGTCTGTGACGCTTTTAGAGTTTTCAGAGTCCTATCTTCACTTTGTTCACATCGCCGGGACGGCCGGCTGACTCCTCCCCTCGTGTATAAAAGTTGTTTAATTGAGGGACTAGAGAAAAGAAGAATAACATACTGTACTCACTGCTTAACTGTGTTTCTAGATCACGCTCATTTCAGGTAAATTTACATGCAGTGTGAAGATACCAGCATAATAAAGATCGCTAGCATTAGCATGCTAACACAACAATGCAGCGCGAGTTGTTTTGGTTTCATGCTGGTGCTCAAGGGCGACATCTGCTGGATCAAAAAATCGCGTATAAAGCCTTTAAAGAGACACACACACCAAAACGGAGCGTTCTGAGAGAGCTGGTTTATACAGGGTCACTAACCTCCTCTGGTGCGTGATTCATGTTATATTTTGACCAAAGCACAGCACAGATGTTTCATTTAGACCACAGGGGGGCTGTTTGAAAAGGTGGAGAAGGTGGATAAAATGTCCTCTTTAAAGTACTTATATGATGATTAGTGTGTTTTCCTCGGGTGTCACTGAAAACACATTTAAAGACGACTCACACATTGCAGGCAGGGCTCCAATCTTCCAGATATTTTAACTCACCAGGGGTTTCCGTAGGGTGTGACACGTTTCTACATTAAAAATAAAAGATAATCAAAGTTTAATATCTGTTTTTTTTTTTTACAGATCAACTGGAGCGCGTGTTTCTCCGCCTGGGCCATGCAGAAACAGATGATCAGCTTCAGGACATTATCTCGAAGTTCCTGCCCCCTGTGCTCCTCAAACTCTCCAGCGTACAGGAGGGTGTGCGGAAGAAAGTAAGAAGCGTGTTTTCTGTCTGATTCTCTGGTTCTCTGCCTGATGAGATCACGTCGAGTCTTGAGTCTATCTCGAGTAGCACCTCAAATAATTGAATCAACCAATCTTTATTTGTGTTGTGCCAGTTCATAACAAATTTGATCTTAAGACACATTGCAAAATTATACATACTACCTTTCCAAGGGGGGGGCTCCACCCTGGACCAGAGCTGACATATAAAGACAGACAACCAGCCACACTCACATTTACATCTACAAGCAATTTTAGAGTCACCAATTAACCTTGTAAGCCGGAGTAACGGGAGAGAACCTGACGCCATGATGGATTAACGTTGGGTCTTTGTAATATAGCAATGAGTAAGGTCTTTTATCTGCTTTTTGTTAAGTGTCTTTAGAAAACAGTTGTTTTGAATTTGTGCTTTATAAATAAAGATTGATTGATTGATTTAACCACGCATGCACAGGGAGAACATGCAAACTCCACACAGGAAGGCCCTGTCCTGTATACTTGACATGTTACAAAATAACTTCTTGATTCTCCTCTGTTAGGTTATGGAGCTGTTGGTCCACCTTAACAAGAGGATAAAAAGCCGACCCAAGATCCAGCTCCCAGTAGAAACTCTGCTGGTGCAGTACCAGGATCCTGCAGCCGCCTCCTTTGTCACGGTAAGGATCAAATGTGTATATATTGAAAATATCAAAGACTGAAGGCGGCAATTTTCGAAATGTGTATATTTCCTTACTGAGATGTTACTTTGAAAAGACAAGTCATTGATGACCTGAAAGTTTACTGTTCAAGTTGAACAGTAGCAGGTTATTGGTTACTGCAACTCGTTGTTCAAACAGTGTTCATGTTCATCATTTTGAATGTATCTGAATATTATACATACTATTTAGTAATCTTGAGCCAGTAGGATTTTCATTGTTATTAATTTGTCAAGTGAGAAGAAGTAGGAGATTCTTTATTTCCGTTTGTGTTTTGCAGAATTTCACAATCATCTACATCAAAATGGGCTACCCCCGTCTGGAGGTAGGAAAACAGTGTGAGCTGGCCCCGACCCTTCTCACTGCCATGGAAGGCAAACCACAGCCTCAGCAGGACAGGTGAGGACAATCTTAAGGCTCAGTCTCAATATACCCGTTGCCCCTACCACTTAGGCCTACACCTACATTTTGCACGTTCACGTCTAGAGTTAGGGTGCCCTGATGCTTATTGTAATGGAGGGCTAGGGTGAAGTGTTTGGGGCTATGTGGCCCTTTAAACGGAGATTCCTCAGAAGCACTCTCCAAACCGAGTAGTATGAGAAATCTTCCAGAATGCCTAACCGGTACCATGATCGCATCTGTTTACGTAAATGCCATCGAGGACGACTGATAGTGAATCAGGGTCTTGAAGGGTGGTACGATTTCGTATTGGAAGACGTCACCACTACCCTTGTAACTCTGATCTGAGGGGCAAAGGGGTACTCGAAAGATTAGAAATGGGACTGAGCCAAATTCACACTACAGTTGTCAAAATGTTTGAAACTTTTCAATACCGGCTGCCCCTGTCCATTCCTCTTTGCACTGTGTTTCACATGCACTCTCTCTCTTTCTTTTAGCCTGATGCACCTGCTGATCCCGACCCTTTACTATATGAAGTATCCTGCAGGCACCTCCAAGATTGCATCTCCATTTAACTTAACCGAGAGGCCAAAGACAGTGCAACTGCTACTGGAGTTCATGTTAGATGTTTTGCTAATGCCTTATGGGTGAGTTCCTGAATACAAATCTGTACTGTGATATTATGAAGCTCTCTGAATTTGTATATTCAAAGCCTCACTTCTTCTCGCTCCGGCTCCTTCAGGTTTGTGCTCAATGAATCCCCGACTCGCCCCGCTCCCTCCTCCTCCCAGGGAGGTTCTGCAGATGGGGCAGTGGCTGCAGGTGGCCAGGGTCTCCCCCAGCCTCCCCCGGGGATGAGTGTCTATGCTGCCAAGAGGGTGATTGGAGAGGCCCAGTGGAGCGCTGAGCAGCTGGAGCAGGTACAGTGACTGAATATGGACGAAGAGCGTTGGGACAGAATTGAAGCTGGACCCTCTCTCAGTTCTTACTATCTTTAAAATTGGACACTCCTTTAAGATGCAGAGATTATGCACTCACATGGATGGAGTATCTCTTTGATACAGCCTTGAGTTTATCTCCTGATAGCAATCATGTGGCCATGATTCACATTGTGCCTGTTTTTGAGTGTTCGCTGATGACTCTTTCATTTTGCACGTGGTTCTGACAGTGTAAGCTGGGAATAGTGAAGTTCATAGAGGCAAAGCAGGTCCCAGAGGTGGAGACAGTGGTGCACCTGGTGGTGGCATCAAGTGACACCCGACATAGTGTGGCCACAGCGGCGGATCTGGAGCTGAAGAGCAAACAGAGGTGGGTAGAGCTTAAATTATCTCTGGTTTATATTTTCAATACTGATCTGACATCTGACTCAGTTAATTGTACAGTAACGTTAACTGTAGCTATTTATTTAAGCGAACATTTTGATGTGTCCTGCGCCCTGCTCTGCACTCTGTTTATGTCCCTGCTTGTTTGTCCTTTGTGAAGAACATTTCTTCTTTATTGATCTTACTCTTCATCTTCTTGTTTTATTATCCATCAGCATCATCGATTGGAATAATCCTCTAATTATCAACAAGATGTTCAAGGTGTATCTGGGGGATGTTCCTCTTAAGACAAAGGTTTGTCAACTCACTGTTTCTTTTCAAACTGCGAGTGTTTATTCAATATGAGGTAAGGTAAAGTTTAATACGGTTTTGCTTGTGCACCAGGGGGGCAATATGAAGCAAGAGCTGAAGCACGAGCCCGTGAGCACACGAGTCAAACTGAAGATCCTGCCACATCTTCTGCGGTCACGCCTGGCCGCAGAGTGTTTCCCAGCAAACATCCAGGTAGGATCTTTCTCCACCCTTGTTTGTGCACGCTAACAGAGGCTCAGTTTTGCAAACATATGTTATAGTAAGTCTTCTAAAAAAAACGGCTGAATCATTTACAGGAAATGCTCACGTTTATGGTCCCATTATAATTCTCTTCATTTCCTCTGTAGGTCGTGTATGACGGTCTATTTGGGGCGAGCACCAACAACAAACTGCTGTCTCTCACTTTGCAGTTTGTCCATCACATCTGCATGGTGTAAGGACACTTTCTCAATTCAATAAACATTGACTCACTTTCTTCCTTTATTTATTTTTTCCAATTCTAATAATTCAATCTTTTTTGGGGCTTTTATTGATTTTCAGATGTCCTGACACAAATAAACCTTTGGGACTGATGCTCCTCAATGGTCTCACCAAGCTCATCAATGAATATAAGGAGGTAAAAAACAAAAACAAATGACACCACATATTTAAACTTCAATTTGCAATTTCATTCAGTTTAATAAGAATGGTACAACATTTGTCATTGTAGGATCCTAAGCTTCTGTGTGTTGCCTATTCTGCTGTAGGAAAACTTTCAAGGTATCATCAAACTTTTTTTTTCCTCCTTGAATAAATTTTCTTCATTCTAAAAAACCAGAGCAAGCTGACAGTGTTTAACTGTTCCTTCTCTCCCCTAGCCGCATGCCACAGCTGTTCACAAAGGATATTGCACTTGTACAGCAGTTTTTTGAGTCCATGTGTAAGGTAGGTGGAAGGTCTTTCAAAAGTCTTGCAGTTAAGCTCCTGATCCAACGAGAGCACAGTGGAGCATCAGATACAATATATAACCAACGATCTTCTTTAGGAGGAGCCGGATGTCCGCCTTGCCATCCAGGAGGCCTTGTCTATGATGGTTGGAGCTTATGCCAACCTGCAGGGGGCACTGCTGAACCTGATGGAGGCCCTGGTGGCTGCATACATTGGAAAGGTGAGGGCGCACGGTCAAAATAGATCTTAGTTTGTTTTGTGTTTTTTTTACATTAAGGTTATCTAGTTAAGTTACCAGGCATATGAGGCATGTTAAGCAGTCTTTTTATCTTGTTCTTTTTTCTGTCTGGCAGCCGGAGGTGCAAGTTCGACAGGTGGCCATGAAGTTTGCCAGCACAGTGTTTGGTCCTGATCACGTGCCATCACGATACCTGCTGCTACTGGCAGCTGGAGACCCGTAAGTCCTGAAACACACAGACCTTATGTAAATGAATATATATTAATATTGAAACATGAATGCTCTCTCTGCATTTTAGCATTATGTAAGTTTCGGAAGCATCATATACACAACAAGGTACAAATACAATTGTTTAACAACAATTAGGATAAAAATGGATTATTATAACAAACTGTATATGTTTATATACTGTATGTGCTTTACAAAACATTAAAGCCCATCAATACAACACACAATGAAGAAGGAATAAAACGGGTTGGCAGAATAAAAGAGGATTTACATAAAACAATGATGAGATAAAATAATACAAAATTAAAACCTAAAACAATGGTAGAAAGGTAACTCCAAGTTTTCTGAGACTTTGTTTGACAGTAAGTGACAGGGATCAAAGGGAGGACTGGTTGGCAAGGTGCAACTATCTGGATCAACAATAAAGTTCTCTTACATCCATTTTGAAATATCTCAGAAATTTAGTGAGATCTGAGAGGATGTATGATGGCACTAGGTTTTATCGAGCAAAAAAAGTATAGTAGGGAAATTAGATAATGTGTCTTTGTATAACTTAGAGAGTGGTGGTATCTATAGAGAAAACTAAACTGGTCCCAATATTGACCCCTGAGGGACTCCCAAGTTTAATGTGGGGTGAGGATGATAATGGCCTATGTTCCTCTGTGATGGTGAAGCTGAAATCATCTGGGTTTCTGGGTTTTAGGAGGGAGGAGGTGTCTGCGGAGGCCAAGAAGGTGCTGAGAGCTTTACCCTCAAAGAGCTCAGAGAAGGAGGGACCGAAGCCAATGCCCTCCTTTCCTGACATGGTGGCCTATGTCCAGGAAAAGGTAAGCCACTGGAGACAAGACACTCACAGTACAACTAGGCCATTTGTGCATAAAGAAATATTTAATCTGGTGTCTTTTTGATCTTGTCTTCATCAGGCAGCTCAGAGGATCAAGACTCCTGCTAAGTATATTGTTGGAACATCCACGATTCCTTTCAACCCGTCTGCATTTGCAGAGGTAGATATTGATGGGTTTCAAATGCAGTTTTTTCCATAAAAGTTATTTATATTGTTTGCTGCAGTCACTTAGTTTTCTGTTCTTTTCAGATTGTTCTGTACCTGAGGATGTGTCTAGCCCACAGTGCCGGAGCGACGCCTATGTCAACGCGCCTGCCAGACATGCAAGATGATGCACCGGCAATTGGCCGCTATGTCCAAACACTGCTGTCCTCGGATCAGCCTACAGTGTCAAAGGGATTTGAGGCAAACCCCGTTCATGTCTACATGGATCTGCTGCAGCAGCTGCTGTCTGCTGTCGGGGGTGAGTGAAGTGAAACTGCTCTGTCTTTAGGGTTCATTAAACCTCAGGATCGAGATCAGATCCATTGTTGCTGTAAGCTTAGAACATTGAGATGAGTTTTAGGTATTACATGGGGCCTATGAATTACTCTGGGTCAAAGACTGGACTGTTGCACAGTTCAATGTTATGATACTGTATTGAAGCTATTATAAGAAATGCAATGATTTATATAACTTCTGTATTTGTTGGCACAGTTTGGAAGTGTATAAAAAAACACATGAATTGTCATGCACATCATGGTTGGAAATACTTATTTATTGCGCTTGATGTTTGATCTCTCAACAGGAATCCCTGTTATGTATTGTCTGCTGGAAGTGGTGTCTGTGTGCCCAGAGAAATTGGCTCCCAGATTCATTGATAAAATAGACTGGATTAAAGTGAGTATCCTCTATCACTATTTATTTATTTTTAACATGTAGGAGGAAGGAAACCCAATACTTGAGGTAAATGAGGCTTAAATATATGTAGCACAAAATAATTAGTTTAAACCAAGATGCTGCTTACAGGTAAAAAATAAACCAATGGTAAGTGGAAAAAACTGCAGTTGCCTGTTACTAGATTGATTGAATGATATCGTGCCTTCACTGGGCTTCATGACGCCTCTTCAGGAACCAATTAGTGATGTCACTGAAGCTTCCGTCCATGTTTTATACAGACTGGGGTCTAAACGTTTTGATCATCTGTGTCACTGTTAAACCATGAGTCTCTGTCACATTTACATTGTGCTGTAATAACAGATGTTTTCTCCTCCAGAGTCTGATGAACACAAATAAGGAAGACATGAGGGAGCTCGCAGCACAGCTCTATGCTTTGGTGGTCTCCACTATGACCGGCAACGAGCTGCAGATGGCTGTGCAGAACCTGGTCAAAATCACTAAAGACAACCATGTATGACACTCTGTCGCGAAAGAGCAATTTCATTATTATTTCTGAGTATTTATTTTAAACATGGGTGCTTGAACTTCACATAAATGTGTTATGGTTTTGTTGCACCACAGAGTCCTGAGACTCAGCATGGCGCCATCTTGGCTCTCGGTTACATGGTGGGACGGTACATGAGCAGGAGGAAAGCAGTAAACGCGAGCGACTCCATGCACAACATGGAGCAGCAAATGAGCCCTCCCCCCAAAGAAGACGATGAACTTGTTGCCAGGGCCACCAAGACAATTGGTATGCAGTTATTTTGTCATCGATTTGTCTGCAGATACGGCTAAACATATTAGCTCTAATAGCTCTAAGAATATTGCCATTGATTCTGTCCATCGTTTGACAAAGCATCTGTTTTAATGCAATTTAACTTTTTGTGTGAACACAATACTCACTGTGTTGGTTTAACTACTTTTGTGTGCGTCTACCCAGGTTCCTTCTTGGACAGCAGTAGTGCACTTCTTGCTGTAGCAGCGTGCACAGCTCTCGGAGAAATTGGGCGCAATGGCTCCCTGCTGATCCCTGCAGAGGGGGAGGGCTTCACCAAGCTGTCCACAGTGGAAAACCTGTTGGCTCGGATCCCCTCTGGCAAGGAAACCACAAAGGTAATCTGGTGCTCCACTACAGGAAGTAGCTCTGCTGGGGATATGTAGTTCAGTGAGGGGTGTACACTGTTGTCACCTTTGTCTTAATTATCTTGTTTTTTTTTCTTCTGTTTGTGTGCTTTTACCTAGATGAAGGAGCGATCAATCCAGACGTTGGGTTACCTTCCTGTGGGAGATGGAGACTTCCCTCACCAGAAGAAGCTGCTGCAGGGTCTAATGGACTCTGTTGAGGTAAAAAAAAAAAAACTGCTGAATGCAGGTAGCATCACTAGCCATGCAGAGCTTTGAAAAGACAGTACCATGTCTTAAATTATATAGGAGCACTGGATGGATTTATCAGATTTGTGAATTTCTGCTGTCACAGATGCATGATCCACATGTGAGGCTGTTAGAGGTCGTTAAGAAGAAGGTCACTGACATTTAGTCTTTTCTTTCTTCAGGCCAAGCAGGTGGAGCTGCAGTTTACAGTTGGAGAAGCTATAACCAGTGCCGCGATAGGCACCAGCTCTGGAGCTGCCAGGGACCCATGGACCTGCACGGAGGACCAGTACAGCCCACCACACAGTAAGTACTTTTAGTGATGTTGTTAGTTTCCCTTTAAACTGACGTGTACGTGTTTGTAAGGACGTTTCTGACAGTGTTATGCATGCTGATGGGAGACATATTTTTTGTCTCGCTATGAATATTTTACTACGATTCAGATATTATGAATGACATCGGACTACCAGCAATACGAAGTTTGATTAGCCTAGCATAAGAGCTTTAAAGGTCACATATTCTCCTCCTTTTCAAAAAGTTAAAATAAGTGTTAGAGCTCCCCAAAACAAGTCTGTGAAGTTTCTTGTTATAAATCCACTCTGATCCTGTGGCAGTGTCACCCACCTGGGGGAGGGGCTACTGCCCTTTGTGATGTCATGAAGGGAAAATTTCCAAACGGCCTGTTTGAGCACACATTTTCTGAAAAGTGGAGCAGGCAAAAGACAGAGAGGATGGACTTTTCTCATCATTGGGGGGTTTGTAGACAGACTAGGGACACATGTTAAGGTGTATTTTCTATAATATGTTACCTTTTAATAAACATTCAGTAGTCTACTCTACTTCACACTTCAAATGTCCCCCTTAAACTTAGTTTAGAAATCTTAATTTTTAATCCATTTAACCCAATGTTCCCTTTTTAGATGTGAAAAACAACGATGTGGTTCCCTGGGTCCTCAACTCTATCCTGTCCAAGTACATAGGCAGCCAGAACCCCCATGTCCGACAAGCATCCTGCATATGGTTGCTCTCCCTGGTCAAGAAACTCAGCCAGCACAAGGAAATCACAGTAAGTCTATTTGACAACTTTAGCTGTCTTAAGTTCAAGAAGGAACTGTAACAATCAAGAGAAGGATCAACTTCACCATTTAAGCTTTGCAAGCGTCATAAAGTTTTTTATGTCAAGAGGAGTTAAAGCTTTTTCCATTTCAGGTAGTTGGATTCAACCATAACTTAAGTTTTCAGTTTGTGAGTTTAGGAGCTCAGATCTTTGCACCTCCAGTCTGTTACTTCCACTTTGAAAATATGAGATATTTCAAATGTTTTGTCTTCTCTGTGAGAAAGACCATCGTCATTGTTGGGTGCTTAGTCTTATACACCAACTGTGTATGTTTTTTCTGCAGACCCATCTAAAAGAGATTCAGGTGGCCTTCATCTCAGTTCTCTCTGACCCTGATGGTAAGTTGACATCTGTGCCAGCCAGAGCTTTACAAATCTAAAAGTGTAACTTCACCACTTTCTCTCTACACAATCTGTTCATCAAACCCCTCTTCTTCCTCCTCTTCTTCTTCTTCTTTTAGAGTTGAGTCAGGATGTGGCGTCTAAAGGTCTGGGTCTCGTCTACGAGATGGGAGGAGAGGGCGACCAGCAGAAACTGGTGTCCACATTGGTGAAACTCTGATGACTGGCAAAAGGTAATTTAAATGTTTATGTCAAGAAGTAAGGATTTATGACAAGAGCTAGGCCCCGTGTCCACCTGGCATTTATTTTCTGAGTGCCAGTGTGTTTTTTCGTTTGTTTGAGGAGAACAAGCGCATCGCCAGCGTCTTTTTTCAAAGCGCTCAAGTTGAAAACTTTTCAGAAAGGTGCTGTTGACGTCACTGGCGCTCTTTCCAGATGTATGATATTCCTTGTAGTTTTGTCGCTACGGATCATGTCTTGTACTCACATCCTCTTTGCTCCGTGTCTGATCTGAGAATAAACGATCTCAAATATCAAACATGCAGTAAAACATAACGCAGCAGTGGCAGTCACACAGCAGCCGTTATCAACAGGTTGTTGTCATAGAGACAGGACGGACGTGCAGCGCTTTTCTGCAAGCACCCCTGAGCGCACAGCCAGCACTTTTCTGCCCAGGAAAAAATGCTAGGTGGACACGGGGCCTTAGAATCATGGCTGGTTTAAGTACAGGGGAATAGAAAATGGTCAAATCTGTTTCTGTGTGTAAATGTAATTCTAATTTATGTGTTCAAACAGAGTGAAACACGCCGTTTCTGAAGATACAGAGGTGTTCCAAGGCGAAGGGTTGGGAAAAACACCTGACGGGTGAGTCATGTGATCCACATATATTTAATTTTTTTGATTTTGCAAATAAAAAAGGCATAAAATGACTTATTGTGTCTTATTATTATGCTTTATGTTTTTAATGTTTCTCTGTCTTATCTGTGCTGCTCCTTCAAGTAGCCGCTTCTTTTGTTGTTTTTGTATTCATTATAATAAAGATCGACTCTTCTCTTTCTCAGTCATGGCCTGACCACATACAAGGAGCTCTGCTCATTGGCCAGCGACCTGAACCAACCCGATCTCGTCTACAAGTTCATGAATCTGGCCAATCATCATGCGATGTGGAACTCCCGCAAGGTATCCTGCTTTTGATTCACACTGCTCCTTTCCCCGTCCTTCACATGTGCTTCTGTTTCCCGCCTGCCTGTCTCGGGTTGTCTCACCTTCTTCTCTCCTCTTTTAGGGAGCAGCTTTTGGTTTCCACATGATCGCCACCAAGGCCGGGGAGCAGCTGGCTCCGTTCATGCCCCAACTTGTTCCCCGTCTGTATCGCTACCAGTTTGACCCCAACCTGAGCATACGGCAGGCCATGACCAGTATCTGGGATGCACTGGTCACTGATAAGACCATGGTAGGATTTCAGACTTATGTAACGTGAACATATTTCAGATATACGGATAAAGACCTGCAGTCATGAAACATTATGGAGATGATTGTTTATTCATGTATTTGTTTGTTCTGATGTGATTCAGGTGGATATGTATCTGAAGGAGATCCTGCAGGATGTCATTTCAAACTTGACCAGTAACACATGGAGAGTGCGCGAGTCCAGGTACGCTAACTGAGGCTGTCAACACTATGGGCACCGCCATTTTTATTTTATCAGACCTGATACCGATAAGATCGGATCGGTTCCATCTCTAATAAATATTGAATTTATAATTTATTCATTATAAATATTATAATTTAGCTAATTTCTCATTCAGTTGACTGTTTCTTTAATTAAAACTGAAGAACAATGTCAGCTAAAGGCCGTATCTCTAATGTGACTTCCTTCCAGCTGCCTCGCTCTGAACGACCTGATTCGCGGCCGCCAGGCTGATGACCTCATCGATCACCTGGCAGAAATTTGGGAGACACTTTTCAGAGTGCTCGATGACATCAAGGTGAGCAGGATCAGTGTTTTGTTAAATTTGGCCGACAGATGGAGTTCTGACACATTGCTGGAAAGGATTTTAGACGCCTGTCCAAGTTTTAACCTGCCGTTCTTTTTACTCTTCAGGAATCAGTTAGAAAAGCTGCAGACTTAACGCTGAAGACGCTCAGCAAGGTAAAGTGGTTTTTCAAATGTTCCCCCTTTTTGTCGACCTTTATGATTGATTGTTGTGTTCACAGCCAGGTCCCTCCCTCTCTCTCTTTCTCTTTCTCTTTCTCTTTTTTCTTTCTCTTTCTCTTTTCTTTCTCTTTCTTTCTTTCTCTTTCTCTCTCTCTGATTCTTTCTCTTTCTGTTTTTCTTTCTCTTTCTCTTTCTATCTTTATTTCTTTCTCTTTCTCTCTCTCTGATTCTTTCTCTCTCGCTCTCTCTCTTTGTCTCTCTCATTCTCTCATTCTCTCTCTCTTTTCTCTCTCTCTCGCTCTCTCTCTCTCTCGCTCGCTCTCTCCCTCTCCCTCTCCTTGTCCAGGTGTGTACTCGTATGTGTGAGTCGACGGGCTCCGCGGCCCAGAGGACCGTGGCCGTAATGTTGCCCACCCTGCTGGAGAAAGGCATCGTCAGCAACGTGTCAGAGGTCCGCACTCTCAGGTAACGGCTCAGAATGAGGCCACATGTTCCTTATTCCACACACACACACACACACACACACACACACACACACACACACACACACACACACACACACACACACACACACACACATTGGGTATGTGTTTTAAAAAAAACAATGAAATATCTCAGTTTCAACTTTTGAAATATCGTCTTTGTGCTATTCTTACTCAAATATGGGATTTCAATGTGTTGCAAATCATCATATTCTGCTTTTAATCCTTATAAACATCTAATTTCAAGAAATAAAAAGACAACAAAAACGGCCTGTATGCTTGTGATATGAACGTCTGCCTATGGGGCGAGCACATTTTGCAACTTGAAATTAGATTTACAAACTATTTGATAGAGCTTTCACACTTTCAAAGAACTTTTGCAGTGTTGAGTGATGAGGGGAAAACACAGAAGTTAAATACTTAAACTCTTTAGTATGTCCAATAAAAGGTCTTCAATCAGAATAGATTTTTGACATTAGCACTGTTTGTCTTTTCTACCCAGCATTCATCTGTCTGCTTTTCTCTCCCAGTATCCAGACCCTGGTGAAGATCAGTAAAACAGCCGGGGCCAGACTTAAGCCTCACGCTTCCCGCTTGATCCCGGCACTTTTGGAGGCTCTCAGCACCCTGGAGCCTCAGGTCCTAAACTACCTCAGTCTCAGAGCCACGGAGCAGGAAAAGGTGAGCTCAAGCTTCCCCTTCATTTAGGTCTTAACCAAAGCCTCTTTGTTTTTGTTTTTAGGTTCCCCCCCTTCACAGCTTCATGATTTGTTTTCTCTTCTCGTCCTCTTTAGAGTGCCATGGATGCTGCCAGGCTAAGTGCTGCTAAGTCCTCTCCGATGATGGAGACGGTGAACATGGTGAGAAGAGAAACATCCTTCCTTCTAGTTTCTTTTGTCTTTTGTGGTTTTCACTCAGAATCTAGAAACAAAAGAGTTTAAAACCTGATAAAAGCCACTCAGTGTTTTCACACACGCACAAAACTTGATGTGTGAACTCAAACGGACGAACTTTTCACCCCAGCCTCATCAGAAAACTTTAAGAGGATTAAGATTCAGTTCTCCCGCAATGGATGAATTCGATTTTTCACTCTGGTATTAAGACATGCTACACACACACACGGGCTGAAACACACACACATGCACAAACAGGATCCTGTGGACATGCACTAATGGAGTGAGACTGTGCCTTGATCAAGGGTAGTGCTTAGGAAGTGAACTGGCACCTCTCCAGCTACAAGACCAATTTTCAGTCTGGCCTGCACCTGGACTGAGCTACTACCACCCCCTGTTTTTTTTCATGTGAAGTTTGGCTGCACTGATTTGTGAACACAGCAGGTAATAGAAATATTCCCCTCAAGTTAGCGGGTTGATGATATTTAAATCACACGACTGGTCCATGAAAGTTCTGATTGGCGTGCGCCATACTCTTTTCTTCTCGCTTGTATGGTCTCAAGAATTTTTTTATTGATGCTGTGCAAGAAACTCATATTGTAGTTTGGTCTGACATCTTGATTTGTGCAGCATCTTTTATTTTTACCTCGTGTCTTGCTTCCTGAGATCCCCCCCGCCGCCCCGCCTCCTGCCCGTCAGAGGAAAAGCAATTTTGAAACAATCATCTCTTGGACTGAATGGCCGGTTTGCATTAAATGACTTCCAGCCAAGACTTCCTTCTACGTTTGACATTTACGTTAACACAGTGATTCTTGGTCTGTTACATACCCAGGAGAGGCGGCCATTACTCTGTCTCTCATGAGCCTCAGTTCAGCAGTAGATAAAAGCTACACAAAGGCTTCACTCCGGCTTACTTCAGCTGTTTGAACCAGAAAAAGAAGAAGAAAGTTCTTGTGATTTACTGACAATGAATGGCTCATAAGTAGAATAATAGTGAGATCTGTTTCTGAAGGCCTCGTGTCGCCCTTTTCACAGTGTCTGCAGCACCTGGATGTGTCCGTGCTGGGAGAGCTGGTTCCCAGACTCTGTGAGCTGCTCAAGAGTGGAGTCGGCCTGGGCACAAAGGTAGAGACAGTAGACTCTAATTCTTAAATTATCTGTAAATGATCTATGGAATCATACTCATGTCTGTCTTCTTTCTCATCCCAAGGCGGCTGTGCGAGTGTGATAGTTTCACTCACGGTGCAGTGCCCCCAAGACCTCACCCCGTACTCAGGTAGAGTCAAACGAGCCGCTCGTGTGTTCCTCTAATGTGCTGAGAGTGTGTTGTGTTCAAGTCAACTCATGTCAAAGAGATTTCTGTGTTTGCAGGTAAACTGATGAGCGCCCTGCTCAATGGTATCCATGACAGAAGCAGCGTGGTGCAGAAACAATTTGCCTTTGCTTTGGGGCACTTAGTGAGGGTAAGCAGCGCATGTGTTCATCCATCTTATGACTGCTATCACACGACGGGTTGTTTACAAGGACTGAGTGAGCAGGAGATTGTTTTTTTAATTTGCTTGTTTTTTTTCCCATCAGACGGCGAAAGACAGCAGCGTGGAGAAACTCCTACTGAAGCTCAACAGCTGGTACTTGGAGAAAGAAGGTAAGACAACAGAGGCATCTATTTTTCTACATTTTGATTGAATTAAGTCTGAAACAAAAAGGTCTGGATACAGAACAGCAGCACCATTGTCAAAAAAAACAAAACAAGGGTTGGGGGGCGCCGGTGGCCAAGCGGTTAGTTTGCTTGCCCCATGTACAGAGGCTGTATTCCCCACTCTCTCTCTCTCCTCTATCCACTGTCCTGTCTCTTCATTAACGGCATTAAAAGCCCAACAATTAATCCAAAAATAATGAACAAAACACAGGCATAATGTAAAATGTTGCACATTCTGCCTTTAAAGTGAGTTCAAACAAAGCGCTTTCAAAGGTGTCACAGATTCTGCTCGACTTCTCTCTTCAGTCGAGTGTCCTTGATTGCACAAGAATGACCCCCTTTAGATTAAATCCCTACATTTATAAATATTTTTTTTAAGCCTGAAGAGGAGAAGTCAAATCTTAAAGCATTGTGTGTCTGTATTAAATAAGTTTATTTTCTTACATGCAGTTTATTAAACATTCACTTTGTCTACCCTCTGTTCTCTCTCTCTCTACCAGAGCCCGTTTACAAGTCGTCATGTGTGTTGACCGTGCACGCCATCAGCCACTACAGCCCCGACGTGCTGAAGGGCCACGCGGGAGTGGCCCTGCCGCTGGCCTTCCTGGGTATGCATCAAGCTCCCGGCCCTGAGGAGGAGAAAGGCGAGAGCCACGACGCCACGCTGTGGGCCGAGGTGTGGCAGGAGAACGTCCCAGGTGAGGAAAACCTCCATCAGAAGAGTCATTCTTCATGTTTTTGTTTACTCTCCGTCACTATTCAGTCTTCAAACTCTCTTTGGGCTGCAGGAAGCTTCGGAGGCATCAGACTCTACATGACGGAGCTGATCGCCATCACGCAGAAGGCTCTGCAGTCCCAGTCCTGGAAGATGAAGGCTCAGGGTGCAGCTGCCATGGCAACCGTTGCCAAGGAACAGACAGGCTCATTGGTGGCCCCACACCTTGGCATGGTGCTAACGGCATTAATCCAGGGACTGTCTGGGCGCACATGGGCAGGAAAGGTAACATCGGAGTAAAGATAAAGACACAAAAACAAATCTAATCGAGATGATTCTGATTTCATGTTTTTATTTTGTCGTTGTTCAGGAGGAGCTTTTGAAAGCCATCGGTTCTGTCGTCTCCAAATGCAGGTGAGCCTCCTTCAAGAACTTATCTTTGGATTTTTTTCTTTATCTTGAGTTCATCCGTTATTTGAACCCCGTGATTCTCTGTTGTCTCTCAGCGGCGAGCTGAAGAAGCCGTGCTCAGGCCAGCCCACCATCGCCGAGGTGTTGGAGGTCGTGTTGAAGGAGTGCCGCAAGGAGAGTCTCGTTTACAAGATGGCGGCTCTGCGCTGTGCAGGAGACGTGCTTCAAAGCAGCCAGGAGGACCGCTTCAGCGACATGGCCGAGATCCTCTTCCCTCTGATCAAGAAGGTTTCAACGACACTCTGCTCTGTTGTAACGAAGACGCCACAGTTTGAGACGTGAAGCTTCACTCAATCCTTGTTCTTCTTCCTGTTTCAGAGCTGCCCGAAGACCGGCGCCGCATCGAGCAGGTCACGCGAGGACGACGACGATACAGATGTGAAGGAGAAAGAGCTGCAGACAGAAGCTCTGCTCTGTGCTTTTGAGAGTCTGGGGAAAGCCTGGCCTAGAAACCCACAGACTCAGGGTAAGTTACACACACACACACACACACACACACACACACACACAGCACTTTGTACAAGCTGTTAATGTTTGACACACAGCACATTCTTTAAGATTACAAGTAAACATCCTGGATGGTATTCACATTTTACCAAGTTACAGAGTGTCTGAGACATTCAATACTTCCCTTACCTGGAGCCGTCCCGTCTTACCTCAGGAGACCCCCCCCGCCCCCGCTCCCCAGGTCAGGAGAATTTCAGTGGCAGTCGTCCTGAAATGATCTAGATATTTTCAGGAGTGCAGATGTGAGATGGGGGCAATCGTGCTTGAGTACAGCAGGGTACAGATGGCCAGTGCCCTAAAAAACGTCTTGTCCGTCATTTCCTGAGAGTGACTGAAACGTGATCTACATTTTACCTGAAGTGAAGTTTAAAAGTCTCTGTTGTAAAGACTTGAAGTCATTTTAGAGACTCGAGCGTTGTTGCAGAACCGCGCTCAGGTGGGTGTCTTGGGCTGCTGGGGAGCTGAGATGTGACCCTTACAAAGAAAGATTCTGACCTCTCTGTGTGTGTGTGTGTCCGTCTGCAGCTCGTTTCCAGGTGGAGGTGTGCGGTCTGATGTGCGACAAGCTGAAACTGAGCACCTGGAAAGTCCAACTCGGTGTTCTTCAATCCATGAAGGCGTACTTCCAGGGGTGAGGACCTGTTCAATCATTACGTCACCTTTATTTCATGGTAGTTCTCCTTTAAATGAACACATAATGGTGCCTTCATTTAAACACTTTTTCCCCTTGTAGGTTGTTGCTGCTCGAGAAAGGAAATAAAGACTGCGATGCTTGTCGCAGATCCTGACTGACACCTGTGGCGCTCTCACGTTCCCTTTAGGTAAAGGCCGCTCAGTTTCAGGGTTCTGTGAATGACAGTGTCACTCACCTGCATTATATTTACATTTTAGTTTTTTTTGTGTCTAGAAAACAAAAGTTACTCGTCGGTGAGGACAGAGGCCTTGTCGGTTGTGGATCTGATTGTGAAGAGAACGGGAGGTAAGTCTTTCATCGATGTTTAGTCTGAATGGGAATTAAAGAGAAGGAGGGGCTTAAAAGGGATTAAAGGAGCAATATGTAATTCTGACACCTTGGTTTTAAAGGGGACATATTTTTTAGAAAGTTCACTTGTACAGTGTTTTTGAACAATATGTTTGGGTAACCTGAGTGTCTACTGACCCACAAAATGTGAAATAAAACCATCCAGTCCTTTGTTTGTGGTCTGCATAAGTCTTACAACACAGAGAAAAATGCTCTGTTTCAAATTTGTGATGTCACAGTGGGATTCTGGTAAAAAAAAAAAAATCCCCTCCCCTCCCCTGGTATCTCCACCCATGGACTCCACCCCCAGCCTAGAACAAAACTTTAGCGCAGGTTGGCCATTTTTATTCTCTCTACAGAGGAGTGATGTCCACAGGGAAAACTCAGGGGGGGGTCATTACATTTAAAGAGACACACACACCAAAACGGAGCGTTCTGAGAGAGCTGGTTTATACAGGGTCACAAACCTCCTCTGGTGCTTGATTCATGTTATATTTTGACCAAAGCATAGCACAGATGTTTCATTTAGACCACAGGGGGACTGTTTGAAGAGGTGGAGAAGGGGGAGAATATGTCCTCTTTTTAAAATGGGTACTGCAGTCTGAATTCAGATCATTGGAGGGAGCCGTGTAATGAAATATTTTCTTCTGCTTGTGTGACGTGAACAGAGAGCGCACAGTGGGACTGTGTGTCCGTGAAGAGCCGGGAGCAGCTGCAGCGCTCCCTGTCGACGCTGCAGTCCGACAGCAGGCCCGACCTGAGGGACAAGGCCCAGGAGCTACGCAGACACATCCAGAGCCAACCCTGAGCTCACACACACACACACACACACACACACAAAAACACACATCTCATCGAGAAAGCCAAATTAATGCAGTCACAACCACAAAGTACAACAAGTTAGAGCATCTACTTCTTTCTTTTTTTTTTTGTTTGTTTTTCTTCATCAGTGAAATCCAAACACGTAACACGCTCCTCTGTGTGACCTTCTTCAAGCAGTGATTCTCTCGTAATCACACCAACCCCTCTCATTAATTTCAGTACTTATCCATGTAACCTGTGAGCACCGACGCTGACATCACTCTTGTCAGACTGATTCACACGCGTGGTCGAAAGGAGCTTGACTTTAAACTCAGAGAAAAAAGACGACGATAACACGACTTGCTCCGAGTCTGATCTCGCAGCGTAAGTGGTGAAGGGCAAGGCATTAATTGTAATGTGTCAAGATGTATTTGGTTCATTTAAGTGGACGGTAAGATAAGATTAATAAATGCTATATAAACCAATGTGTTGGGTTTGTGGATGCTGTATACCTATAACCCTGAAGACGGGGACTTTTACTACTGTTGTGGGTTTGCCTACTTATTAAATGTCACAACATGCACATGTTTGACGAGTCGACTCTGAGGTGAAGTTGCACTATCCAGGGTCCCCGCCGTCGCCGAGTCGTGGAGAAGGAAGTGAGGCAGTGATGGACCCCGCTGTGTGTGTGTGTGTGTCATGTTAAAGAGTTTTAGATCTCCTGTCTCCTGCAGGACGAGCGAGCAGAAACGACGGCCATGTTTGTTGAGAAAGAATGAAATAATAAAAACCTGCTGTTTAGATCAGAAGTGATGCTGTTGTTTGAATTATGTTCCTGATACAATAAAAAACTACATTGCCAATTTAAACGAGTGACTTCTTTTTTTCTTAACAAAAATGTGAGATCTTATGCTTTTATTTTAAAGACAGGACAGTGGAGAGAGAAATCAGAGAGAGTGGGGAGCCACAGGTCACATGACCCAGACTGCCCAGGGCCCCGTTTTGTTTGTTTTAAGAGCTTTTTGTTACTCTTATTTTTAAACAACCAAATTGTCTTTTTTAAATATCCTGGACTGTCTGGTTTGCAGGGTTTGGTGACTGAAAGCTTGAAACAACTGAAATTTTTCGACATTATTAAAACAGTTGGGAACTTTCATCAGAATTCTGTTTTAGAAAAGTTGATATCTTTAGCAAAGTTTAGTTGGATATTTTATTGAGTATTTTTCTTCATTTTTTGCAAAATTGTCCAAAAGTTTCTTCAAACTTTTTCAGGATTTAGAAAATAAAACTATTTTCATCCAGAATCTTCCAGACGTTTTTGTTAAATGCACAATATGTAAAATTCTCAAATGTTCATCATAAATTGTTTGAGAGTTTTGTGAATTCTTCAGGGGATTTTCACTGGAGACTTTTTTGGGAAACTTTGTCATTTTTTGTGAATGTCAGAACTTTCTTCAGACATTTTAGACTTGATGATTTTTTTCAGAGGACACTTTAAAGTTTTGCTGCTTGTTTTTTGTGGATAAAAAACATTATAAGCCAGGATTTTTTTAACTGGATATTAAAATTATTAAGACACTTATTGGCAATTTCCTGATATGTGTCAGACATTTACTTTGTCTTCAGAAAATTTAATCTGGAATTATTTGGAAGTTTTCATTGTTGCTGAAATCTTTAAACGATAAGTTTTACCACATCGCCAGAGCCATTACCTAACGTTACCATATCCTCCCTCAGTGTCTTTAAAAGGTCAGCACCTCCTACAGACAGTGTACATCGTTAACTTCTACTTATGTGGGATAAGCTTCATCCAGTTTGTCCTGCAGGTACAAGATATAAAGCGATGAAAACAAGGAGTCAGACGTTTATACTTGACCTGCTTTATTTACTAAAATATATAAACACATCAGCTGCACATTACACCGATCATTAGAAACAGAATGAGAGCATGAAAGAAGAGTCAAAAGATTAAAAAAGGAAAGTTCAGAAAAGACAGGAAATGTACAGATAAACTGTCTAAAATCCACCAAGTGAAGAAACCCAGTGATAGGATTTTAAAAGAAGTACAAAAATTAGCTGATGAGCTGCTTGTGTCTCTTGTCTTTTAGACGAGCCTTGTCCTGGCCTCTCTGGGGAACGTTGGTGTCGCTCTGGCTGAGCGTCGTCCGGGACACTGTGGACATGCCGTCGACAAACTTGGTCTTGAAGAGGACGTTGGCGTTGGTGAACATACCGTCTTTTAGAGACACCACCACAAACTGCAGGAGAGAAATGAAGAGTGTTCAGGTAACTGAATTTATAAAATACGACCATCTCATTAGAACGTGTGCCTGTGACTCAACATACCTGGGAGTGTCTAAAATGTGTGCGCAGCATCTGTCCGATGTTCTGTGTGTGTGAGAGATCCAGGGCGGCGTCCACCTCGTCTAAGATGTAGATGGGAGCCGGTTTGAACAGCAGCATGGCCAGGATGAGAGACAAGGCCACCAGGGATCTGAAAAACACAAAGAGGGGACTCAACACCTCTACATCTCTAAACTATAATCCTGAATGACCGCACAAGTACACCTGCTCACCTTTGACCCCCGCTGAGCTCAGTAAGGTTCTCCTTCCAGGTGTTGCCCAAGGCCACCTTAAACTCGAGGCCATCCAAGACCCCACGGCCCTGCGGAGGAGCCAGTTTGGCCGTGGCTCCGGGCAGCAGAGTGGAGAAAATAGAGCCAAAGTCTTTGTTTACCTGCCAAGACGAGCGAAGTGTTACATGAAGGATAAAACTACAGGAAGCACAGTACAATGTGTTTTCATGCATATCCAGGATTCTGGTCACGCTTTAAAATCTGGAACATCCCTTCCCTTTGTAAAGGTTCAGAGGGACTGAAGCGTTGTGATAGTTTAAAAGAGAGATCACCTTCTGCCAGGCCAAGTTCAGAGCCTCGTTCTTCTTCTGGTCCAGCTCCTCGATGGTCTGCAAGATTTTGGCTTTGTCATTCTCCACGATCCTCTTCTTCTTCATCAGGTCATTGTACTTTAAAAAGAAAAAGAAAAAAGGGGACACAACAGTTGTGTGAGACGGCTGTCGTTTTAGTCGAGTGGAAGGGGGGGGGGGGGTCTTTTAGTCTGCGTCTCTGCCCTCACCCTCTCCTCGGCCTCGTTCAGCATGTTCATGGCTCTCTTGTTGACGTTCCTCTCCAGCTTGGCGGTCGTCTCCTCCAGCTTCTTCAGACGCTGACCGGCCTCTCGGGGGTTGTTGGTCTTGAAGTCGTAGGAGGTGTTGGGCTGGCCGAAGAACTGGCGCTCCGAGGGGATCCAGTCATGTTCCTCCAGCATCCGGGACACCTGAGGGGAAGAAACAAGAACGAAGGAGGTTCATAAAAAGTTTTATTTTACAGGATGCTTATCTTTATAGATGAGATTTAGATGGACTAGACTCCTGATGAGAGGAAGCAAACTTAGTGTGTGTGTGTGTGTGTGTGTGTGTGTGTGTGTGTGTGTGTGTGTGTGTGTGTGTGTGTGAACCTTGTCCGCAGCGTCCTGGGAGTCCTTGCGGTGTTTACTGATGTTGTGTTCAAGCTCTTTGATCTTCAGCTGGACTTCGTTGTTCTGCTCTCTGATTTTATTGGCCTCTGAGCTCTTTCCCTACGTTTTAAAAAAACAACAACGGATTTTCAACCAAAAGCTGGCGTGCGTCAAAGGACCTTTACATAGCGCCGTTTCACTACAGGGGTCATCATTACAGCTTTTTATAAACACATAGTGTCTGTGACAGAAAGAGAGCAGAGGAGAGAGAGAGACAGCGATGTCACCTGGACTCGATTTGTAATCCTCTACTACTACTGTGTACTCACCTTGAGCTCTTTGTCCTGAGCCATGATCACTTCCTTCTGTTTGGTGAGCTCCTCCTGGGCGTTACGCACGTCCTCCTGCACACAGAGAGAGAGAGAGAGAGAGAGAGAGAGAGAGAGAAGAGAGAGAGAGAGAGAGAGAGAGAGAGAGAGAGCAAACGATGACAGAAATTCAGATGACTGTCATAATAAGAATGGATTTTTCTGAGCTGTGATGAAAAATACAAAATTCACCAGACAACTTGAAATAATTTAACGACCCCTGAGTCATCTCCTTAAATCTGTGAGAGCTTAAACTGTCTGTGTGTATAAAATGATATACACACCTTGTTCTGTGCTACAGTGCAGGCCATGCTGTCGATCTGCTCCTGGATTGCCTTCGTTGCTTCGTCTACAGCCTGAATCTGCTGCTCGTAACCCGCCTGCTCCCTCCGCAGCTCCTCCAGCTCCAGGGCCACGGCCTCAGACTCCTGATAAACACACATGAGGTCAAGTCGTCAGCTCCACAGAGAAACAGAGAAGAAAAAAAACTCTGAACAGGTTAGATATAATAACTGCGTCGCCGTACCTGCTGCTTCTGCTTCAGCTTCTTGTTGAAGGCGTCGGCTTTGGCCTTGGCGGCGTTGAGCTTCTGCTGGGCGGCTTTCAGCTCCTTCTCCCGCTCCGCCTCGGCGTTCTTCATCTTGTTCTCCAGCACCTTGTACTTCTCTTCGGCCCGTTTCTGCACCTCCTTGGTGACGCGCAACGTCTCCTCGCTCTCCTCTGAAAAAGACAACCAAAAATATGTCAGCATCAGACTTATTCATTACATAGACTTTCATTTTCTTTGTCTGTACGAGGGATGAGATCATTCAAGATTCATCTGGAATTACAGACTTAATGAAATCAAATATTTCCTGATATTTATCAAACTTATGTAACTCAGGATGCAGCTGCTATAACACACAGAAACTGTAGGTTGTATATTTGTGCAGTTAAGATTCTGATATGTGCCTCTCCCTGCTCTGGGATCCGTTTACCCCTCCACCAATCACATCCCTGCTGCACATACAGTATGTGTAAGGAGGGTTATTCATTAAGTAGTGTCTTTGAGCATGTTTGTGCATTCTGACCGATAGCCTTGCGCAGCCTCTCCAGCTCCTCCTGCTGCTGGTGGAAGGAGCTCTGCTGCACTTTGGCCTGCAGGATCTGCTCCTCCTCCACCTTCAGTTCATGCTGCTGCTTCAGCTGACGGTACCTGGAGGGAGAACACGAGGTGAGGTGAGGAGAAACAACAGCAGGACAATGTGAGAGCTGCTTTCCTGGCAGTGAGGAGACGCCTGATGACAGGACTGAGTAGGACACTTTGCAGTATGAAAATAACAGCTCCCTCTAGTGGACAAACTATGGAGAGGCAACACTTTTTAAAATGTCCATATTTATGGTTTGGTATTCCTGTGATGCAATTTCTCATCATTTATTCTGAGGTATAAAAAAAAGTAGAGAGTCATTTCTGTCCAAAATAAATTTTCACTAATTGTTATCTTGGCTAAATTCATTGTCAAGCTCCAATTAGAGTAGATACAATGCATGCTGTAATCATATGTGTGTGTGTAATGTCTCGTACTTCTCAGCGATTCCCTTCAGGCTGGACAGTTGTCGTTCAATTTCCTGCAGCTGGGCTTCACTCTCATTCAAGTTGTCCCGAACCTCCTTCAGCTCCTGCAGGCTGGACAGAACGGATGCCGACTGAGAGCGAGCACCTGGACGAGGTAAAAGCAAATTTAGAAACTTGGGTTGTTACAAACTTCAGATCATTCATTGACGTCGACGTATCGAGTGCTCGATTCCGCTTGTTCTCACCTCCGCTCAGAGTTCCCTGAGGATCAAAGATGTCCCCTCCAAGAGTGACAGTCTTGGTCATCACCTGCCTATCAAAAGCCACCCTCTTGGCGTTGTCCAGGGTGTCGCACACCAGCGTGGAGCCGAAGACGTACTCCATGGCCTTGCGCAGGTCAGACTCGTAGCCCACCAGGGACAGAGCCGTGTGGACGTTGTTCTCCCCGACCTGACAGCAGAGAGAGAGAACAGACAGAGGAGTCAGAGAGAGTTGGGATTGTTGTGTTTTTTATTTTTCCAAACCAATCAGCATTCAGATCCCTCACCAGGCCCTTGGCAGCGCTGACCACTCTGTCATTGAGTGTCTTGGCAGAGATCTTGTTCAGCGGGATGATGGTGTACCTGCGCTGCAGCTCTCCCTTCTCCAGCAGCTTTTTACCGGTCACCTGGCAACAAAACAACAACAACACAGAAATGACTCCTCTTCTTAGATTGACCAAGAAGTCTGAAGATGAACTTAGAGCATCACATCAGTGCACTAAAGTTCACACCCACCTCTGTGTCAACGACAATGTTATAGAGCCGCCCCCCTGCAACGACCTCCAGCCCGGTCGAGTAGGAGAGGTCACGGACTGTGATCAGGTTAGCTAGCAGACCCTTCACTTTGCTGCGGTCCCATCCTCGCTCGGGGTCCCTTTAAGACAAAAAAAGGAAACGCATTAAAAATAATGTGCAAGTGTTGCTGAAACTCAGTGAGTCAGCATCAAGCATAAAACAGATGCTGTGACTAAATCTAGATTTTTTTCCCAGCACATAAATTCCCAGTGTAGATGCAGCCAAACTTAACCCTGAGAATATGTTTAAATACCTGTAGTAATTAAAAAACACCAAGCAGCAAATAATAATAAAATGAAGTCAGAACAGAAGTGCAAGAAGACTGGAGTTCCTCAAGTGTCCACAAGAGGGCGAGGCTGGCTGCAAGAGCCAAAGAATCCCTTCTAGGTCCAGCATTAAAACACCCAGAAGTGAAATCTGATCCAACATTCATACAACACTCAGTACAGGGTAAAGACATCGGATAAATTCTTACTTGTAGTCGAAGCGCAGGTTGGGGAAGCGAGACATGAGCCTCTCGTAGGTCTCTTTGAGTTTAGAGGCCTCTCTGGACAGATGCCTTCTCTTCTCCAGCAGACTCTCCTCCTTCCCATCTGCATTGAGACAGAGACACGAGGAGACACCTTCACATGCTGCCGTGAGAGCAGAAGCTGTGTGCATACTGCATATAATCTGTCTTTTTTAAAATTAGCCTTCACTGATCATTGCCCATACGCAGACTGAAACAGAGTTGTTCTTTTTTTTAGGTCTGCTTCCTTCCTACCTCCTCACCTACATCCAACAGAAGAGTGCAGGAACTTATAATCTTCGCTCCTGGAAACTTCTCTTACTGATGTCTTATATTTGTGTATGGATTCTCATTGTTCAGTCTTGAATCTACGCTTAAACTGGGGCTATCAAACGGCTATTTTTATTTTTTCAATTGGGATTCATCGCTGAATTTTAGTGTCATGCATTTGGGTTGTTAAGTTTTTGTACTGTCTTAAGCTAAGTTTGATGTTTGGATAAAAACCTGACAGAAAAGAAGTTGCCTTCGTTGGATCGAATACAGTTTTTGAAGGTCTCGTCTAGGAATAAAATAATTTTCACTCCGCCTTGTCTCGGTCTCAGGCCGGGCGGACCCAGGTTTTCAATCAAGATCATTGAAGACCACAACTGAAAGGCTTTTTATTTGTATTTTTTACTGATGTCATTACTGAGGTTAAAAGGAAAACGCCTCACAAAAAACTTAAATTCATTCATAATTAGATTTTTGACCTTCCTGGTGTTAAGGACACGCCCCCTGCTCACAAGATGATGATTTTTCAGGTATATTTATGGTCTTGGTCTTGTCTCTGTCTCGATCCCTAAATATCTTGGTCTAGTCTCGGTCTTGGAGCACTAAGGTCTGGTACCTGGTATGTCTTGGTCTCGGTTAGTGTGGTCTTGACTACAGCAACAATGTACAATACCTTCATAGTTGAGTTTAGCTAGTTCAGCCTGGAGTTTCTCCCTGCTGCTCCTGACAGCCTGCAGGGCGTCCTGGTCTTTCTTGTAGCCACCGTCCATCTTCTTCACCTCAGCCTGTTTGGTCTTGAGCTCTGCCTGCGCATGCTTCAGGGTCATCTGGGCCTGGAGAGAAAAGAGGACGGAGGAGAGGGGAAAGACTAAAACTCGTGTTCAATTCAAAATTGTCGTCCTTTAAAAAGTAGCATTAAAACACATCTGAGGTATGTTAAAGTGTCCTCACCTGCTTGGCCTCGGTGTCTGCCTTGCTCATGTCGTTCTTGCAGGTCATCATCTGTCCAGCCAGCGTGGCCTCCTCTCCGTCCTCATTGGTAGAGAGACCGGCGGACACAGCTCTGAAATGCTGCTCAGCTGCTTCCAGAGCTGCGCTGTCTTTCTGCCCCTCCTCCTGAAGAGCCTGAAGCTGCTCCGTCGACTTAGAAACCTCCTTTTCTTTCACCATAAGCATTTTCTTGTCCTGCAGGTGAAGGAAAACCGCACGTTTAGATCGAGAATTTCAACAAAAGATTCCCCGTGTCAAGACTCACAGTAGTAGTGAACATATTGTTCTGTTACCTCCTCCATACTCTCACAAGCTCCTGTCTCTTCTTGGTTTCATCTTTGACATTCTGCTTTTTCAGATCGAGCGCACTCTGAGCTTTAGCGTCCACTCTCTGCACATCAGCGAGAGCCTCCTCCAGGGATTTCAAAACCCCGTTCACCTCCTACAGAGAAACAGAACAACATCAAAGACCAATAAACACATTAAGGTTCACTGGCATATTTCCTTAATGTCTGATGATATAGTAAAGTCAATTTATGATTGAATTCAGTAAATATCTTACATATTGGACCATTAAATACATCAACTCTTATAACTTATTTGAAAAAACACACATGAAGAATTGTGAACAAAGGGTCTGTGTTATCAGCTATCAGCTGAATTGTTATTCTAAACATCAGTACAGGCCCTTGTTTTCACAATCAGTGCATCTCTACTAAATAAAGTTTCACATTCATCCTGCCATGTCTTTTGAATTTGACAGGAAAAACTAGATTAACCAGGGAGTGATCCAAGAATGAGGCAAAAAGAATGACGAAAAAAGATCCTCAAATAATTCTCAAACTGCAGCCTAACAACCTTTTCAAAGAGAAACATGTTGAATGTGCTGAAGGTTCACAGTGTACCTGGTCTTTTTTCTTTTGCAGCTCCTGAATCTGGGCTGAGAGCTCCTTGACTTTGCTCTCGTTCTCAGCCATGCACGCCTGCATCTTTGTGATGTTGTCCTGCAGCCCCTTCAGGTTGTCGGCCGACTTCAGCTTGGTTTCCTCTGCACACACAAACAGCCAGGCCACATAGAGCCGGGACAAGTGCTGGATCTCACGCATCAGCTTCTGGTACTCCAAGTATGATGATCTTTCCTGAGGAGGAGGGAAGGTTCAAAAAACAAAACAAGGACAAAAAAATGTTTCATCCCTGTCATTACACTACAGCAAACAGGAAATGTGTCATTTTGCATTGTGCAGTGCACCTACCTCTTGCAGTTTCTGCATGGTTGGAGTGATTTCCTCATCCAAAATCTTAAAAAGTAAACAAACAAAAGTTGAAAATTCAACATTTGTTGCTTTTTTTTTAAATGCAGAATAAACAAAATGTTTAAAATGAGGGTGCTGTCAGAACATACCGTCTGAATCTCCTTCAGCTTCGCCTCCTTCTTCTCGATGGTTTTCTGAGCGCTGATCTTTTTACACTCATACATCCTGGTCCCTGCTGCCTCCTCAATCATGGCGAGGATCTGGAAGAACACGGTACCTCATTACAAGACCCAGAATGTATTAAAGTGCTGATGGTGGGTGGGACTACAGAGAACATGTGTTTCTTACCTCTGGGGGCTTCATGTTCAGCACTTTGGTGATCCTCCCCTGAAATATTAGAAACATCACTTAAATATTAATACTGTAAAAAAAAACAACAACACCAAACATAAGAGAGGAGACTCACCTGCATGATGAGAAAATGTGGGTTGTTGACGTTGAGGCCGACAGAGCAGAACAAGTCCTGCACCCTGGTGTTGTTAGCATTGACTCCGTTAATGAGGTACTTGTTCCTGCCGCCAATGACCACCTTTAACAAAGTACAAAATCATTTTTTTTTTTAATTTTGGCAGTGCACCCAAATATAACATCGTACAAACACTGCAGGGACTTTTCTTTTCTGCAAACCTGTCTGGTGACGGTGATCTCGTCGTGGGTTTCAAACCCCAAGGGACTCTGGCTCTTGTTGGCGTTGTCGAAGGTGATGGACACGGTGGCCTTGGTGATGCCACCCTGTCCATTTTTGTAAACCAAGTCCTGGAGGTTGGACGCTCGCACCTATCAGGAAGAATTAAACAGAGAAACGATTCAAGATCTAACCTTTTGGGTAACTGAGAATGAAGATGTAACATACCGTAAAATCGCTGGTTAAGGAAAAGAAAAGCTACTAGTACGACTACCAAAACAAATGCATGGCTGCGATACTCAACCTGCAGCGCTGCAACGTATCGGCACTAAACCTTCTGTCTGATGAAGGACAAAAACATTTCCAATAAACGTGTTTTGGAAACGACACCCACCCTGCAAGACAGAGCGCTACCGCAGGTCATCCCATCTGTAGTCAGACTGTTTAATCAGACTGTTTAATCAGACTGTTTAATCAGACTGTTTAACAGCATCACCACTCACATGTGTGTGTTTTTAATTTTAATAACAATAACTCTTTCCACAAGTGGAAGTGTACATACCTTGTATTATTCATTATTGTATTTTCTCTCCCTTTATTTAACAGATGTAAATATGTTTCCTGTTTTCTTGAGCTAAATTCAATAAAAGGGATCAATAAAAGTTTATCTTTGCAATTTAGACAGTTCGCTGAATGTCACCCGTATTTTACTTTTTTTTTTAAGATATTTGAAAAGTGAAACATTGGCAGCAGAAATGATTCATTGCTCGTCATTTAGAACATTTAATTGAGTTTCAATTTATTTAAGTACTTTAAATTGTGACTTTTGTCATGCATGGTGTTTATGAGTAGGTAAACACTTTTTAAAGTTGATAAATTATTCATGACACATGCTATTTTTTATTTGTTTGTTTATTTGTGCACACCACCCTGCAGAAGCCTCCCCAGTTAACAGCAGACCTGCAGACGCCCCTGCTCGTTATTCAGTATTAAAAGTAGGTCAACAAGTACGACTCTAATATCATAAAGCTTATTTAAGTCATGGCTGATAATGTACTTACGTGGGAGAGATTAGAAATGCCCAAAAGGAAACATATGGAGTCTAAAATATTGGACTTTCCGCTGCCGTTCAGTCCCGTGATGGCGTTGAAAAGCGGGTCAAATCCGTTGATCTCCGTCCTCTGCGCGTAGGATTTGAACCCATCAACAATAACAGACTTAATGTGCATGTTCAGTCCGTCCTCTCTCTCTCCGCGGGGGTCCGGAGGCTTATAATGTGGTGTTAAAAATCAAAAAAAAAGTCACGAAACGCCAGGATAACAGCCCCGTGTTTACAACCGACGACTGCTTCTTCTTTTCCTCTCACTTGAATTTTGGCGGCAGACACGAAGGACCCCGCAGGTCTGTCCCGTCTGTGAGGAGAAAAGTATCGTATCTTAAAGCGAATCCCACGAATTACGCGTGAACAACAATGACTCGGTCTAAAATCATATGACATTTAAAGGCAGAATTAAAACAACGCCACAATATAATAAATGTATATGAAAGATGATTTAGTTTCGACAGGCATAATCTAGGACTACTAAAAGTGGGTCAGTATTTTGGCGCCATCTGTAGACGGAGCGCCAAACTACAAGTGGGAAATACAGGAAGGATACAAATAAATCATTCAAATAATCAATTATTGTTATGATAAGAGGCTTTATGTAGTTTTTTCAAGGTTTAATCATGTAAGTTAATGAAAACTAAGTTATGTGAGAAATGTACACACCATTAAAAACAACAGAATTACTTTGTCGAGAAAGGTTACTTAGATTTAAACCGTAAAACTCCATAAGAAAGAAAACATCAAACGTGGTCTCAAGTACCATAAAAAGGGACAAGTAGTTCAGTGTAACTTAAACTAGATATGAAAATAAATAAAGTTAGAGTCTGTAGCATTTTCATAAACAAATGAAAACAGACTTGTACAAAAGTAATGCTACTAAATCATGACCAGGCTTAAACTTCCGGTGTTAAAAAATGAAGTTAATGTGGAAGTGCAAAAAAAATGCAGTTCCTCGAGTGTCCTCCTGAAGCAGGCTCTAAATCATCTGGTCTAGCCTTTGAGGACCCAACACCAACTCCTTCATGAGAATCGTGACCCAATTTTCTGAAATTTTCTTCAACCAATCCGATTTATTGAATGAAAAATAGTGCAGTTTGTACTTTAGATGGTACGAAACATGTGACGGTATAAAGAGTAGGAACAAAACCAGCATGTCTTAATAGTCTTTTTGACGTTTTTATTTCCAGTCACCTGTTCGCGGCTCACTGAAAACAGCTCCATGACCACTTTTGGGTCCCGTAGCACCGGTTCAGAACCACTGCTCTAAAAGACCCAGGAGTCACATTCACACCCCATATTAAATGTCCCTCTTGACAGCAGATTTACATGGTTACAGGGGTCCAATTTGAATGTTGTGTTTACAAGCTGCAACACACATTACTACCGACTCCAACTCTGAATGATTCATTGTTTTCATGGATATTTTTTGGCTAACTGAATGCCTGAATAAGTTGTTCAGTTAGGACCACGCTCAGTGATCTTAAAGGACAGACAAGCATGACGACTTAACTTTGAAGAAAGCTAAAAAAAGACAGACGAAAGCATGAAACTTGTAGTTGTTTTATTTATTTCAGATTTAAAATTCACATTGATTTCAACAATAGAGCATTTTTACGTTCGTACATGGCGATGACGTGTTTTTCGCACAGAGCCCAACTGGTGGCAGAAAGCTAGCTAGTGGTAGTTGGCGGTCAGTTCACATCAGAACGTTATGGACCATCTGGACGCCTTCAACAATTATATTTATTGTTTGACAGTGGAAGACAAGTTGTCTTACAGTGACACGCTAACCTTTAGCAATGGGGTGAGGTTCCTGACCCGCTCTCACTGTCGAGTCAGTGGGTCAAGGATCCAACTAAGTTACCATAGTTACAGTGGCGGTACATCTATGAACACCTTGTGGAGAAACCCATTGTCTACTACACTAAAGAAAAACTTGAGGCATACATATCTCTGGACACATACAGTTTGTTCTTTCTGGTCATGTCCAGGACGTTGAATAAATACTGAGATTACTGATGGATTTTGTGTATTAAAGCCCGACATTACTTCATAGCTAGCGTCTAGGACATAAAATGCAGCTATACAAGACTTGGACTACAAATAAACAAGTCAAACACACACTGACAGCAAACTGCACTTGAGTTGCTGAGTCAGAGTTAACTCTTTGTTCATTGTTATATAATTGTTTAGTGTATTTTAGAACAATGTAAATCCCTTTAAGTACTCCAAATTGGTCAATAGGGCGCCAAGGGAACGAGTCCTAAAACCTGGAAGTAAGTTAGCATTTTAGCGCCATGGGGTCTATCCTCTCAAAGTCAATGGGGATTTTTAATGGGTTTGTGTTTAGACACCTGAAATAAGGTCTGTGGTTAACACAAGCTAAAGAGGTGTTTGCGTTTTGTTAGACCACATAAACTACGTTAGGTAATACCCCCACTTGTGAATGTTGAAGTTTTTACGCGTCCTAAAAAAGGCACTTGCTAACAAGTGGCTAAATGTGACTACAGTGGTTGTTGGGGACATTAAACATCATCACGCCAGACACAAATGCCGGGAACTCTCTCACTAGTCCACCTTCAGCCTCAGTCGTGAAAACTCTTCTAGATTTATCAATATATAGGCACATATTAGGTTAATAAACAATGTATTAAGCTACGGTTTCGCTAGCTTGTCAAAACCGCTGATTAGCATATCGGAGATCGTCTGAAGCATAACGCTAGTGACGCAAAAATCATCCGACCGTGGTGTAGTTTGCTGTTGCATAACGTTAGCGTTTCTCTTCTGCATTAACGCCTCAAAAATAAAAATGGTGTTCATTTGTGAAGATGATCCTGCTGAACAAAACACCTACTCATCAGAAACGTGTGTTTGCCTCAGAGCTTATTTTCTACAATGATCCAATAAATCTCATTGGCTAATTCTCCATAGACCCCATGGCAATGCTACTTCTGGGTTGGCCTTCAAAAAAACGTAATTTGATTTGTTCTCTTTAGCCCAAAAGAAAAGGATACTCTCATGGAAAGATCACAAAAGAAGGTTAGAGAGTTACGAATAGCAAGTTGTTTAAATTTAGAACAGCAGAATATTCATGTAAAAGACATTTAACTGAATAACTCATCATCCAAAACTCCTTTAATGTGATTTAGAATCCACCAACCAGCAAGTTTTATGCATTACTTTTTTTTGTTCACACACATACCTCACTTGGCACACACACACAAAAACACAAACTATCATTGTGTGGTTTGATTATGCATCCAGGGGCACGGGACACATGGACAGACATACAAGATTGAATGCATAGAAGCATATCTGTGATAAAACCACACAGTCTCCTCTGTTGGAGTAAAAGGAGGTGGGCTTGATGTAGGCCCAGTCAAAGTTCGTCAGGTTCAGTGACCTCTGACAGTGCTGGTCGCTGAGCACCACCAGGGCTCGCACAAAAGCGTATTTGGCTGAGCAGCTGGTGGCCGTCACTGTGCGCACCTTGTCAAAGTGCAGCAGGAAGCAGGGGTCATCCTGGAGCAAAAGAAACACAACGACATAGAATTACTTATTTTTTTTTAAATGCAATACATCCTTTTTAAAATCAGAGCTGACACATTGATTCACTACAATGTAAGGTTGTCCAAATTGTCAATACATTTAGATTCGATACCAGGTGTCTTAAATGATACAGTCTCTTCTTTTTAAATGATGGATAGTATCCAAAGGTACCGAAGCCTTAAAAAAACTACAAATCTTCAGGCATTTTTAAACCCAAAGCTGGAGAGAGAGCAGCAGTAGTCCCTTCAATTCAAAGATCGGTGCCCTTTTGGCGTCATTAAAGTTACATTTATATCTCTTACAGACAGAATGCAGAGAAGCTGACACAGAGACGTTGGCAAATGTATTTGTGCAATCTGCAGTCGACAGTGTGTAGGAGTTTGCTTGCAATTTCTGGAAATTAAAAACTAGAATATCCCCAATATTGAGGTGTCTAGACTTCAGTTTCTGTTGCCATGGTACCCTGTGTGGCCGCACTTGACAAAGATTCAGAGGGACTGAAACGTAATAAATTGAAGTAGTGTGCATGATTTTTTTAATGTCCTATACGCATCTACTTCGTGAGATAGTTGGACATGTGCACACCTCCTTTAAAACATTGTGGCCATGCTATCGAATCAGGTATTGACACTGTTTGTATTTTTGCTAGTCTGGTATAGAAGTCTAAAATTGTGGGAGACAACCCTAATAATGACTCCAAATATGACAAAAAGGGAATAAAAGTGAGATTCATGAAATCAAATATCGGAAATCTGTATACATGTTAATCTCACAGCACTTCGGTCAATTGTGGTTGTTTTAAAGTGCTTAAGAAATAAAGTTGGATTGGATTGGATGCCATGAATTAAACTGAATTAGAAATTAAAACATGTCCACTGTTTGACCTGTTAGTCAAAGATAAAGCAATAAAGACTGTGACATTAATACTTCTTTGTAAAACACAACTTTCTACATTATTAAAACAGGATAAATGTATCCTCACTTTTAGTATCCACATCCTGGTACAACTCCCTCACCACCAAACACAAAACAAAACCTCTCCCGTATAGTTCATCAAGCCAGCAAAAATAATCGTTTCATCCCAACCTACCCTCTCTGAACTGTATGACCGCTCTGTGATCAGGAGAGCCACCCTGATCACAGAGAACCCCTCTCACCGCCCTAAATTTTGATTCCAATTACAGAAAACTGATAACTGATATCCACACAGTAAAATCATCGGTGTAAGCAGTGAAAGTGTGAAATGGGAAATTTGAGTTTGGAATAAATAAAATAGTTTCAAATGATTCCAAATCATAAAGAGTAAAAGTGTGATTGTGACAACATTTCAAAAGTCATTCCAAATTTTTTTTATGATTTAATTATTCAAGTCCAAGTGGGCTAAGAAAAAGATGCACAAATCAATGAAAACACTTGAATAAGTGTGATGAGTTACCACATCGGCATCTCGTCCGTCCACTAGAGTCAGGTCTTGCAGGGACCAGACCTCCGTCCTCCGGTAGCACTCCTGTATGCTGGAGCGTTTGGTGCTGGACTTCTTGGAGCCAGACTTCAGGGGCGCCTGAGATATCTGACATCGCACTATGCTCAACTGCACCACTTTGCCTTTAGCGGCTGCACGGGGGGAAAATAAGGAACTTGTGAACAAACGTAGAACAATAGAGCTTTAACATATAGCATCTCTATGACATTCAAAGGAAAATTACACACAAAACAGGGCGACTAAAATATCTTGATAGACCCCCTGGAACCATCTTTATATTCATGAAATGAACTACAGAACAAATATCTGATCAACGACAGATGTTCACCTGAGACGCAGAGAAAATGTCTTCCGTCCAATGGCTCCTCAATCTCAATAAACTCAACCAGTCTCTGTTTCGAAGGTCGGAATAAAACTCTCTGCATCTCCTCCTTCAGAAGAGACGACATCACTGGAGACGGAGGAACACAAGAATCAAGACTTGATAGTAGGGGTGGTAAAGGAAAAAAAAAAAAGCCTTTAAGATGAGAAAGTGAAGGCGAGAAGACAACAAGATGTGCGGCGAGAGACGAAAAGTCCAAGCGAGAAAACGACGAAGCGGGTTGTGACACAGAAGGCTGAAACCTGGCAGTGGTCGGGAGGGAGCTGCTGGTCTGACCGCGTTTAAAGTATGTGGTTGTGTGTGTGTGTGTGTGTGTGTGTGTGTGTGTGTGTGAAATGAGCTCATAAACACACACACACACACACTCACAAACACACACTTCACTCTGCAACAATCAGGTTTGTTGATCAATGTTCATGTTTCATTAAAGTACTGCCTACATACCAACCCACCCTGGAGGGATTTAGCAGAAAGGGAGCAATCAAAGGCCAATCTCTTCATCATTTCACTCTTTTTATTGCTTCAATTAAGATCCATTACCCAGATGCTCAGGTTTCCTGCTAATATGGATCTCACTCGTGGTATTTACTTCAGTTGAGTGTATCTAACCCAAAGAGTTGACACACTCCTGTGCTGCATGTGTACTGTACCGTTGTTGTTCTGTGATTTATTTTTTCCTGTATTGCACACATTGAACGTCTCTTTCCTGCTCTCCGCTGTCTTTCTGTCTCCTTCTTGCTCACATCTAGATGTTGATATATCTAATGTGGCCCGGCGCCCAATCGTTGTCTGTGATTAAACGGTTGTTGTGTGGGAAAAGGATGTCCCACAGCACTCTGCATGGTTTCCATTACCCTGTAATAATTCAATCTCTGGGAACAGGTACAAGCAGGGTGAAGCACTTAAAATGGAGGAATTTTACAAGTGCCTAAATGATGCTATACTTCTTTAGTCATCACAGCTCCACAGGACGATTTTGTAGGTGTACTTCAATAAGCTGAGAGAACACAATCTTACACTTTACAAGTGTGTTTTCTGAGTTCAACTTGAGGATAATGGCGTCAGAGCAGCATGGGAGGGACGTCTCTGTAAATCTAACCAGGGCGAAGGTTTAATTTGATTTGATGTCAGGAGAGAGTGTGGCTCCATTGGATTGGATTTGTCACGCTTGTGAAAAACAAAGATGGGTCGCTCCGCTGCTAAGTGCTTTATTGTTGTTGTTGTTGATGGTTTCTGTGGGTGTTCTCTTGAAAGGCTCTTTGGCTCTGAGATGGAAAGCTGAGCGGATGGGCAGGAAGCAGCGAGGTAAGGAAAGATACAAGTGTTGAATATCATGAATAACACATGAAGGGTTTTTTGAACTTACTTATCATAAACTTTAACCCCAGTGTGTTCGCTGTGTGCAATGAGAGGAGTCTGCATCATGGGACAATAACTGGCAACGGTGTGTCGTTTAAAGACCTCAAAAGTTCCAGTTATTGTCACTTGATGAGGCTCATTTAAGACACTAAAAAGAACAATGCAGGAAGTACACAGGTAGCATAGCACAATCAGAGTTTTGCAGTATTTCTGTCATAGGTTATCGAAGGCTCTGAATATTGGCTGCAATCATTGTCCATTTTCATGACACATCAAAGCGTATATATCTGTATGTGTTGGAAAATATACAGAGTGAGCTTTGCTGTTTGTGGAAACACACAGTCTAGCTTTAACAATCAACAAGCTATATAAATATATATATATATATCTCTTATAATACTGATTAAAGACGGGACGGGAGGGGTTTGGAACAATGCTTAACATGATTAAAGAGGAGGTGAATAAAGTTGAGGAGTAAAGTCAGATGTGCTCACGTTGCAAGCAGGAGGAAAGGAGGGTAAAAAAAAGAAAGAGCAGCTGGAAAAAGGTGGAGAAGAAAAGGCTTTCAGGAATTTAAAATGACTTTTGAATTGTTATCAAGTAACAAAAAAAGGCTGACATGAAGGATGCAGAGGAATACCTTTTGGAAAATAAAATAATGTGAAAAGGACGATATGAAAAGAAAATAAGATTTGAAGAAAATGGAAGGTGAATATTTAAAAAGCTTTATATGTTTTGATGAATTACAGAATGAAAGACACTGATTATGCAGGACGGGCTGCTGAGGAGAAGAAAGATGTGAAAGGAGAGAAAATAATAGATAGGGGGAAAGCGTGAGAAAATCCTTAAAAAGCAGATAACGATTAATCCGAGGGAGGCAGAGAAGAAATGAAAATGATGACAGAGAGGAAGAAGAGCGTTGAGGGGGCAACTTGAGTTCACAGAGAAGAAGGAAGAAGCAGAAGAAGAATCCTGAGATGGTACAGAGGTATAATGAATCGGCCAATATCCACCCTGTTGATCGGCACATCTGCAAATACTGTGGCATGAACCGATGTCAGCAGCCGATGTTTATTTGTTGTGCCAAATCGATGTAATGCTGGCTTCTAGTACACCTAAGTGCTGATTCATAGAAGAGGTTTTTTAATTGGGCAGATGACGTCGTCTGTTGAACAAACTCTGACTTGTTTTCATCAAACATGAGAGAAAATGTCGGCATTGTGGGAGTCTTACACCAAAAGAAATCAAACCTCACAATCGGATAAGATGCTACTTCAAACATCTGTATTAGTCCTACTTTTCCAAATCGTCGCAACTCTACTATTTGTATAAGGAATACAGATTCTTGACTTAAAAATTAGCAAATTTCATGGAAATATTATATTTGCACCAAAATGCTTCAGCTCGTGTTCTGACCAGAAATAATAAGAGATCATATCTGCCCTTCATTAGCGTCTCTATCGTAGCTTCATACACAAGTCATCATGTTGTAACACGGACGAAAATATGAGAATATTCAACTCAGGAAGATATCAGGGACAGCCTGTCCTGAAATGTTCAGGATTGAATGTTTGAAACAGGCTTAAAAGTAGTATGGGAGGTAGAGACTTCCCCCTTTTAGGAACCATCTACTGGTCCGGGTCAGACAGCAGACAACCTCTCCACACTTAAGAGTAGACTTAAAGCTCTTCCTTTTTTTGATAAAGCTTATAGTGAGTGCTGACTCAGACTTGGACCAGCCCTGAGTTATCCTGCTATAGGCTTAGACTGCAGGGGGTTCAGACACACTGAGCTCCTGTCTCTCTTTCTTTCTCCCTGTAGATCATTTCAATTCTGTGGGCCTGACTCCAGCGTGCTACAACTATTAATATCAGTCTTACCTTTATCATTATTATTACCATCCTCATCATCATTATTCTTATCACTGTTTTAATGCAAATGTTTATCTTAGAGCGTCTGGACTCCATCTGCTAAAACTGACATTATCAGTCCAACCTCCATTTTCATCATCATTATTTGACATGCTAACATAAGACCTGTGGACTTTAAGGGTCATAAATATTAGAGATAAGTCTATCTTTATTAAGTTGCTGTTCCTGCTCATACGTTGACCAGCATTATTGGGCAGGTTTGTTCCTCTCTTTCCTTCTCTTTTTGCAAACCGTACACAGTCGTATCAGATGGCTGTTCAACATGCGGTTTCAACCTGTTAAAAGGAAGTACTCTTTGCCACTGTTACTTTGCTAAATGTTGCCAAGTGTGTGCTCATGATGGATTAATGTTGGGTCTCAAGCATAGACTGTAAATATTAAAGGACGAAGCCTGAGTGACGTCACCCATCTGTTCCTGCAGGGGGGCTCTGGAGGCTCATCATCAAAGCGGCTAAACCTCATTGTGAGCCTTGCCCCTAACGATGCATCAATGATTTATAAAATCAAAAGGGATGCATTGTAAAAAAAAAAGTGTGTGCCCATGAGGTCAATTATTAACCAGCCCTATATTGTTTTTTGAACCAGGCTCATTTTTGAAAAGGGTATTAATGCGGGGCACAAGGAGCCGGCATCAAGCTGACACTTGATGAACTTCAGTTTTTTTTATCACTTGCATTGGCTTCATTTAAAAAAAAAAAAAAAAACTAAAGTAAGTTGCTGCTTGGTCCAAAGGGGTATGGTCGACCTGCTCGTCCTGTAAAGGGTCTTGAGATAACATTTGCTATAAATCTGGCACTACACACATGAAAATTGACTCACTGATTGAATGATTTCAAAATGTTTGCACTGGTGTTACAAAAAAAGATTTAAGTCTGCAATGTTCATTCTGTCTCCAAAGTGTTGGTCAGGTAAGACTTATAAGAAGATAAAGTTCAGAGGTGATGACAGCCGTGTCTCGTGCTCTCAGTTCAGGGAGTTTATCAGATCGGTGACCTCTGCCCCAGTCACAGCAGCACTGCAGTGATTCAGTGTTGATTCAACGACACAATGCAGCAGTTTTTACAGGATATGACACATAATGAGTCGATCTGGTGACACACACAATCAGGTTTATAGACGGGCAGTAATGTGGCAGAGGATGACGAAGGAAAGTTCAGAGTAAGAGTTGAATTCAATGAAGGGTGTGGCGACAAAGAAACTCAGAAACAAGTGACAAAATTAAGAAAGCTATTTTTAAAAGTAAAGACTATTGAACTCTTTTGAAGACGCATCACATTTCTTAAGATACTTAAGGCAAACTGTCCGAGATGTAAAAGTAAAAGAAGGAACATTTATGCATCGCTTTTGGCTCTTTGATTTGCTGAAAGTTTCTAGAACTCTAGAAATAAGCTTTGAAAATATAACTTCATTTAATCTCGTTTTTATTTATGGAATGATGAGCCCAATATTCAGTTAGATCTTAAACAAATTGCAGACTAAAGCCCGGCAGATTAATCGGCTGAATGATAATCTATCAGCCGATATCAGCATACACAGTGACTTTCAGTATCGGCTAATTTTATCGCAGACATGAGCTGATATTACTAGATTTATTCACCAGTCAAATATGATTCCCTTTAAGTATAATTGTATTAAACTAGCAGTTGTCTTTCTGGCTGTCATCAGCAGAGTGTGTTATAAGGATTACAACAAGTATTCTCACCTATGAGTCTCACTCTTCAGAGTGTCAAGCAGCGATGTACGTTCATGCGTCGTTACTTTCCAGTTGACCATCTTGTCTTTAATTCATATCTTTTCCACAAGTGTTTAATAAGTTCATTTGAGGGATCAACGCACACTCAGAAAATAATTAGGAGCCCGACTTGCCGATCTGACATCAGAATCGTCATCACACGAGGGGCAGAATATGTTTTGTCAATCATAAGATACTGTTTTTATGAATTCACATATTGCACATCAATTTTTTTTCTCAAATATCACTTTGTAACATTTACATTTCACTGATCTTCTTTGTAGTGTTACGGCTGTGTGTTTCCCTGTACTGTTTGTCCCTTCTCCCTGTCTGTCCTACAGCCCAGGTGAAGCTACTAATTGCACAACAAGGTACACCTGGCCTCAGTGCTTAAAAGGCCAGCTCTGGCTGCAGAAAGAAAGGCATTTTGAGGAGGCCTTTTAGAGTTGGGACTGCTGTGCGTCTCATTCAGGGATTGTCTGTTGTCTTTAAGTTACTTTCTAATTTGATCTGTGTTATCATTAAGTTTAAGTTATAGTAATAAATCCCTTTGTTTTGACTTTTGTTAAGGTGTTTAGTGTCTTTTAATGGGTCAATGTGTGGTTTGTTGTTAGACCTATAGGCGGGGCGTAACGGTAACATCAACACTGTTTTTTGCTGTCGTTAAAACTTTTAGACTTTCCGAACTGAAATCTTGTGAACACACTGAAGTCAGAAGAACGACTTCCCAACTCAGAAACTTGGACCCCGAGCAGCACCTGAACGCAGCACAGTTCACCAAAGTCAAATTCCGTGTGTGTGTGTGTGTGTGTGTGTGTGTGTGTGTGTGTGTGTGTGTGTGTGTGTGTGTGTGTGTGTGTGTGTGTGTGTGTGTGTGTGTGAGCACACTTGGCCAATAAAGCCACCTTTGAGCTGTTTCAAGACCAAGTTTCAGACCCTTAGAGAAACTGAATTTAGAAAAACACAACTGATGACACATTTTTCAAGACCTTTTATTATTTTCCTACTTTGGAAGGAAGACTTTGAGCTTTTATGGAAACATGAATATATCATACATGTAAAGACCTTTTGTTACTGTTTTTTTTTTTGTATCTATTGTTTTTTTTCAAATAATAAAATCTGTGTATGCACATTTACATTGATGCAAGTATGCCCTAAGTTAATTTCTTCTTATTTTATTCATGTATGAATATGTGTTGTTGTTTTATTTAATGTAAAGTAAACAGTATATTTTGTATTGTCAATAAAAAAACTTCTCATTCAACATAATGCCTCATTAAATAAAAAAAAAGGTTTCTTCTTAAATGCACAATAACATATTAACGGGGGAGCCTCGTCACACTATAGGTACCACGTCATGGTCTGTGGAGCTTCTGATTGGATGTCGATAAAGGGGGAAACCCTTTGCCATCAGGCAGGGCCATCCCCATCCTGACATGCTCTGCACCGTCCTGGCCACCGTCCAATGTCACATTCACAGCGAATACACAGTAACGTACACCATGTTGTCCTGGAACCGCTACAGCGAAGGTGGTCGTGTCTATAAATAGATTTGAACGTATATTTACACAACATTATTATCACATACACGGCGAGTTTACAAAAAAAAAAAATCCGTTTCCGTCCTTTTCGCTTTAAATGCACGAAGAAGAAACGCTGCCTTGTTCTTTAAAAAAAAAAAAAAATTAAAGTAAAAAAAAACAACAACAACAAAACTGGATGTCTTGAGTTAGGAAGTAGTCTGGCTGGAAAAAGCCAGAAAACAAACGCGGAGTCATTTCCCACTTTGAAGACAACTCAGCGATCCCTCCTGTTTCTGCTCTGCTACTGTACTTGCAAAATAGTGGCGCCTACTGTTCCATTGCGCATGACTGTACGTCGTAATATGAAGTAGGCCTCCTGTTTTTCTCCCCAACCCCGGAGTCCTCCCCGGCCCCCACCGCCTCGATGTCGATGCAACGTTCAAGTAAGCAAAACACGGAGGTTGCTGTCGATTACTCGGGAAGGTAAGGAACCCCCATTTTTACGCGTTTTTCTGAAGGGTGGCCTTTAATGTGGTTGTTGTTTTCTCATTCCTCTCTCTCTTTGCGTGCGGAAGCAGTCGGACTGCAGAGGGAGGCTTCGGGACTGTTTCCGCACGCTTGAGGGAGAGCAAGGCCCAGTGACCCACATTCAGAGCAGCCAGTGTGTGTGTGTGTGTGTGTAAGTGTGTGTGTGTGTACGAGTGGGCGAGCGAGTGCGCGTACGCTCCCCTCTGCGTGCCTTGTGCGTGTGCGTGTGTGTACATACATCTGCCGCGAAAATGTTTCCACCATCGCTGCTTTTGGACATTTCTCCGCCATCACCTACATAATATGTGTGTTTTTTTTTTTTTTTGTCGGCATTCGCGAGGATCTTACTTCCCCCCCCCCTCCGCGCGCCCCCCCTGCGCGGATGTTTGTGCTCGGTTGTCTCGCGGTGTTTTGAGGAGCCCCACGGTAAATGATTTTTCTGAGATTATTTTGTGTCTTTCAATGTCAGTTTGTTGCGTGACAGCTTCGAGGCTCGGCGCCAGCTTGTCATGACACACAGAGGGGGGTTTTTAATTCCTCCTGTGTTGCTTGTTTTTTATTCATTATTCCGCAAAACGCGTAATTGTTTTTTACGCACCGGGTGAAAAAAAAAAAAAAAGAAAGTGTGTCAGTCCGCAATTTGTGGGAGGAAATCTCTTTTGAGTCGGGACGGTCGATTCTCGGTAGCAAGCTTAGTTAGCATGCTAGGTTGGCTAACGTTAAATGGGTTGCTCTCTTTTGGTTGTATAACGAACACCTGTGGCACTAAAAAGGCAAAATAAAACCCCTCACCGTGCGTAATGGCTGTTTGAGGCTGCTGCATTACGCGTCCTACTCTGGACCTTTGTTAATGTCGGTGTTTATCATTGGGTGGTGTTGTGCAGTTAGCAGAGAATAGCTCGATGAAGGAGCTCAGGCTCCACCAGGAATACATGACTGTAGGTCAGGCAGTGGCGATTCTAGAGTCTGTTGGGGGGGGGGGGGCCTGGGCAAAATATTAATTGGGGACCCCTCCAACCAGCATCACCTGTATGTCTGCTAGTGTCTTCTTCTTCTTTGTCGCCTGTAGAGGCTAATTCTTTCATTTTTCTTCGGTGACAAACTTTGGGTTTCACTGTAATAATGCATGCAACACATAGCAGGGCAGAAGGGGGTGTGTGCTGTCAGATGAAGGCCCCCCTCCCCCCCCCCCCAAAGGGAGGTTTTATACTGTCATTGCAAAATTTGCATATTTTGGGCCACTGCTTTGGTTTAAGTTTGTAAGCACTTGTGGGGGGGGGGGCCCCTTGTTGGTCTGGGGGCCTCAAGCAGTTGCCTGTTGACAAGCAGCAGCCTCTGATGACTGTGGGTCAGGCCGTCGCTTCCCAAAATGGGAGACCAGAAAAAACGAGGTCCTTTTCATTCTTAGTTCATCCAACGCAGCAACTCTGACCTTCCTGTTTACCGCCATGCCGTAAATCAAAATGATCACATTCACAGGGACACGTTTTGATTCACATTTGATGAATCTTAACAAACTCCCTTCGCACATAAAGATTCATACATTTACTGAAATCAATTAAATAATCAAGATGCACGTTGTCTCCTTGTAATATTTCAATTATAAGGATTTTTCTTCTTCTGTGATTCTCGTACATAATCCAGGTTTACTGAGCTGTGGATCTGACCCAAATATACCTTTAGACAACACCTTGGAGTTGTGCAAGGTGGCGTTTTAAATTGAATTTGTGTTAATTGAGAAAACATATATTTGATCCAATTGTCAAGGGCATTTGAGCTGGAATGATTTGTTGTCATCTTTTCTTGCAAAATAGAGGACGGCAATCTGTTCAAGCTTCCCAACTCTGATGATAATCTGCTTAGATGTGTTTCATATCATGTTGAATTGTATATTGTTAGGGTTTTTTTTTTGGACTGTTTGTAAGAGCGCCTTTCACCATAATGAGCTCTGTTTGTCGGTGATCTCCCTTTATCAATCAATCTTTATTTATACAGTTATTTATACAGCACCTTTCAGACAAATTAAATTGCAGTTCAAAGTCCTTTACAAGAGTACAGAAAAGTTATTGACGAAAAAGTAGTTTATAAAATCATTGAGAGACTAATGCACACCGATAAGAATAAAAAAATATATATATAAAAAAGAAAATACGACAAGAGCAATAAGATATTCAAATTAATACATAGGAGAAGAATATTTAAGATTGTAGCAGGATAAAGAATCGCTGCAAAGACGATGACAACTCTTTCCATAGTTTTCCCCCGTGCCGAGCCTGACCTGACCTTCCTGTTTACTGTCATCATGTCGTAAAGCAAAAACAATCACATATGGGAGTCATAGGTTACAGGTGTATAGGTTGTTGGATCTTCTTATCAAATATGGGATCTTAACAGTGAGATCCAGTTCTCCATGTTGCACAAATAAAGATGCATATAGGTACCGTAAAACTTCTATTTATAGCCCGGGCTTTTATTGACATAAGTCTATGTAACGACAACTGTGTCAACACGAGACGGGCCTTTAATTATTTTCAAACAAAACTCAAGCAAAGTAAAGATTGGGATGACTATGACACCAGAAAGAATATTAAACTATGTATAACATGAGGAGATTGATCTTGTTTTGTACGACAGTATTTAAAGCTGTTTCAGTGAACCCACACACACACACACACACACACACACCAGCTTTATTCCGTCTTTCTCTGACAGATGTTGTTGTTCATCTTTAATTTTATGTCATGCTGCTTTTTCTCCTTATTTTTCATCAACAAACTACTTCTACAATAATACATATGAGGCTCTAAAGCAGACATGCCTTTATCTGTCAAAACATTCAGCAGCACCAGGCTAGAAAAGGGGACTGAGCCTCAAAGTTTGATTGGCTTTGATTTTAATTTTTACGGCACCAGAATCATTTTTATAAACAAGATGCACATTGTCTCCTTGTCATCTCATTTCAATTACAACCTAATTTAATTTAGGTTTAAGGCTGTGAGTCTGACAAATAATATCTTTGGAGAATACCTTGTTTGGAGCTGTGCAAAGGGTCATTTTCATTGTTACTAAATGATTAACTGAGAAAACAGAAATTTCCCCTTGCAGGGATCAATAAAGTAGATCTTATTTTATCTTGAAAACGATTTTCTGATCAAATGATGGCAGAAATTGAGCTGGAATGATTTTTTTTTTGTTGGTTGGTTAATTGCCGTGGTCGTCTTTCCGAGCAAAATCAAAGACATTCATTGGTTCAGGTTTCCCCACTGCGCTGATATTCTGCCTGTGTTTGCGTTTTTACATCATTGTACATTTAAATTTGATGGTTTTATTGGACTGTTTGTAAGATCCGCCTTTCGTCATAGTCTGAGCTCTAGGAAATTGTGACTAATGCTCCTCGAGAGATATTAATGTTCCAACAATTTATTGATTCAACAAGTCAAACAGGCTTTATGAGTTTCGCTTCACCCTTACTTCCTGTTTTTAGGCTTGCAGAAACCCAATGTATTTCCATTCCCTGTTGGCTTGTGCCCATTTGCATGCACATTGAATAGTGAAAACGGGCCCATAATGGTATATGCCTCTGGGTGAGTGACACCTGGGTTATTTGTATTGCAGGTGAGGTGTGGCTCTCTCACGTGAGGATTTCACCGTGCCTGGAAGGGTTGGCTCTAAAAAGGGGGATAGTTACTTTGCCTGAAACGAGACATTCCAGAAAGTAAGTTGAAAGCGTTTTTTTTTTTTTTTGTTGCATAACTGGGTCAATCTGCTCTAAAGTATTTCTCAGCTTACATTAATGTAAGCATTAATATCAGTTAAGTTCAGGTTTTCCTCGCTGTACTGGTTATTCCTAGTAAGAGGATCCAGGAACTTTCTACTATCTGGATTAATGTTTACTGAGGGAGCTTTTTGTTGTCCTCACTCCCGTATTATCTGCTGCAGGGTCCGATCTAAAATATGATGAATTACAGTAAAATCCTCACCGGTTGGTTTGCTGCATCTCACATTAAAAAAAGAATTTTCTTTCCATTTGTATCGGACTTCTTAGCTGATAAAAAAACCACAATGTTCTTTTTGTTTTCAGTTGCATTTGGACTCAGTGCATCGAGTGTTTTTTCTTGTCCTGCGTCCCTGCGGCAGTTTGAGATGGTTAACTGCTGACCGTAAATTAACCTCTTGACCCCATCTTTTCTCCCTCTGATTTACTAATTAGGTTTGGTTGACCACGATGTCGTTCCCGTGGTCTGGCTCCCTCTCATGACCCCAATGACCCCGACACCAGTTGTGACCAGAGAGTCAGCTTTGGCCCAGAATCCGGTCTACAACCCCTAAAAAGACTGACCGAGTGCATTGGCTGCATTGGGGTACGAAGACTTTAAACACATTTACACATATTGTATCGTGATGCACTTTTATTATACAAATGATTTTATGTTGAGTGTTTGCATACCCTTCTTTTTGACAGAAAACAACAACAACCATATTTAGACGT